TATACAAATAAACTTGCCTCGCCATGTGTCAAAGCTCGTTGCCTCGTCCCATATGATGACGTTTAGTAAACCGAGTGCAACAAACCCAATCTTTCTTTTAATGGTTTTCAAGTTTATATTATTACCATTCTGACTCTTTACTGACTTTACAAGTAAGATCATCTTCTTGTGCGACATGGTGGTAGAGTGGTTAGCAGTCTCGCTTCGCAGCAAGAAGGTTGTTTGCCCGTTCTCCAGTGCCAGCGTTGGTTTCCTTCGGGTGCTCCGGTTTCCCCCACCACTAAAAGCATGTACAATAGGTCTGAATGTAATGTGTGAGTGAAGCATTGTGTGCTACTGGGCTTTGTGGGACCTCAGTCTGTGAAATGTGCTATGCAACTAAAGAAGACTTATGTCCTTCTTCTTTAAGGGTCAAAATGAACTAAAAGGGCCTAATGCATGTGTCTGATGGCCACATTTGACATATTTAACAGCAGAACGAATGAAATGACAATAATTGACTAAAATTTAAATTAGACATGTGAGATTTCATAACACTTTGAAGCAACTTTTGTTAAAGTTAAACTCATCATTCTATCAATGTGCAGAAGCCAGTACTTTTCCCTTGTTTTGTCTATCTGAAGGCCAAGCTACAAGCACACCGTGGAAGCTGCTGATTGGAGGTCTCCATGCCTCCGCTCTGTATAATACACTTGCATTCTCTTGTTTCTGTGCTCGTGTGCTTTGATCGTGCTGTCTCTACCATCGACAATAAAACATGTCTTCTGTCTGAATTTAAGACGCGATCCCAGACTATGTCATCTTCTTCAGGTGGTGGAAGGATGCGGGCCTTGTCTGTAACATCTAGAGAACAGAAGACTTTTTTTTTTTTACACAAAAAGTGTTTTTTTTTTAAGCCAAAACTGAGAAACCTCAAGAGAAACCATGCATCTGGACCAGCACATGGACAATCTGCACAGCCCCTGATTCCAGTCAGGCTGTGAGCTGCTGAGACATGGACAACACCATCGTCCTCTTTTGCATGGACATAATTTGGAACAATTGGATTTCTGAATTTGGACATAATTTGGACTGAATTGGATTGCTGAATCTGGACACTGAAGCTGAAACGTGTGATTGAAAGACACGTCACAGAAGAATTCATGGCTCGACACAAATGCAGCCTGAAGAAACCAACACGGAGAAGTGGGAGAGACTGTTTTCAAAGCAATATCTGGAACCACCATCGACTGATGAAGTTTGGTATTTTACTGAAGATTGTTGACAAGTTTTATGAAAGATCTGAAAATGTTTTATGAGTTTTCTGAGTTTTTGAAGTATTCCGAGTTCTGAGTTTTTTAAGGGAAAAGTACTGGCTTCTGCACATTGATAGAATGATGAGTTTAACTTTAACAAAAGTTGCTTCAAAGTGTTATGAAATCTCACAGACATCATCAGAACAACAAATAATTTAGACAAAAAACAAGTTGAACATTGTGACAAATGGAAACTGCCATTTAAAGCTGTAGTACCTAACTTTTATTTTTCTTAAGCAGTTTGTTTGTCTCAATGGACGTTCTCTTGGAAAACGTGTAAGAACGGTCCCTGTGAGTCAATAATTGAGGCGTAGTGCTGAGAGCTGATTGGCTGAGTGAGGGGGGGCTGTTCTTTTTAACTTTTCTGTCTGAAAAAGATGATCTAAAGATGTGACAAGACCAAATCAGTGAAAACAACCAAACTGTGATGAGAGCAAGGAACTGAAGTTAACGGTAGAGGGATTTCATCACAAAGAGAATTGTTTTGTGGTATGAAAGGTAGGAAAAGGAAAAAAAAAAGTGAGAACACAGCAGTTATTGCACTAGTCAACTTCAATTTCCGTTTTTTTTATTGAACTCTTACTTTTAAATGCAAATCTGTCTCCCATAAGAAGATTTCTATCCCCACTGTTTTAATGGTTTTGGAATGACAAGTCTCATTCAACACTATCATGACGAAAGGAGGGATTTGTCATTGTTTCTTTTAATTGGTTGCTGTATTAAGATTTAGAAGAATGAAACCCCAGTGTGTGTGTGTGTGTGTGTGTGCGTATGTGTGTGTGTGATCTTATACAGGATAAGCCCTAATTAGCACGTCACTAATGAGCTGCACCGGTTTCGCTCGCACGTCTCCTGATAGTGCACAGGCAGCAAACAGTAAGAGCTCAAATGCACTTTCTTTGCAGATTTGGCAGAGTTTAGCCGCGCTTGTCCCAGTCGCAGTGTCAGACTGATGCAATTTGTCCAAATGAAAAAGATAAATCCATGATAAGATTTGAATTGCTTCACAAATTCATGCAAAAGTTGTAATTGGATTTAGCTGAAACTGGGAAAATATACAGGTGATACAAAGTCTATATCAGGGGTAGCAAACTCATTTCGGTCAGGGGCCATTTCCTTTTCTTATAATTGTTTTTTATGAAGGTATTGTGACATTGAGTCTCACTATGAATTTCTGGTTGATTTTTATGAAAACAAAATGTGTTTATTGTTTAGATTTAACTAGTGCTGGACCCATAACTTCAACACATTGTTCTATATTTAACTTAAATCAAATGTGATTGTTTTCCTGAGAAATAGCTGTATATATACAAATATCTTGGAGTCCACCTGGACCACAGACTGGCCTGGTCAGCTCAGGCCAATGCTGTCAGAAAAAGGTCAGAGCAGACTTTTCTTCCTGAGAAGACTGAGTTCCTTTGATGTGAGCAGTCAGATGTTGTAGTTTACCAGTGCACTGTTGTAGCTAGTGCCGTGTTCTTTGGGGTCGTGTGTTGCGGCGACAGTCTGACCTCGAGAGACAGTAACCGGCTCGACAGGCTGATCAGGAAATGTGTCTCTTTGATGGGACGGCTCTTCACAGTGGCAGTAGGACACTCCATTAATTTCTAAACGTTCTACTGCCATATAATACAGTGGTGGCCGGGTATATATGTCAATCTGGCATATATAGACGGATAAATTGAATTAGATATTATGAGCAGTCTTCTCCAAAATACCATGAAAGGTGTACCAAGGCATCTCAAAGTTGTGACCATTGATGGTAGAGTCATGTATTGTATTACTGTATGCACTGTACACTGGATTTTTAACGTGTATGTTTTTATTTGTTTACATTGTGATTACATTGTATTGAAATTATGAAACAAAACTGCATCAAAATGAATAATACTCTTTTAATAAATTGATATGGTTCATTTACAATAAAGTGACTACAAGCAAGGCCCATGGAAGTGGGCTAGCTATACAACTTCGCTAGCTGTGTATTATAAGTCAGACTGTTATTTTGCGTGCACCTACTCTAGAATACAGTAATGAGACTTTTTTTAATTTCAAAACTAATAGCACCCAGTTGTTTCAGTGCTAGAGACGGGCCCCGTGTGAATATTAGTACAATATGTTTATCTCCGATACATGTTTCATATTAGGTTGGATATTAGTAATGTTTTAGGATAACTCTTCAAGTTGGAAAAAGATGTGAAAGAATAAGTAAGAAAAAAGAAAATAAATGCTTTTCAAATAGTGTAAAAATTTCTGACTAACAAGAATATCTATAATATGTATATTTGAAAAAACTAACTAAAAAGTATATATGTATCTGATTTGATAAGCTACATTAAATTCCTATCACAAAATAACCAACTTTTAGTCAAATATATATTATATTCTTTTACTTTTATGGTTTGAATACAGTTTTGGCTACTCCTTCCACCTTCATTTACCAAGCAGAAAAGTAAAAAATAATAGTTTGTTCATTTTGTGTATACTAATAGTAAGAAAGGCACATTTCCCCTCACAACCTAATTACAGCACAATAGGTACTATTCATCAGCGGCTTTGCTCATCTTTATAATAACAAAATAGCCTATTATTGCATAACTGGGTTTGGATTACAGCTAGAGTATTGGGTTTGCTTTCTGCATACTGGCAAAACTGTGTCCCAAAAAAAAAAAATTGCTTCAATGTCTTCAAAGCTATTGCATGTGGTAACTATCAGTACCTTACAATGAGCAAACAAGCTATTTTATTTGTCACCCTGCTCCTGTGCGTTAGTGTTGACAACCTCAAAAGAACAGCAGTATAAAAACTCCCCTCTTTGAATTGTATTTTTGCCTCCCACTGAAAGAGAATGCCGCGGGGGTAGAGGCAGCTCCATAATATGTTTTCCAGCGTGAACACAGATAATTGAGGCTATGTCTATGCCCATGTTTTGACTTGACAATGACAATCTTAACTTTTGCACAGTGTAACTTTACACATTGATATGAAAACTATTGTGGTTTGCCCATGTTTATTGTGATGTACAAGACGTTTAATGGCAGATGTCAGAATGCAACAATTATCCTTTTTAGCTTATTTACATCGTCAACTAATTATTACAATAATCATGAGTTATTCCTAACGTTGCATGACAAAACATTGGATTATCAGCATGCCAGGCCCTTAGTTCCTTCTCTAGATGATCAGGTATAACCATTTTCTTAAAAATCCATTTCCTAACCAAGTTACACCAAGTACGCATTTATCAACTCTAACTGTAGCTTTACCATTTCATAACACTCCTTATAACAGTTTCAGAATCCAAATCCTTGCCATTTCTTAATGATTCCCTGAACACCGGGGCACATGGCCTATTTTTCCATGTTTACTGTTCGAATTTGATTCAGGCCTGTTTTTTTAAGTCTTGGGTATTGTTATATATACTGGTAATTTTTTGTTGATCCCTATAATTGTTCGGATAAATACAGTTATTTTTCACATGAACCTTATTAGAAATAGATTTAGTGTGACTATGACACCAATTTGTGATAAAGTAGTTAGGCATTGTACACTTATCCATCCTAGAGGCATTCCCCCGACAATCTGGCCCTCACATGTAATTAAATATCACTGCTCTAGGAAATAACCACAGACTCTTATCAATGTTGTTTTAGCTATAAGTCAGGGTTTAAAATGTTTCCAGCCACTACAGTGAGAATGAGTGGTTCACAGGAGGACATGGAGACTAGGGAAAGAGGAGGGCAGATGGTGGGGCCGGACCGCCGGATGGAGCGTGGAGACGGACGGACGCTCTGGGTAAAGGCCCTTCTGTTCCATCAGCAGAGGCCTGTTGGAGAAAGTGCACAAATGAGACCAGCCACTGGCACATGGTGGCTTTATGCTCATGTAAGCGATGTTCTGGCTTTTTAGATCATGTGTTTTTTTTACTCGTTCAGCTTCACATAAATTATATCAACCATGCTCTATGACAGTAACTGTGCTTCATAGGAAAGGGTTACTCTATGATTGTTATGGCCAAACTGTTCAACTTTTGTTTCATCAGATCACAGAATACATCTCCAGAAAGTCTAATGTTTATCTCTGCGTGCTTTGGCAAACTGCAGTCTGTTGGGGGTGGTTTTGGCCATCATGACCAACGTTCGGGCCTAGAAAATCATCTCATCCATGGGGGGATGCTGAAAAAGAATAACATGGCACACTTCTAAACTTGTACTAAAATGGCTCAAGGATAATAAGGTAAATGTGTAGGATAGGCCATCACAGCCCTGACTGAACATTTGTGAGAAAAGCTGAAAGTTTCATTAGATAAGTCAGGAGGAGTGGGTCAAAACTACACTAATTTATTGTCAGAAGCTTGTGGAAAGCTCCGCAAAAAGCCCCTGAGAGTTAAACAGTTAAAGGCAATTCTACCAAATATTAACCTTGTGTATTATGTTGATGTCTGAATAAATGTCATAAATTAGGAAACACCTGAATGAGAAATACAGTAACTATTAACTAACTAACACCTGAATTTCACCTGAAAACCCTCTTTAATGAAGCTAAAACGACTCAATAATGTGTGTTGTTGCCATGCTTACCCTCGCACTCAAAGGCCCGCAGCACTGAGGTGTAGGAGGGGCCCAGCCAGGAGGTGTAGCTGGTGATGATCCTCTGCAGGTGGAGGGTGGAGTCACTAAACATCAGGTCTGCTTCTTCATAGGCTGCGGAGCTGAACATGCTGAAGCTGTCTGTCGAGTTTCCAAAAGCATTCTGCGAGGAAGGTAAGGCAAGGCAAGTTTATTTATATAGCACAGTTCATACACAAGGCAACTCAAAGTGCTGAACAAATCAAGATAGAATTAAAATCATAAATAATCACAGTCTGGGCTGGCCCTGGGCGGAAATATATCATGCACACTTGTAGAGGGCATCACAATGAACAGGTGTGCAGTGAAAGTAGTCGCAAACCTCAAAAGGCTTTTACAACAAAACAAGACCAACTTTTTCCTCAATGATAACGACACATGCAGCACCTGTAGTCTCTCGAGGAACTTCCAGACCCTGCACCTGTCGTCGGGCCGAACCACCACAGCGTTGGTGGGCACCGCGGCCAGATGGCACTGCTCAAAGTCCTCTGTGCCCGCCTCGGTACCATCAGGACACAGCAGCTTCAGGTCCTCCACCTCCATGTCCAGGGCCCACGACTCCTGGTTCTTACCTGGGCACAACAAGCACTGGCTGTTATACCCACTACTTTGAGGACGGAAGGAAATTATACAATATTTTTAGTTTTGACGGTAGAGATTGTGCATTGGTCTTCTGTATGAATGAGTCAAGAGTCCAGACGTCGTTTTTATCACATGACTCACGACAGATCCATTGCTGGTTACAGTGACATGCTACTACAGACTGTTAAACATGTGTGCAGCATTACACTGTAAAGAAAACATGCAATTTTCACGTCAACGGACTAATTTGTTTGTATTTGTTTTATTGTATTATCAATGTTGAGGTTTCAAATAATAAAATAATGGTTCATATTTGTCATAGATTATAACTGCAGCAGATTTTCAATATTAAACGATCAGAAATTGCCACGACAAAAAAAATAATTGATTTTGAATATCAATAATGTAAAATATTGTATATTTTCAAAAATTATTGATTTGTAGCAGTGAATAACACTACAAATCTAAAATCCTGAACAAAATAACTCGGCAGACTCTGTAATTAAGGAAATAGATAAAACAACATCAATCTTGAGAAGAAATGCCTGTTTCTAGTGGATTTGGATGGGGTTTTTTTACATTACAGAGACATTTTTTACAACTTTTGAGATTACACTACACCCTCTGAACATCCTGCAACCCACTCTTGGGACCTGAGCCACTATTTGAGAACCACTGAATACTGCACAGCTTATGAAAAAAAAAAAAGCAGCCTTATTGGGGACATTACTGACACTTATTCCCTTAATAAAACTTGTGAAATTGCAGCAGCAGCGAGCGAACCAGCGGGTCATCCATCACACCTCCCTCCCAGAAACAAGCTTCTATTAAAGAGCACTTAGTAAATGGCTCATGTAAGACTGATACTGTCATTGGGCTGACATTGCTGCTAACCAACACGTCCTGGAATCACAATCAGCTAAGGCAACTCTCAGGCTGCAAACGTTTCAGACCAACATAGCAGTGTATTGATTTAAAATATATATTATTAAGTTGGATTTGATTCATTTTTATCATCAAAAGATTGCACAAAACGCCAACTGGCCAAGCCTAACTCATTTCATTGTGCGTTGTTTTGGTTACAAATATGTTTTTTTCTTTCTCATTTAGGTCAAAAGTGGCTTAGAGCACTTTTTATGTTTGTATTAATTTGATTTTTTATTTTTCCAAGGCTCACTTGTGTTAGCTGGAAGAAAAACAATGAGAAACAGGGTTAATCTGTTGTCTAAAATCAGGAACATGTCTTTCTACCCCTTGTTTCCAAATGCTCTGTTTTCAAACTTGATATGCAATGACAAGGACCACAGTTTTTCTTGAGGGTTTCCTTAAAATATGCATGAAAAAAAATCACACCCCCTACTGCAAAAGGAAATGTTTTCATTCGAGGTGCCTCTATGCAAAATATTAACTCCTAGTTTGTCAGAAATTGATGAACTCTAACCTAAAAACTTCTGGAAATGTGAAAGATCCAATAAAGACCTCTTATTTCCAGTAACATCAAACATTTTGGGATGAATCAGGACCAGTTTGAACTCCAAACTCACAATAGATTGCAAAAGTTTTAAAGGTTCCTGATGTGTAAGGATCTATTTTTGACGGAGCGTTTAGGCTTTTCAGAACTTTTTTTTTGTTTGGACATTTATTCATTTATTGTTCAGACATTTATTCATTACTCTAAACACACATCCAAAATGCCATATTAAAATGTTTACGTTGCCATGGCGAAGCACTTTGTCATGACGACGCACTTCGTCATGACAACCCTTGTGATGTCACAGAACGGAACATTCCAAAGTCTATGAGTGTAACACAGGATGAACACAGGACACATCCCGAAGCACTTTGCTTAAAGAAAAACGAAGAGAAATTTGCACTTTCCCCTCTTTACATATTACCAGAAAAACTAGAATAGTTTCAAATGGCCAAAAACTCCAGAAAAAGAAGGAATCAAAAAACCACCAACATGTATGTGAGAAACATGCGCAAGCCTGAGGAGGCGAAGTTGGCTGTTCCTCAAGATATGACGGGGTCAAACTTTGAAACTGTTACAGGATCAAAGCCTCCTGCAGCCCCAGCTGTATCTTTGCCCACTCCAACGACAAAGGATTACTGGGTACAGAACGGGCCAACCCAGAAAGATGATGAAGGGTGGCAAGTTGTAAAGAAACGGAGGCACCATAAATGTGAGTCAGTAAAACAGGCCCCTCCTGCTCACAGAGAACACGCTGCCAACTCCAGACAGAAGAACCTGAGAGTCCCCAAATCACCGAGGGGCCCGAGATCCACTCCTGACTGTAGACCTTTAAATGGGAAGGTCAGGACTGACCAACCAGAAGAGGCTAAACTTTTGCCTATTTTAACAAAGGAACAGAAGCAACAACCTGAGATAGAGGTGTCTCCTTCTGAGCCTCGTAAGGAGCAGAAGAAACCAAGGCGCCTTCCAACCTGCACTCTTGAACACAACTCGAAGGTTGTAGAGAAAAATGCGAGTCACCATTCTGAAAAACCTCAAACCCTACCAAATATAGACACGCAGGCTCCAACACTCACAAAGAAAGAGCACAACAAGCAGAAAAAGCAACACACACAAGCTCCAGTGACTTTCTCTTCTAAAATAAGAGCTTTAACAGAGTCTGAGCAGAGCTATGATGGACCTGGTTTGGCGTTTGGAACGAGCTGGAGCCCGATCGAAGAAAAAGAAGAGTCTCTTGTGATTGACGCCCCAACCTTAAAAGCTGAACCAGAAGAGAGTTTCTCTGTGCCTCAGCCAACTGGGATTGTTCTCTTTAGAAAGAGGGGCTGCCTGACCAAGGCCAGTGATAAGGACTGGTTTGAAATGCCTGATGAGGAGGAAGATGACGAGATTTATATGTCAATGCTAACGTAAGCCAAGTAATAACCATACCTCCCCTCTCCTCTTTCTCCCTCCTTACCCCCACCAAAAAAACAAAACAAGGCGACGCATCTAAAGATATTGACATTATTTAATCACATTTAGTTGACAATTTAAATGTGACTATTTTGTAGATAGTAGATTTAATCTAATGACTTTCTTACACAAATTGGCAAATACTGACCCCACCCACTCCTCACCATCCCTCCCATTCATTCTCCCTTCCACACCCCCAAACCTGAGACATTCCCCAGGTCTTAATTGAATTCCGTATCTCCAATATGGGGCAATATACAGTTGATGATGGGTGGTAAATAATTACTCCCTGGCATCATTCCTGCTACTGCCCAAAAACACACACACAAAAATCTAAAACAAATACCCTTCCCCATCTCTGTCCCTCCCAGAAAAATTGCCATGAACATTAAAAAGAAAACAAAAGATTTAAACAAGGACCACAGAACATTTGAAGCTAAATAAATTCCGAAAAAACAACGGCAAAAACACAATAATAACTCTTCCCATAAGGGGGCCCACAGTTGATGATGGGTGGCAAATAAAATACTACCTAGCATCAAGCCTGCTACCCCCAAAAACACACGCCTATTTTAACAAAGGTAAAGGAGACCAGAGGTGTCTCCTTCTGAGCCTCCTAAAAATTAGAGAAATCCAAGGCAGCTTCCAACCTGTACTCTTGAACACAAGGTCAAGGTTGTAGAGAAAAATGTGAGCCATCATACTGAAAAACCATACCAAATATAGACACGCAGGCTCCAACACTCACAAAGAAAGAGCACAACAAGTGGAAAAAGCAAGACACACAAGCTCTAGTGACTTTCTCTTCTAAAATAAGAGCTTTAACAGAGTCTGAGGAGAGCTATGATGGACCAGATGAAAGAGGACCCAAAATACAGGAACGCAAAAGTAATAATAATTTGATGATGATAAGTAAAAGTCCAAGATGAAATAACAATCTCAAAATCCAAACGGAACCAGGAACAGACCCAGACAAGCAAAGACATTGACGATGGACCATATATACACACACACAGAGACACAGGTGAAAGACTTTAGGGCGGGGCACACAATCAACAGGTGACCAGGACAGACCAAACCCACAGCGAAAATAAGTCAAAATGTAACTACAAATAAAACAAAAAGTAAAAAAACACCATAACAGGATCATTATTTGAAAGTGACTATAGATTCACAAACCATATTATTCTTAAGCCTGAAAGTGGCCAACATCATCCATAAGTTTTTTGTCTATTGTCACCATCTCAATACACCTTTATAAGAAAATAATCAGACCATAATCGATATAAGTTGACAAAGAAGACGTGGAATTTTGTGACAAGGAAAGACAAAGAAATAAACTCTAAGCTAGACTTGAAATCTGACTTTTGATTGTTTTCATAGTTACCAGGAAACACATCTCCACCACAATTTTAAACTATAAGATTTTGGAATGTTGTGATGTCAAATAAACGCTACCTAATGCACCCCGCTGTGTTTGATCCCATTTCTCTCACTAGATGGGGGTGTTGTTCATTTCTGACTTATTCCATTATCTGCGTAATTATCCATATGTTTTCCCCATTCTAACACATAAAATGCCAAAGAGAAAAGCTAAATGAGTGCACTGTAACTTTAAGTCCTGCTGTGGCCTTGACCTGTGTGTTAATTGCCGGACATCGTTGAGCATATGAGAAATCACGCTTGGTTTGCGGCGTCTGTAACTTTGTCTTCTCAGCTGTACAAGCAGAATCTGTGTAGCGTGACTTCGGTAATGATCGCCATTAATACTGGACCTGGCCGAAAGCACCGCCATATGCAGCGGGTATACAGCCAAGGCAAGGAGACGAGGAGACAAGGAGACGAGGAGGCAAGGAGATAAGGAGACGAGAAGGATTCAGGGTAGGATTGGGTGTCACCATTAGTGCATCATTTTCCCCCATGTCTGGATACAGTATTAAAATGTCTGTCTATAGAAATGGCCTTATAGTGATATAGTTTTGTTAGCAGAAACAGAAAGGTCTTATTATTAAACATTTTCATATTTGAAAGAAAGAGCCCCTTGTGTCACAGTTGGACGGTTTGGTCTGAGAGCTGATTGGCTCAGTGAGGGAGGTCCTGCCTGCGTCACTTTTCTGTCTGAAAAAGCTGATGTTGTGAGGCCCATGCTTGTGTAAAATGTAACCAAACTGTTTTCAGAGTGAGGAAGAGGAATATTGTTCTATTTTTGCATTTGTATGGTTTGAAAGTTAGATACCCCAGCTTTAAGGATTAGGCAAATGTTGATGCATTTAAGAGATAGAAAACTATTAAAACAAATAATAATCCTAATCATGAGTCATGATTTAAAGTCAAAACATGCTAAATCTATTGTGAATCTTAATCGGGTCATGTATTGTGTTATTTAACAAATGTCTTTTGTGTCAAATAATTAATTATGAAATCAAATTAAAAACACAGTTTGAGAATATTGAGAAGCACTACCTCAAACAAAGATGTAGCTTGCTTTTGGAATAGAATACTTTTGCCGAAATATGTTAGGTCGACTAATAAAATTGATTACAAGTTTTACATACTTTTGAATGTCCTTAATTTCAACTTTTGCGACTTTTTAAGACCCTGCTGTTACCTTGAATCATAGTCAGAGAGATTCTTCAGATACGCACACCATGGTAGATACTAAAATCCTTTTATTGCAGTTTTTATAGCACTTTATAGCACTTTTATAGCGGCCTGAGTGAATCTTCTATAAAAACATGGAGCAACGCTGAGCCCCTGTGGTTTGAGATGGAACTGCAGCTGTCTCGTTTGCACTAATCACATCCTAATAATAATTCCCTTTGCAAACACTCACCATCCATATTGTCAAAGACTGTTGTGTGCTTCACAAAGGCCACGTCGCCCAGGTTCTCCGCTACGCACCTAAACAATAAAGGAAAAAACAATTAGAGGAATTATAATAGAAATACTAGTGTTAATGTGTTTCTTTATAAACAACTCAAGAGAGCAGCCGTGTTCCCCCTCTAAGCCCAGAGTTCTAGTTACACAATTTATTAAACCAACCCGAGAGCCGCCGTATTCCCTTCTCAAATACAATTATAAGCGCGCTAGGGGCTTGTACACACACACACATACACACACACATAAACGCACACACACACACACACACACACTGATGCTCTGATGAGGCTGTAAGTGAGCTGATATCCAAGAGAGGCTTAAGCTCTGTTTGCCTCTGTTTTAATACATACAGTGACAGTGCAGTGCAGAGGAATGTGCTCTAACCAGGGCACTGGAAAGTCACAGTCAAATATTGAACGTAATAATTGGTCACAGGTCAAAAGCAGTGGTTATTGTAATGTTAATAATAAGAATAGTAATCTATTGGTTTAGACAACGCATTTCTGGACGCTCAAAGTCTCTTCACATGTCATTATTTTTTCACTCCATACGTGGTGGTGATAAACTACTACTGTAGCCACAGCTGCCCTGGGGCATAATGTCAGAAGCGAGCCAACCAGTATGTGTAAGTATCAGCTCCTCTGACCCCCATCAACCATTCATGCACACACCACACTCATTCTAGGCAATGTGGTTGAACGACAGTTTGGCACTTTATAGTCCCAGCCACCCCACTGTGGCACCTGGAGGTCTCCCATCACAGTACTAACCAGGCCCACATGAGTTTACGCTGCTAAGTGGCTGGGCGCTCCCTTAGAGAGGGTGAGGAGCTCGGTCACACGGGAGGAGCTTAGAGTAGAGCCGCTGCTTCTCCACGTCGAGAGGAGCCTGCTAAAGTGGCTCAAGCTTCTGGGATGCCTCCTGGGCACGTCCCACCTGGAGGAGACCAGGGGGAGCCCCAGTATATATTGGAGGGCTATGTCTCTCAACTGGCCTGGGAACGCCTCTGAATTCCCTCGGATGATCTGAGGAAGTGTGTGTGGCTATGGACGTTGGGGTGTCTCTGATTAGTCTGCTGCCCCCGCAACCCGGCAGCGGATAAAGCTCATGTGAAATTCTAACCAAACTGTTGAGAGCAAGGAACAACTTAAATGGATTTTTTTACATTTAATATGGTCTTTTCCCTTGGCATAAGTATAACCAGTAGGAATTGTTGAAGGAGGAGAATAGTTAAACCAATGACGAGGGGCCTTAAGGATTTATATCATTTTCAACCAATTAGGAAGCCATAGGGGTGATGAGCACGGACGGGTCTAGCCAGTGCCTGTCTCCAAAAGTTTCCTTCTCTTTTCATGATTTGAAAAATTAAGACCCTATAAAAGCAGTGGTTTTCCAGTTACTCCTTCAATACTTAGACCATGTATCTGAACGTATACAGCCATGTGCACCTGAGGGCCCCGGTCTCCCCGTAGTGCCTCTCTCGGTGGTTGTTGACGCAGATGTGCCGGTCGTTCTCGTCCCCGATGCAGGCCTCGCACAGGTTCTTGGGGTTGGTGCCTCTGGGGTCGTGCAGGGGGTCCTTCACTCCTGGGACGCAGCTGTAACCAAAGAAGTTCCCCACGGCTGCCCCGGGACAGAGGAGCAGTGAGAGAAGGCATTCAGAGAGCACATGATATGGTCTGGGATTGGGTTGAAAGTTAGGGGCTGGAACGGAACCAAGTGTCAAATGTTACACCCGTGCAGAATCACTTGTAGGTAATTGTACTCTGTGAAATAATGAAATTGCATTAAATGGATGGATCACGCCGAGAATGGACTTTTTGTTGGATCAGTCTATATAATGATAGTTCTTATCTTGGGGACGCTCCTAGTTTGATGTTATAAGTTATTTTACAGAATGTCGGTTCTCTCTAAATATGCACACAATATTAATACATAATTAGACTGTTTTGTACTAGGTCAGCTTATATTTGAGAGCAGAAGAATGATACCTGTTGTCCCTTCTCTGGTATCGGTTGAAATCAAGTAGCAGCAGAAATTTAAGTTAAAGTATTGGGATCGGAGTAGAGAAACCTGGGTCGGTGCATTCCTAATATCAACTTTCTTGGTGGAAAAGTAGCAGAATTGCAAGTGCTCCTGAATCCAGTACACTTTTAATTCAGCAAAACATTTCTTGAATATCATATACTTATTTCAGTTTCAGGGCTCCACTTTTTGTCTGTTTCACACTAATTTTAAAAAGAAATGGGGGGATCATTATTAGTTGATAGTGATTATTATGTCAATTAATGGAACATTTTATTTGACCCCTATAACCTGCAGAATTGATTTATCATTTATCATATATATAGTTAGTTTCATATAATATTGATAATAACCAAGGTCCAGGTCCAGTAGCCGTAATGTGATCTCCACAGCAGCCGACCATCAGCCTCTTCAACCTCTCCATTCTCTCCTCCTGGATGATCTCCTACCATCACGAGTTAAATTCACACCAACCTATTATTATCGGTCTAAAGAAATTAAGGGAGAGTTTAGTCACCTCCTGTCTCTCCCTTGTTGTTATACTTTTGTACTTTGAACCTTGTTTTTATTCATGTACTTGTCTGGTGCACACTGGGGACTTTTTGCGAATGTATTCCAATGTGGTTTTACTGCAAATTGCAAATACACTAAATCTGATCCAAAACATTAAAATCAGGTAAGAAATCTTTGGGTAATAACAAGACTGTGTGGAGTCCTCAGGTCAGGTCTCTGCTCGTGTAAGTCTCCATGGCCAGAGTAGACCCATGACATAGATTAATTGAATGCCATGAGAAGAAACTCAGACTCTGACGAGCATAGGGACTGGCCTCCTCCTGGGACTTTGAGGAGCACAGGAACTGGTCTAAACTGGACTGGACTAAACATGGGGAGGCAGACTTTCAGATTCATAAAAGTCTTCGTGAAAGTTTAAGACTAGCTTCTACTCTAACAATATTCAAATCCTTGATAAAAACGGCATCCAACTGAAAGATTGTATTCATTGTACATACAGTATCTTCAGTAAAACATAATTCCATTGTGACGTATGTTTCCTAATTTGTGAGTGGATTGTGCCATACAAAAAAACTCGCCTTTGCTCAGGAGTTGCACTTCCCCTCTCAGCCCAATCACGCTGCTGTGTGTGTTTGGGTTCATTTCCATTCAATTACATGTATTCTTGTTTAGCCCTAAATCACAACAGTGGTTTTCTCAAAGAACTTTACACAACCATTGAATTTGCTAAACACAGATCAGAGAATCAGCTCAAACACAAGAAATGAAACAGAAAACACATTTGTATTGGTCCATAAGCGGCAGATGACCAATGACCAGTGTTGATAAATGTCCAATAAAGGGGTCTCACCTTGGGGCAGGTTGCACTGGTCGTCCACGCTGATCTGGGAGGTGTTGACCAGGTACCCGATGGGCACGGTCCAGCCCACTGTGGTGCGTATCCCGGGGTGACAGGAGCTGCGTTCGTGCATCTCCAGAAGAGACAGGTCTGCGGAGGAGCGGCGCGCCAAGGCCACCACGTAGTAATCGATGCCGTCTAAACAAAGACGAGAGGTGGATCAAGATGATTTATGTTAATTTATAACAAACTGCAGTTCAGTCGGAGTCTGCGGTGATGAGGTTGTGGTGAAGAGGAGCTTTGGCTGTGCAGGTTTTTTTTTTTTAGGCAGCAGGGAAAGGCGCTCAAGGCTGGAGGTCGCCACGAGAGAGATTTTGATAATCCTTATGTAATGACTCCAAGTGAGGAGCTCGGAGTAGAGCCACAGCTCCTCCAGTCAAGAACGAATGAGTGAATGTATTTTGGTCAATTGTTTGATTAATAACCGATATTACATTCACTGACTGTATTTCAACCAAAAAGGATTGTGAACGTCATTAGCTATTAAAACACAACTATGTAAAAAATAAAATAAAATACATACAGATTTCTAACTCAAAATACATATTTTCCAGAAAAATTTAATGTTTTGTTTTGTTTTTTCATTTTCTCCTTTTTATTATTTTTTTTTAAGGCAAAGTGTATGAATTCATTATTCCACATTTGAAGATAGTTTTAAGTGTTGATAATATATTCATTACCTTAAGCTGATCATTCTACATTTTTACTCCAATGACAGACACACATCTGTTTTTACTGTTAGTTCTGGATTTTCTTGTTTCCAACTGAAGCAAACCTCTCAGATTCTCAGATTGTGAGAAGAATATGGATTGAAGCCCAAATGTACCACCCTCATGTCCAAGAGTTAAGGACAGAAATAGAATAAAATACTGTCTTATATAATGTGTAATGCCATCAAAACACACGCAAACATTACAACTTGCAAGAGAATATAGAAAACATGTCCATCCATCCATCCATTTCTACCCTTTAATCCATTTCTGGGTCAGGGGGGTGGCAGTCAGAGATGCCACCCAAGTCTCATAGCACCAGCCCCTCACTGACCCTCTGCAGGTGGTGAGTCCACAGGAGGACGGCTGCTCTCTGAGTGTGAGCATAGCCTTGATCTTTCAGTGGGGGCTTTGGGCAAAGTGGGGTTAAGTGTCTTGCCCAAGGACACAACGACAGCAGTGATCAGTGGGAGTCGGTGGAGAAGGTGCAGAGGTGGGAATTGAACCCATGACCTTCTGGCCTTAAGGCCAATGCTCTACCAACTGAGCTACTGTCGCCCAGAAAGACAGTTAAAACATGTTAATTTGACAATAAATGGTTTCACACAACCATTAACGCTGTTAACTGGGTTATCATTCATAATCTCTGAATGTTATATTAATCACAACCAAAACAATCTCTTTCAAGCAAATGTATTTTTAAGTGTTTTATTGTGCTGTTTATTTTACTGTCTGTACAGAACTGTGGTTAGCCTAGGCTGCTTAAAATGTTCTCTACAAATAAACATGTGATTGAATTGTTACATAATTCAATTCTCACGGTAAAACATCATTGGACAAGCTATTTCAATGACCAGAGCCAGAACCAAAAAAGAGTCTTCGATTATTTGTGATGTTTGTATGATAATTGAACCTGTATTTTTAATGAACTGACTGCATTTAAATACTTTACATCCAAAATCATGTTAAAAGGTACACTGTGTGATTATTACTGCCATCTAGTGTTGAGATTTTATATCGCAGGCCAAGCTACTACGGAAGCCTTTGAGTTTGACAGAGCTCCTCAACTCTCAGTCATTCACAAGATTGCCAAGGAAAGAATACTTTAGTTTGATAAATAACCGGATCTCTCCAAACGTGTCGGGCACTTGACACAATCGTGTGGAGGCGACATGTAAACATTTAAAACTATAAATTATAAATATATAGTTTTACAAACGTGGTGTGAAGAGAAGAGACACATGGAGGATTAACGTCTGTGAAGCTTAAAACAACGACGATTAAAGAAGCAGTAGATATACACAGCAGCAGCAGGACATGGCTAAAAGCTCATGTTAGCATTAGCGTTAGCCACATCACGGTAAGAAACAGAACCTTCACTCACGCTGCTGATGAAGTATTCTGGCTTTTGTTTTGTGGGGATTCTGTGTGTGTTTTATTTGAGGCTTTTTCCCTGAATAAGTTTAGTTGAAACTTGTGACAGTAGTTGGACTGCGCTCAGATCGGGTCAGATCATCCTGAGACTGTGTTGTAGATTCTGTCTCGTTCTCATTATTGTCAGTGTGAAAAAGTGACGTATTGTTCACGTGTGAGTCTGTTGTGTACAAATTACACGATGTCCTGCTGTTGGAAACGCTGTCTTTGTGCGTGTGTTGACACTTTGACGCTAAGACGCTGGACTTTTGCAACTGTCCTCGAACTGTGGTCCTCCATGGTTCTTTTATATAACTGTGGTCCTCCATGGTTCTTTTATATAACTGTGGTCCTCCATGGTTCTTTTATATAACTGTGGTCCTCCATGGTTCTTTTATATAACTGTGGTCCTCCATGGTTCTTTTATATAACTGTGGTCCTCCATGGTTCTTTTACATAACTGTGGTCCTCCATGGTTCTTTTATATAACTGTGGTCCTCCATGGTTCTTTTACATAACTGTGGTCCTCCATGGTTCTTTTATATAACTGTGGTCCTCCATGGTTCTTTTATCTTTTATATAACTGTGGTCCTCCATGGTTCTTTTATATAACTGTGGTCCTCCATGGTTCTTTTATATAACTGTGGTCCTCCATGGTTCTTTTACATAACTGTGGTCTTCCATGGTTCCTTCTTCCAACTTGTGAAAGCACGGGGAAAGCAACGATATCAGTAGCTCATGTGAGACGAAAACGAGATTCTCGCATCCTTTTTGTCCCTTTTCCACCACCGTTTTTCAAGATGGCACATATTCACGGAGAGCACTCCTCTCTCATGGACACTTATAAGTTAAATTCTAAGCCTATGAAAACAATTCAAAAAACATGGTGGAGGTAAATATTCTTAAAAAGGTCGCGTTTTTTATTAGTTAACATGTTTTTTCATATGGAAAAATTACACAGGGTGGTTTTAAGGAGCAGCAATAGCACAAATAATACACACGATTTGTCTTTAATAATTGATTCTCACCGATGCCATTGAAGGTCTCCCCAGCGGTCAGCTCCAGGCCGTGGCACAGACACGCTGCATAGATATCGTCTGCAAACATGGACGCTGCATCGGCGCTACCGTTCTGAACAGAGCATGTTTGAAAGGAGGAACAGCCACAGATTCTTTATTATTGATTTTAAACAAACAAACATATACAGGTGTGCTTGAAAGTAAATGTGTGCACTTTATTTATCCCCATAGGAACTTTCCCCTCTGCATTTGACCCATCCTGATGCCACTAGAGCGCCCAGGGACCCATCTCCAGGTGTTGATGCTTGGTTTGGTCAGGACTAACACAGCTGGAAGATTTGACCTATTGTACATGTTTTTTATCGTACACACCCAGCCAGTACACTTGGTGCTCAGTGTACTGGGTGCAGCTCTGACTGCCACCCCCACGACCCAGAAATGGATTAAGGGGAAGAAAATGGATGGATGGACACCCAGCCATTGAGATCATTGTTTTAGCTATATTTTGGAAATTATGATTATGATTTTTTTCACACATCTTTAGTGGTTGTGTGAATTTTAAATTATGAATTATGATAAATATTGTCAAACAAATATGTTTATAAGAGATGAGATAAGATAGAATTTATTGATCTCACACTGGAGAAATGTACATGTCACATTTGGCAAAGATAGAATCACTCAGATTGCGCAAAAGGCAATTGTGGCAATTAAAGAAACAGTGGCAATAATGGGTGTCAAACCGGTTTCAGAAAGGTCCAGTGTGGCTGCAGATTTTATTTCCACCCTGAACACACCAGACTCCCCCCAAAATGGTTGGGTGGAGTCTGGTGTCTCCTGCTCAGATTTGGAAATACTTATTTTGGATTCAACTGTTGGCTGTACAGACCCGATCCGCAGTAAGCGATGTGAACATTTTCCTTCCATATTTTTTAATTACAACATCATTGACCTGCTCTACCATGTAAGGAGGCCCAGGAATTTACAGGAAGGAGCCTTTTGCCAAGAAAGTAAGTAAATAGTAGTAAAAGTAGCGCCCTTCACCAACCAGTCACAAAGCAGGGTCACCATAAAAGAGGCCAATCCAAGACCTATTGTAAGTGGTTTTTTGTGGTAGTCAAAACCGGAGCACTTGGAGGAAACCTACGTAATTGCAAAAGAATGGGCAGCTTAACAATCAGAGAATAAAGAACCTTCTCGATAAATACCACAAAATGCTACTGGAGGATGGAGACTTATGATCAGGGTCAGGAGAGTATCTGTTGTCATTATAGTTTGAAAATTGAAATGAATATTGAAAACACATTTACTCAACAAAAATGGCTTCAGACAACATCCACTAACAATAATTTAAGAAATGTATTGTGTCTCTCTCATTCATCATTTCGACCTGGATGTGTACACTTTCCAGCACAACTGTATTTAACTGTACTTACTTTTATTTTGAGAATGCAGTCCTGGGAGCTCTCTGCCCGCACACATTCTAAAGTCCCCCTGATGTTCCGCGCTGTGGCATTACTGGCCAAATCCAGGCACTTCTGCTCCTCTGCCTCCGACGTCACGCACCAAGACACTGACACAAACGGGAACGCTCATTAGAAATAGAACAAGTCATTCGTTTTCTTGACCCAGAGAAGTCCTGCTACAATAAATAATGTGTGTTTTGAATAGAGTAACATTCTGTGAAACAATATGACCACAACACACTGTCTTCATTGTATTCCATTGTATTATTATTATTTTTTCTCTGTGAGTCACTATTTGACATTTTGGGCTGAGAGCTGATTGGCTGAATGATGGGCGGTCCTCTCTTTTTAATTTCGTAACCCCAACCCTAACCCTAATCCAAAGCCTAGTCAGTTAAATGTTGAAGGCCATGTAGAATAAAACGGCTTAAATGCTAAAAAAAGTGCTTAATAAATACCAATTAAGAGGCAATTAACTTAACCAAAAATTATGCAATAATTAGCACTGAATTTGTTGTTAATAAGAGAGGGATAACTAAAGTGTGGCCGACAAAATGTATTTAAAAAAAAAAAAAATGAACCAGAAAAAAGTAAGCAAAAGTAAGGAGGAAGTAAAGAGTTAATTCCTCGATTCTAAATCAACCCCGGCTGATTAGATTTGCCAAGTAAGAGGACGTCACAAACTCGGAATCATGGTGCAAACAAGTTGTAAAAAGTAGAAAATAGATCTAAAGAAATGCATGAAAAATCTTAAAATTAAATTAAAATGTATAAAGATTTATGAGAATAATCTGGCTGTTTTGCATGGACTGCTCTTTTGAGGTCAGCCCCTAGTTTTTCACAGACGTTTGGGTCTGGAAACAGTGAAGGGCGTGGTACCTCTAATATGAAGCAGAAATTCAGACGGGAAGAACTACTGTAAGCTCAAAGTCCTCCCACTGTTGCTCACGGCAACAGTTTCAATCAGTTGCACAACACCAAAGCACGATGGATCATCAAATGCATGTTCCAAAGATTCAGAGCCGAGGCATTACCAAGAACACAGATCACATGAAGGAGCGGTGCAGTTTTTTCCCTCGTGAGCTCTATCTGCAAAAGAATCTGTCCTGGACACATCTACAGCCTGTTCTTCTCATATGTAACGTCTTTTGACAAGTCTATGAGTCCTATCCGTGGAGAAGACAGCATCACTAGTCAAGTCCGTTTTATTGAATAGTTTAAACAAATGTCATTAAGCATCTGTATGAAACAAGATGGAGATAACATTATGGTTTTTATTATATGCTTATTTTTTATTATCACAGAACTCAGCGCTCACTGTCTTGTATTGATATTGCACTGACAATATTTATTATTCTGTGTATAAAAACTTCCGTCAAACCATTCGTCATGTATTTTCCGGCCTCTGTCACATCTTTAGAACATCTTTTTCAGATAGAACAGTGAAAGAGAGAGGACCACCCTCACTCCACCGATGAGCTCTCAGCCCAAATAGTGACTCAGAGGGGTTCATTTCTTATCTGGCTGGCCCACGTCATACTTTCAGGCTGTGCCCGGCCAGGCCCCTCGGGCAAAGGCCGGGCTACTAGACACTCCCTGCACCATGCCGGGCAACGTTGTGCTTTCCATGGAGGGTTTTGGACTGCGCTTCGTCTGACTCGTCATCCAAGACCTGTTTTCCAGTCTGTCTTTCTCAAGTGGAGGAGTTAAAGTCTCTAGCCAGATCAGTGCAGCGTGCGCAGTGATGCGGTCGCTGTATCGGACCGTTGTGGTAAAGAGGGAGCTGAGCCGAAAGGCAAAGCTCTCGATTTACCGGTCAATCACGGATACAAGCGGTCGAAATGAGCTTCCTCCGCAGAGTGGCTGGGCGCTCCCTTAGAGATAGGCTGTGGAGCTCAGTCACACGGAAGGATCACGGAGTAGAGCCGCTGCTTCTTCACGTCAAGAGGAACCATTGTAGGTGGCTTGGGCATCTGTCCCGGATGCCCCCCAGATGCCTCCCTAGGGAGGTGTTCTGGGCACATCCCACTGGGAGGAGACCCCGGGGACGACCCAGGACACGCTGGAGGGATGTCTCTCTCTGGCCCGGGAACGCCTTGGGGTCCCCCCGGACGAGCTGGAGGAAGTGCTTGTGGATAGGGAAGTCTGGGCGTTTCTGCTTAGACTGCTGCCCCCGCGACCCGGCAACGGATGAAGCGGAAGAAAATTGAATTGAATTAAATAGAAAGGGTTTATTTGTACAAGTGTGCAAAAGATAAACATGTTTTCTAAAGATGATGACAGAGTGTTGTGGCCTGATTTGTTCACAACATTCGACATTTACAAAATTCTTTCTATGAGACAAAGAGCAATTTATATTCATGAACAAGTAAAAGGTAGGTACAGTACTCCAGCTTTAAGCTAACACACAGATCTGCATGGCGCCAGAAAGAGAAAGAGCTCTGGTGTGTACTATCCTGGTGCACACTGGGTAGTCTTAGGTGTGCACAGCTTATCCAATGTGTTTTTACTGCAAACGGCAAATGCATTCTTGTATCTTGTAAATTGCCACGTCCAAAATAAGAAATGATTATGCAGTTCTTTATTGTTTTATCGACTTTTTCCCACAATTCCACAGAACTCAAAATTATTCACCACAGTGATTGATAGTAAATGACATAATTAGGAATATCATCAGAAATGCAACTATTTTTTTTTATTACAATGGCAGACCTGAAGGCAGCACAAGGGATAGAAATATAGATTCAACATACACATATCAATCTTTATTTTTAGAGCCCTTTACCACAACACAGAAAGAAAGTGTTTTACAATCAAATCAAGCCATAATGCTTTTAAGATTCAATAAGACGTTTTCTGAATGGCACTGCAGTACATACCCGTGCGGCCCTTGGAGTCACATCTGGCAGACAGCAGGTGCAGCAGCAGAACCAGCCCTAGTACATACACTATTTTCTCCACTATCTCCATACCAGAACCAGTACAATTCCCTTTTACCATCAAATCGGAAAAAGAAAACCCGCTCGTCCTCTTCCATCCCTTATAAACTCGAGATCAACTTCACGGCCCTGGCACCTCCTCCTAAGTGGATAATCCTTACCCCAATCTCAAGATCTCGTGTTTCCCTTGGCCACGGTCCCGTATAGAGGTGGACATAGGAAGGCCGGGGGCAGATGAGGTCACCTGGCGCACCGGGGAGTTTAATTAAAAAGGGGCCGGACAATGAGGCTCTATGTGGGAGCAAATGGATACGTCTCCGGAGATGCGGTCCCATGGCGGGGCTGGGACCCACAGTCCTGCCATTGTGCCTCATTTTTGCGATTTCAACTCAAAAAGAATATATGTTAAGTGTTTCCGGGGAATGGTCAGAGATGGCACGTAGGCCGAAATTTTCCTGGATAAAAAATGTAAGGGTAATTTCAGTGTTGTCTTTCTCTATTCTCTACCTTTGCCACAATAAGAAACAAGTATAAAGTACTGTGTATTCTAGTGTAAGTTAATTGTAGAAAAGAAGGAGAGGTTTTGCACATGAATGTTTTTTTTTTTTTTTTTAAATAACGTTTGAGTACTCTGAGCATGATTCAATATATTTCCACCTCATCGAGTTACAATGCATTTTCATCTGCACATGGGTTTTTATGTATGATATTCAACCCTATGTGAATATCTATAAATGTAAATATATCCCAATAATAGAGTGAGAAGAAGTGAAACGTATTTATTCCTACCACCTCTCTGCTGCACACATGCACAGCTGCAATCTGTAATAAAGACATCATTTTCATAACACATTGTATTTTATGGTTTGTACAAGATTGCATTTTCTCCCTTTTGTGCACATAAATAATTATAACTTGTAAATCGGGGCTTTTTCTTCTTTTTGGAATATGTGAAAATCTCTTTGTTTGTAAAACAGTACAACAAACACATGTTTCCAAATAAAATACAGTAGAATGAGCCGACACACATGGAGCTGATTTGTATCTTGGTGCCGACTGCTTCGTGGAAATAGTTTAATTCAATGTTAAGATGAAGAAATCCTTTATACGTGCCTTTAGATAGATAGAAAGATCAGGGTTTTTTTTAGGAAATTAAAACAAAAAAGGACAACTGTTGATCTAGAGGCAAGCTCCCTCTTGCCTCTAGATAGGGGGGGGGGGGGGGGGGGTGGCAGTCAGAGCTGCACCCAGTACACAAAAAGAAAACCCGCTCGTCCTCTTGTTATTGTTAGATAGATAACAATAGTCATAATCAGCAACAGCCCTTCAGGTCACAGCAGCAGAGGTGGAGTAGCTCTGGGTGGAGCAGGACGGGTCACAAGGTGGAGTTGCCGCTTGGTTCAGACCATGGTTAAGCTGAGGACAGAATTATACTCATTATGTAATTACTCATTTTACACATGGTACAGAGGGTCAGAAATATGCATTCTTGTGAAGATGAAATACATTCCAACCACTCACGCCCCCCTTGCTTGATTTATATAAAAAAATATAATAAAAAACTGAAAACATCTGTGAAATTTAAACTTGAATCTGTCTGAATATTCTTTGGAGCACAACAAGTGGCTGGCCTCTGTGCGAAGTTGAGGCCCTGTAGTTATGCCCTCTAATTACTTGTTTATGCTAATCACAAGTGGGAATAATCTCATGCATAGTGAAAGTGGTAAATATAAATGAGGGTATGGTTATATTCTGTTCATAGTTGAAAACAAGATTTAAAAACAAAAAACACAAAAAAAGACTAAAATGTAGGGGACACATAGATTGGCCCTGGGCTGACATCATGGAATTAGGATTAGTAATATAGTGAAAATACCAGGACATAATTTCAACAATATTAGAATAGTTGTAATAATTGTTATACATAATGATATCATATTTAATGTCATATATATTGATGTATGTATTGATAAATAAGTTAATCTTTTGATATCATAGTTAAAATGTCTTGTTATTGACCACATGTGCCAAGTGCAGAGGGAATGAAAGAGAAACAGTCAGTTTTGTAAACACTATATTAATGTAATATGTATTAAAATGTATGTATCAAATAAATTAGAAATACACGGGCTAATCTCCCGAGTACAGTCTTGTTGCCTCCTTGCTTCCCACCACTGGACACTCGTGATTATTTGGATGGTTGTGAGAGCAGAGATTAGCCTGGTTAGAAGAATGGGAAATGGCTATATTAAGTTGCATTCACCTTTTAAAGAAAGAGACTTCTATTCCCAGGGTCAGTCTGTGATCGCCGCCGCACACAGCAAAGAGCCGAATAAGGACACAGGAAGAATTCAGTTCATAACAAAAGACAGAAATATGATGGTTGAAGTGTGATGCTAAAGTCTATAACATAGTGATCGGTTCTGGATGAGGCTGTCGCATGGTGACGAGGGGCTTGAGTTATAAACAGCCTGGGCTTGAGACTGAGAAATGTTCTGGGGGTTCTTTATCAATCAATCAATTTTATTTGTAGAGCGTCATTCCTTCACAAATCCTCACCTAAAACATTCACCAACAATCACACGGGTCATTAAAACCATTGAAACATTAAAATCACACAAGGGGTTAAAATAACAAACAACCAGTGTGCATTATGAACAGAGATAAGATCCTTCAGTTGTATGCACAGGCAAACAGAACCGTCTGTAACCGAGCTCTTAAAATAATCAATGACTCTTCAGGCCATCATGGGAAAGCCATGTTCCAGCTTCTTCCCTCTGGCAGAAGATTTTGTTCGCTGAGATAGAGGACATCTTGATAATATGCTAACAGCTTCTTTCCACAAGCTGTTTTCAGTTTGAACAAAGCACTGTCATGATCTTGCATTTGTATTGAAACTGTTTTGGATTATTGGTTTCATGGTGACAATTGTTTCTTGTACTTTTTAAGCTTGTTTTATATTATGTGTTTGTACTGGGGTACTTTTGCACATGTATTACAAAGTGGTTTTATTGGAAATGGCAAATTTGAATCTGAATCTGGAGTAACTCATTTCTAAAGGAAAAAAATTGCTATAATAAGATCCTGTTGGAAGTGCCTTAAAGCTGGGGTATGTCACTTCCAAACCAAAAATTAAATACATTGCTACATGAGAAAATCTATGTAACTAGTTCCTCGCCCACTGTTTGTTTTCTGTCACTTCACAGCCAATACTTTTTTGTCACATCTTTAGATCAGGTTTTTCAGAGATGATCTCAATGTTTCACTTAAGAAACATTCCCAAACTCCGCCCCTCTCTTTCCCTCTGTGATGCTGAGAAGCTGGTCCACGCCTTTATCTCCTCCAGGTTGGATTATTGTAATGCCCTCCTTGTCGGGATCCTTGGCAGAAGCCTTCAAAAGCTTCAGCATATTCAAAACAGCGCTGCCAGGGTCCTGACAAGGACACGCAAGTTCGACCACATCACCCCCGTCCTCCGTAAACTCCACTGGCTCCCCATACACCTCCGTATTGAGTATAAGATTTGTCTCCTCACTCACCAATGCATCCACAGCAATACTCCAGAATACCTGAAAGACCTTCTCACCCTACAGCCCACATCACGATCTCTCCGGTCCACAAACACCTACCGTCTCAGTCAGCCAATCACACGCCTTCACTCCATGGGAGACAGGACTTTTTCAGCCGCAGCACCACACCTGTGGAACGCTCTGCCCCAAGACCTGCGGGCGCCACAGTCTGTGGAGTGCTTCAAAAAGTACCTGAAAACAGAGCTATTCAGCAAGGCCTACAGCTGATCTGCAGCCCATGTTTTTTAATGCATTTTAATATTTGTCTGTATGCGTTTTTATTCTGATGTTTGGCCTTTGTTTTAACTTGCTGTAGCACCTTGCATATCACCGTGCATCATAAATAAAATCTATTATCATTATTATTATTACCACTTCCTGGACCTTTTTCAGATTTTCAAATTTGCACGGTCCTTTATGGGCTCTATGCACGCACCACTTCCGCGTTTTAGCTAAAGCCCCACTTCACTTCCTGTTGGCGGGAAACAGCTTGAGTTCCACTGAAGTTCAGCAGTGGTTTACACGAGTTTCCCAAATAATGCTCAAACAGGAATTAAACTGTGAGGATACTGGGCATTTTGGGACACAGCAGTGCTCTTTGATTGTGCTGTCATTGTGTTTCTATAAAGTTTACAAATCGCTCTGAGTTTCCCAGAGTCAAAGCTCTACCTCAGAGTGAAAGCACAGCGGCACTTTTGGGTCAGTCTCACAGCTGAATGTATCAATCTAATTACTAAAAAACGTCACTAAAACTCACCTAAATGCCATAGGATAGCATAGGCAGGAAGTGAACGGGCTGTGCTTTGTTAACAGAAAATGACGTCACGCCTCCCCGTGCATATAGCCCATACATTCTGTGGATGAATATTTTGTATGTATAGGAAACTATGTTTAAAAAAATGGTTAAAGCAAGTCTAAAATTATGAAATATTAGGGTCTCCAGCCTGTAGCTTTGGAGTTAACAGTAGTTCGCAACTCTCTTTAAAGTGGCTCAACAAAGGATGATTTTATGAGTAAGTATAAAAATGATTATGGTCGATTTCTTTCTGGGTATTGCACTACCCAACAAAAAATGGCATACGATTTTTTAGATATTGCCCAAATTTGGCTAAATTGATTAGAGCACATTATTACAGCCTTAAAACAAGATTTTCCAATGGAACATTTGCTATATCTGTGCTGGAAATAAGAATGCCAAATTGTTTTAAAATCTAGATAAAAACTACAGAATATTGTCGACTTTCTAAAGGAGTAAAACCTTCAAACAAGGTCAGAAATCTAGGGGTAATACTGGACTCAGACTTAAATTAATAGCCACATTAAATCAGTAACATCAGCAGCTTTTTACCATCTAAAAAACATTGCCAGGATCAAAAACATAGTGTCTAAAGCAGACTTGGAGATTCTTATCCATGCATTTGTCTCCAGTAGGTTAGACTACTGCAATGGCCTGCTCACAGGTCTGTCCAAACAGGCTGTAAAACAGCTGCAGTACATTCAAAATGCAGCAGCTTGAGTCCTGACTAGAACCAGGAAGTACGACCATATTAGTCCAGTTCTCAGGTCTCTGCACTGGCTTCCTGTGGCTCAGAGAATAGACTTTAAAGCAGCTCTGCTTGTGTACAAGTCTCTCCATGGCCTCGCACCAAAATATATTAGTGACATGTTAGTCCCATATGAACCAGCCGGGACTCTGAGGAGCACAGGGACTGGACTCCTGTTAGTGCCCAGAGTCAGAACTAAACATGGGGAGGCTGCTTTTCAGATTCATGCTGCTAAAATCTGGAACAGTCTTTCTGAAGATGTGAGACAGGCCTCCTCTCTGACAATGTTTAAAACCAAGTTAAAAACTGTGCTGTTTAGCTGTGCATACAACTGAGGGATTTCTTTTTAATGTACTGTGATTATTTATTATTATTTTAATGCTATCTTATTTTGTTCAGCAAAAAGTAGCTCTGGTTGGAGACGTGGATTAAACAAGTCTAGTCCTAAATACCATTCCTTACCAGTTGGTGGCGGTAAAAACGCGCCATGTTCGCTGTTCAAGCACCACCAACAAACTCCTCCGTAGAAGAAGAAGGAGCAGACAGCAGTGGGAGGACCGGGCAGACACTACTCTCCCGACACAACAACACCACGACCCGGGCTTCTCCTCCGGCCATGTCCCCTTTTCCTCTCCCCGTACGATGAGCCAGTCCCCCCAGTGTGCTGCAGGTATGTGCCGCTCTCCTGCTGCCTCACCCCGGCTTCTTAAACCTATACATAACAAAGATAGTGCTGTGTGTATGTGTGCTGCTAGCTTCGGTTAGCATGTGGCTAGTCCCAGTGGCGCCTGGCAGTCTCCGGAGCTCATGTTATCGGGTTAGCGGCCTCGTTAGCCTCCGCGGTGAACACAAACAAAGTGCCCCTCACGGATCTTTTATTCTTCAGCGTAAACACCAGGTCCAGGCTCTGGGTTCAGTCTCAGAGAGGATGTGTGTGGTGAGCAGCGTTAGCAGTAGGTCTGGGCAAGCGTTCTAATACAATAACAAACCAGAATGCACCTCGATAAAAAAGAAGGTAGTTTACAGATCTTGCTGTTATTATTATTTCAAAATGTTTCTGTCCTTTTTTGTTTAAAATGTTGTTTTTTCCTGCTTCAGTGTAATAAGAACACTGACAACAGAACAACCTTGTTTACTGCATCAGTTTGTTATTGCTTCATAATGCTTTTCTTACGTGAACAAATCCATAATAGTTTGTAGCCTTGATTGATGGTTTTCTGCACAATGTCCATCTACTTTATCTTATTATAATCCCAGTACCGCCTAGTACATTGTGTGTGTTTCTATCAATTATTTTAGTAGTAATAGTGCAATCTAGCAAATATTACCTTTTGATGAATGGAATAATCTGTGAATTGTGCTTATGGATCCTTAAACACATATCCTAAAGCATATTCAATTGTATTAACGATAGTAATACAATACATAGTGAAATAACTTTTTAGTGCAGTTCAGTGGATTACACATTGCAGAAACTTTTTATGTCTGAAAGAAGTGTCAAATTAGTTCTGTGCACCCATGGTTCTGTGTGCTACAACTACACTTGGTTTTCACCCTGTAAAGCATCATTCATCTCTAGTTTCTTTTAGTCCAAATAATATTCACATATTCTTACTGTACTTGAATGTATCTTTTGTTATCATACTACTCTGTAAACAATGTGGCTGTTGTCCTGTTTTGTGCCAGTGCAGTGAAGATGGCAGCGTGCAGCGTCCCTTTGCTTCTGCTCCTGCTGCAAGTCCTGCCCACATCAGCTGAAGATACAGGTAAATGTTTTTAGTAGCAAGTAAGTAAGTAAGGTTTATTTATATAGCACATTTACAGACCAAGGTCACCCAAAGCACTTTACAATTGTTCAGAGTTCAGATATTTATTCCATTTTCTCCACACTGTGATGACAGAAGCTAGTCTAACTAGTCACCATAACTATTTCAAAGTCCAAAACCGTAATTAGTATTTCAGCCTTTGACAAAAGATAAACCATCACACACAGCCTGTGAGACGTTTTGGGATAAATCTAGAGCAGTTTGTCTACATCTCGTTCCAAATAAAACAGTTCTGTCTGATCCTTCCAGACAGCTGCATTACATTATGGGCAGAGAATAAGGACTATACCCACAACCAGATTGAGTTTTGCTTTTTCCACAAACCGGTCCGACCACTCTTTAGTCTCGTCTCGGTGTACATGCAGGTGTGATGTTCATTTGACCATACTGTACTTTGTGACACTTGCAAAAGGAACTGGTGAACACATTTTTCAAATGTTAGAGCTTTTACAGCTGTGAGCTATAACTTTTCTCTTTGAAAATCATAGTCAGGTCACATGTACGTTGAGCATTTAGATCAACTTCTGCAACACCAGTCGTTTGCTTTCTACAGTAAAATAGAAATACGAGCACAAGAAACAGTTGTAGTTCCTTTAAGTTGGACAAGGCCATCATCCAATCCTCTCTCCTCTCGTAGGAAAAACAGTTACTTAAACTAGCGTATTTTCCCTGCAGATGGGCCGCTGGTGTGTGCGTGTGACAAGTGCCAGGAGGCGGTGGAGTGTCGAGGCACCAGCTGCTTCTCCTCGGTCAAACGAGAGAGTGGCCTGCTGCTGTTTGAGCGCGGCTGTTTGAAGAACGACCAGCAGACCAAACTGCAGTGCTACACCTCACCCTCCCTCAACAAGGCCATCTACTGCTGCGCCCAGGACCTGTGCAACGCCAACGCCACCCACGGGGCCCTCATGGCCCTGCTGCCATCAGGTCTCATGGCACACACACTTACACACACACGGCCTACACTGCGCTTTTCAATCTATGAGTCATCACAGGATTTATAACTTAAAACACATCAAAACATAAAACTACTGTATGATGTTGACCTGCATCATATCTTTCACCCTGTTTGGTTCTAAGGGTCTATCAAAAAAAAGGTTTGTCTTTTAAGTTGAGCTCCTTTTATGCAAACATACATCCTTTCAGTTAATGGACTTTTACAGCTCTATAAACTAGGGATGCAACATCCAGTTTTGAATTTGTGATACTGATCTTGATTATGGATGAAAATGTCGCATAGAGATTTCAAAAGATCCAAATATCCAAAAAGTAAAAAGTGAAATACTGCAAAACTGCGTTACTACTTTTTCATTACTCGCCAGAAGCTGATCATACCTAGCCTGGTCGTACCACACCATAGTACAAATGACATTTCGTACTAAGGTCTGGATTTGCTCCATTGAGCTCCGTGAACAGGTGGGAGGGGTTAACTCCTTTTGCAGATTGAAACGATTAGATCTGAGTTTACTGTGACGTATGTACTGCGCCTGAGTGTGTTGTTAGCATTTAGCATTTAGCCTAGCCATCTCCTTTGCCGCTAACGGAGCCCGTGGGGAGTAGCGCCACAATCTTGACCAGCGATTACATTTGCTAAACACTACTCTTGCTCCTGCTTCAATTTCTTGATAGAACCAGACCGAATTACTATCGCATTCTTCGCCATTGCCAAACTACAACTTGCCTGTTTGGCGCAAACTATTGATGTCACCGGCACCAACCTACAACACCCGCCTTCCGCCCTCTCTGAGTAGCCGGTCGAAATACGACCGATTGTATTCGCTAACACAGAGACCAGACCCAGACGTTACATGCAGTGAAATGATGATTGAGCGGAGTGTACGGATGGTTAAGGCCAGGCTAGATCATCCCCAAAGAAGTTTTCAATCTTCAATAAGTATGTATGGAATTTTGAATGGAGAACATGCTTCCATCACCTGGAAGCTCCGCCCACATCACCCATAGCTACAGATATGAACCAATGATATTGAAAGGACTGGAAATGGGGATTTTCTCTCAAATAACAGCTAGTTCATTACCAAATAAGTATTTAAACAGTTATATATCCCATAAGTAACAACAAAACAACCATGTGTGAGTTAATGTTAAGACCCCATGGTTTTTTCTGCATTTAAGATATTTGCCTGCATCTGAGGGCATGAACTTTTTGGCACATTTTATGACATTACATTGTAGTACACAAGTGTCATTGTTACATGTTCTAAAATGGCATGAGCAAATTTTGACCTCCCTTGTGTCATGAAATATCCAATGTGAAAGAAAAGAGAAGTCGGCGTTTTGTGTTTTTCCTAATGGGGACGCAGCCTCAGCTGTATGTTCTATCTAACTATCCAGTCTATCTAACACTTGTCTATCTATTTATCTAAATATCTAACCCATCTAACACCTCTCCATGTCCGTGCACAGCTCCAGAGGGAGAGCCGATGCCCTATCGTGTGGAGACAATGGCCCTGTTCGTCCTGGCCCCTGTGGTGGTGCTGATACTGCTGTCTGTAGTGTCTGTCCTGGCCTGTAGGAGGCTCCACCATGGCCGACTCCAGAGGCTACAGGAGTTTGACACTGAGCAGGGCACCATCGACGGACTCATCTCCTCCAACGTGGGGGACAGCACCCTGGCGGTATGTGCTCTGTGGATATCAGGGGAAGAGAACGAAGGGAGAGCTGCTTTAACCGGCATGTGTGCAGTGAATTATACCACAATAAAATACTGCGTGGAATGATTGTTAAACTTGTTAAAAAAAGGTTCTATACCCCACTATTTTTCCCCAAAGTATTATTTTTTCAAATGCTAAATTGATTCCAGAATTGCAGGATGATATTGCCAGAACAATATTTTCCATAGTTCCTCAAAGTGTGGATTTTCTGAAAATTATTTATTTTTAAGAAAAGAGACCAAGAAGATTTAAATCCTCACAAAATCCAGACCTGAAAAAGCTGATCTAAAGATTTGTTTAAAAGTATGTCTCTGAACCACAAAGAGCTGCAGCTTGTATAAGCTTGTATAAGCTGTATAAGAGAGAGGAGTCAAAGGAACGGTCTGTGTGCAGGATCTGTTGGACCACTCGTGCACCTCGGGCAGTGGATCCGGTCTTCCTTTCCTCGTCCAGAGAACTGTGGCCCGCCAGATCAGCCTGCTGGAGTGTGTTGGTCAGTTTCATGCTCGAAACACAACAATTAAATACTCTGGAGCCAAATAAGCAAACAGTGTGTTCATGCCAATGGTTTCCTGTGCCGTGTGACATCACTGTGCAGGTAAAGGCAGGTATGGAGAGGTGTGGAGAGGCCAGTGGCAGGGCGAGAACGTGGCTGTGAAAATCTTCTCCTCTCGGGATGAAAAGTCCTGGTTCAGAGAGACGGAGATCTACAACACAGTGCTGCTGAGGCACGACAACATCCTGGGTGAGTTTCTCTCCTGCTGCTGTAGGCGTGTTCGCATTTAACACACAGCTCCTCACGTGCCGTAAACCATCTTTGAGGAAATGATTATAGGCTTAGAATTTGAATGATCACAGTGTCTGAAGTTCACAGACTGGAGCATTAAGTGTGAGCGTAAAACCAAACGGTCACATTCCCACTGAGCAAAAACAGATTTTCATCCAAAAGCTTGGGTCGCCTCTTTCAGACAGCCGGAGCCTTATGTTTTTGTCAAGGCGTGTTCAGTGAGTCTGTTTAAACGATTTATTTCTTTCCTGTGGGTAAAGGTAACGGGTCAAAACAGCATTCCAACCTTTCCACCTGTTGACCCGGCAACAGTTGGATCAAAAAACCACAGCTCTGCAGTCTGAAAGCAGAGTAGTGTGTAGTGTAGTATATACTAGTGAGTGTGTGACGTGAGTGTGTCGTGTGGCACTGTGGTCCTCAGGCTTCATGGCGTCTGACATGACGTCTCGAAACTCCAGCACGCAGCTGTGGCTCATCACACATTACCATGAGAACGGCTCGCTCTACGACTACCTGCAGCGTGTTGCCGTGGAGACCATGGAGGGGCTGGCCATGGCAGCATCTGTGGCCAGTGGTCTGGTGCACCTGCACACAGAGATCTTTGGTACAGAGGGAAAACCAGCCATCGCCCACCGCGACCTGAAGAGCAAGAACATCCTGGTGACCAAGGACCTGCGCTGCTGCATCGCTGACCTGGGTCAGACACACTCACCTTTATCCAAACTCACTCCTCTATTTGGAAAAATGGTTTAGGTTCCAATAACAATAACTGGATCTCACAAACAGGTCTGGCGGTGACCCACTCCCAGGCAGACAACCAGCTGGACGTGGGCAACAACCCAAAGGTGGGCACCAAGCGCTACATGGCCCCTGAGGTGCTGGACGAGAGCATCCAGGTGGACTGCTTCGACGCCTACAAGAGGGTGGACATCTGGGCCTTCGGGCTGGTGCTGTGGGAGATCGCCAGGCGCACCTACAGTAACGGTCAGTGCTGCTCAGACCTGAAACATGTCATGGTTCCCACTGGAGAGAGCAGGGCGGTCCGAGCACTGGAGTTCAGAGATTTCCAGGCCACTAATGTTCGTCATATCTCTGGTCACAGGTATTGTAGAAGAGTACAAGCCTCCGTTCTACGACCAGGTGCCAAACGACCCCAGCTTCGATGACATGAGGAAGGTGGTGTGTGTGGAGCAGCAGAGGCCTTTTATCCCCAACCGCTGGTTCTCGGACCCAGTGAGTCTCTCTTTGTTTTCTGCTTTTAATGTAGACCTGGGGATACAGGGGCTGCTTGTGGTTCAATACTCAATATTGGGGTCCAGCGTTAAGGTCCTGTCGAAGCTGTGACTCCTGAATGAAATCCCGGGTCAGTACAATAGTATCCAATTAAAATCTGAACATGTAACGAAGCAATTAATGAATATCTAGTAATGTTCGAAATTATTCATTATTCATTTTAGACCTGGTTTATACCCAAATTTTTACCTATGAGTATTGTAATTTGTTTGTCCCAAAAAAGTGTGGTAAATTTTTGTTTTTTTTCTAACATAAGATTACAACTTTATGTCTTGGTCTTTTTAAAAAAAAACACATCTTGTAAGAAAGATTGGCTGACTGATGGTGGTCATTTATTGCGTTTTGACTATTAGTAATTAAAATGATTCGTTTGACAGTCAGGTACCCCATTAGACAATTATCTAAGAAATGTATATGAAAGAAGCTTTAATAATAATAATAATAATAATAATCATTTTGAATTAGGGGCTGTGTGAAAAGATCTAACATCTTCTTTCCCCCCTCCCCTCAGACTCTTTCGGCCTTAGTGAAGCTGATGAAGGAGTGCTGGTACCAGAACCCGTCGGCGCGCCTCACCGCTCTGCGCATCAAGAAAACACTGGACAAAATCTACAGCTCTCTGGACAAGAGCAAAGAGTCGTGAGAGCAGCTACAGATTACACACTTCACTACCCGCCTTCCACCGTCGCCATCTGCCACCTTTCCCCGGTCTTAAAACTCACAACCGACTCCCTCCAGACTGCCTTTAAAAGACTTTTTACTGGTTCCAAAGTTGCGACGGTTAATAACGACACCCACGACAATCAACTTGAAGCTGCCAAGAAATGCCACACTGTAAAATGTTGACTTTTAAAAAAACCAAAAGGAAAAAGCCAATAGGATTCATCTTTGTCACCGGAAAGCGTGACGCAACAAAACTGCTGAAAAGGACATTCACGGGGACAAACAGCGCAAAATGCTCTTTCAAAATGCAAAGTCACAGTCGATACACACTCTAAGTTATTCTCGGACGTTGAGCAAGGTCAGGCCCGGTTAGTTGGTGGATGGGAGACTGCAGTCACGCCAACACAATTGTCCCAAAAAAAGTGCAATATATTACATGTTAAGTGAAACAATAGTAGGCAGGTGCGTTCTGAGCGAGGGTCTGAACGCAAGGAGAGCGAAGAATACTTTGAGAATAACTACAAAACATGACATTTATGATATGGTTAAAAACTACGCTGCATATTTTGTGTCCCCTTAACTTGAATGGTGTGATTGTAAACATAGGAGCTACTGCAGCAGGCGGTATTTGTACAAAAGTGTATGTATATAGGAGATGAAATGTTCTTGTCTGAATGTTTTGGAGAAAGCATTTGTCTGTCGTTCTAGTCGTGCCCGTGTAAAGAGGAAGATGTAGCAGAGAGAGACCCACGGCATCGACTCCCGTTTTCAAAGTGGCCTAAATGTGCGCTTGTGTTTGAGAAAATGTTGCTTTTTTATATGTAATAAAACAATGCGTAATGTACTCGTGTATTTAACTGTGTGTTAGTTAGTTTTGATAAGGTTTGCATCGTTTTCATTGATTTGTAAAAGTTCAGTGTGCGTTTTGGCCTGTAGAGTTTATCAGACCAGACTATTTAATTTCAAACTGATGCTGTAAAGACAATATTAATTTATTTTACAACTTTAATTTACAGACCGGTTTTCCTATCATCGCAGAGAATCTACACAACATTTTAGCGCAGTCTTAAGAGTTTTTATTTGCACAATCCTGCCACGGTCAGACAAACACACACAGTCACATTACCCCTTGACAGCAACAGCGTGGTGAGAAATGCGCTAGAATTCAGTCATGGATTTAATTCCCAAAATTATACTGCTGACATGTTCAACACCATCTAATAAATAGGAAAAGGATGAAGTCATTATTACAAATGCAGTCTTCTGACAACTGATTCACGGTTGGTCAGACTTCGGTCCAACTTTTAGGATCCAGACTCATGAGGGGAGCTGGTCTCGTGGGGTTTGAGGATCCTTTTATGGTCCGGACTCGGGCCGCACAATCCACAATTAATTCAAAAGCATTCATGGTCGCTAATCTTATTCAAGTTCTCAAAAATAAAAGATCAGATGAATTTGGGACATTCCTCTTGATTTGACTAATTGCTGAATATTTTTTAATGGTCTTTCAACTTTTAGGTAGAAGCATTATTTTTAAATGTCAAATGAGACTTTAAAAACACATATAAATGATTGATTTGTATTTTTTTCTCTAAAATCTGACTTTTTAATCTGAACAAAATTTGACTTTTTAAAACATGCAAGATACCAAAAATCACATTGTAATGTTGTTCATAAACATACATATTTTCCCAGAAGAGTGTGGCCCTAGTCCAGCCTGGTGAGGTGGTCTGGGAGGGTCTTGTAGGGGTTGAGGATGCCTTTAGGGTCCAGCATGTGTTTGAGGTCCCCCATTAGAGCCACGGCCTGCGGAGCTTTGCTGTAGCTCATGTAGTTCCTCTTCTTCAGGCCCAGGCCGTGCTCGGCGCTGATGCTGCCCTTCTGCCTCGTCGTCCACTCGAACACAAAGGGCTCGATGGAGGCCAGGAGCGCGGGGTCCCGGGCTCCAGACGTGATGTTCAGGTGCAGGTTACCGTCGCCTACAGGAATACGTCATTAATGAGCACGAATAGCTTTAAATAACATATGATCCTTTACATCCTTTACAGTATAATTCAGTCCATTATAGTATGTAGTAGTATAAATCAGGGGTGTCAAACTTATTTTGGTAGGGGGCCAAATTTAAAAACACAAGAGCTGGTTGGGGCCAAAAGTATAACAGTGGTTGTATAAATAAAAATGACAATAAAAGTCGTATTGTCATAATTATTTAAACTTGGTTTTGTACTTTGACAAATTTATTTTATTTGACATGTGGATATTGTTTTCTAGTAGGTTTGGATTCACAACTGGACCTAATAAAATTATAATTGAAGATTCATAATTAATTTCAGAATATAAATCTTTGGCCTAACTTGGGGCGACAGTAGCTCAGTTGGTAGAGCATTGGCCTTTGGGCCTGAAGATCGTGGGTTCGAGCCCACCGTAAGACCTACTTCACGACTCCCACTGATGACTGCTGTCGTTGTGTCCTTGGGCAAGACACTTAACCCCACTTTGCCTGAAGCCCCCACTGAAAGATCTCAGCTCCTGTGGACTCACCACCTGCAGGAGGATCAGTGAGGGGCTGGTGTTGAGTGTACTGGGTGCAGTTCTGACTGCCACCCCCCCGACCCAGAAATGGATTAAGGGGAAGAAAATGGATGGATGGGCCTAACTTAACTTCCAATTACATGTTAGTTATATATATTTTAGAACCAATGTTTATTATCGGGACTGGAGCTATAAGAATTGGGTGGCAGCTCTGATTGCCTCGCCCCGACCCAGAAATGGACTAATAAAGGGGATGAAAATGAATGAATGAATGAATGTTTATTATATGGTTGTTTTACTGAGAAAGTGAGCTTTAAAATGAAGTATTACATGCCATAATATTCCATCATCGTCAAAGCCGGAAGTTACTGTGATGATGATAACTCAGAATCATTTCAAGGGCCAGTAAAAATCATCTCCTGGGCTGGATTATGCTCGTAAATGCATGTTGCTTGTTGCGTGTGCTTCCGGCTCACCCACGTGTCCGTACCCCACCACGCTGCGGGCCCGCTCCCCCAGGTGCTGCCTCATGTCCAGGACCAGCTGGTAGATCTGCTCCACGGGGAGGGAGATGTCGTACTTGTAGGTGAAGCCGTCGTGGGTCAGAGCTTCGGTCACTCGCTCACGCATGGACCACAGCGCCTGCGGTCAAACAGCAGGGGGAGGTTTTACACCGTTCACCACCGGAGAGGGAAATACTTGGCCCAGTGAGCATCGGTGCATCAGAGCCAGGACTGGGTTCAAACCGGGGCTGCCTCAGGTTTGTAAGTACTCTAGAACTACAGTTCGAATTGCCTGAGGCCTCTGATGAAAGACCAAAAAATGACATGACATGAATGGACTAATACGTGACTTGTTTTAGAGGTCTGTGCCAATACTGGAATGTGCCTTTGATCTGTTGTAATCGGTTTGATGGTATTAGTTAAGCTGATTGGTGCATCCCAAAATATAAAACAGAATCCAAAAATATAATTACACTTTACATATAGAGCTTTAAAGATGCCGGGTTTAAAAAAAAAAAAAAATTGTGGATATCAAAATTGCATGACAATGTCAATCTGAAATAAATTCCGGCATAAAAAATCCTATATTTTATAAAAAAGAAGGTTTTTTTCATGAATTTAAGTTGTCTATGCTCTAACCTGTGTGTGACGTCACAGCGGGTAACGCCCATGCATTGAAAACCATGGATCTATGCCACAGGACTGCCTTTTCTCTCTTCTCTCCACTGATGCCCAACACAATACTGCCCTCTACAGGTGACAATTGCTCACTACACATAAATTGCCGTTTTGAGAGTGAAAATGTGTCGGAGGTGGGAATTGAACCCCAGTATCTGGATTGGCAGTGCATCGACACAACCACTGGACTATGTCAGTATCAACAAAGATTACATTCTAGTACTTGTCATCTTGAATATCCGCGAAAAAAGAACGAATACCAAATTATAAACAACTTACAGCGTTGAAACGTACCCACTCTGACGTCACCAAGGGCTGTGAAGTTTTTTCGTCTCTAAGGGCGTTGCTATGGGTTTATTTCGATTTGGGGGGATCAGACAAAAAAAACAACTGATTTTGAAACCTTTAGTAGTTCTCTTCTAATATAAAATGGTATTAAAACTGTATTTCTAAATAAATCAAACCCGGCATAAGGTCTTTAAATACATTCTGGTTACTCTTAGTCAAGCATGTGAATTGAAAAGGCAAATATTCAATCTGTTCTTTAGAAACTCAGTGAGACGCGGCGATGTTATGTTATCATTATTTGTATATTTCAAACTGGAGATTTGATGATCCTTATGTTAAAGAATACAATTCAAATCTTTGAGTTTGCTCAGGAAGTGTATCTTTCAATTCACTGCCTTTTTGTAGAGCCCTAAATCACACCAGCGGTCGTCTCGGAAGACTTTAAAGTTATTCGGCAGCGACAGATCATAGAATCCAACAGATAGAACACAGGAAACACGTAGGAGCCATTGGTCCATAGGGAGCGGGATGGCCAATGTTAGAAGATGTTAACTTAATAATCCATACATGTCCTTGAATGTCGGAGTGTTTCCAATAAAATCACTTTGATTCATGTGCAAATATCATTCAGAGGTTTTTGAATCATAAATTAGCAGTTTAATACAATTAGCTATCATAAATTTACCGTGCACGGAGTGAATGAATAATGACGTGTGAAGCATTGTTGAGTGTAAAAAAAAAGCGCGATATAAAACCGATGCATAATTATTATTATCATCATCATTATTATTAGCATAGAAGTACAGAGTATACAAAGAAGCTTTTTTATTTTATTTTTTTGAAATGTATTATGAACTGCGGTACGGTGGCTGAGTGGATAGCACTCTCGCCTCTCAGCAAGAAGGTCCTGGGTTCGAATCCCGGTCGGACCAGGGCCTTTCTGAGTGGAGTTTGCATGTTCTCCCCGTGTCTGCGTAGGTTTCCTCCGGGTACTCCGGTTTCCCCTACCACTAAAAATATGTCCAATAGTTCTGACATGCGCTTCCTGTACTGGCAACCCTGCTCCCATCTCTGTGTGGAGTGAGAGACTAATGCCCAAAATTAACAATTGTAAACCGCTTTGAGACTCAGATCTGCAGTGAAAAGGCGGTATATAAATAAAAACTCCTTACTTACTTACTGCCATGACACTGGATTTGACAACAAAGTTCGAAATAAAAAAGATTGAGTGGATTGATTGTTTTTTTTATTATTGATTTTATTATTTTTATTTTTATTTATTATTATTTTTATTATTTTTATTTTTATTATTTTTATTATTATTATTATTATTTTTATTTTTATTAATATAAATATCCATTGGAACACTGGTGTGATGGCTACAACTAGAAAATATTCCATTCCTAATCACTTGTTTCCAACTAGAGTGTAATTCCCCTATTGTTTTCCTCACTGAAAGAAAAAAAAAAGTACAATTCTTAATCAAATAAATGGTGTTTCATTAAATTATAGAACTCAAAAAATGTGTGGTGTCCATCTGAACCCCACAGACCCGTCCCACGCTCAGCAGCTGTGTTTGCAGAATCCGCACCTGTATCTTGGACTCCTCTGTAGCCACCGTCCCGTCCGACACCAGAGACGTGTTCATGGCTTCGTCCAGGAAATGATGGAGCTTGTCGCTGTCGTGGTTTGCGTCCGATCCCGCCGTTTCTATGACGATGTAAAACGGACAATCTGCCAAAAAAGGAACAGTCTTGCATTTACCGTCTGTGACTCCGGGGCAAGTTTGGTCGGTCGAAGTATCCGTCGGTACCTGATATGGGGTTGGACAGTCTGAGGTGGGTCTTCAGCAGCCTCATACACTCGCTGTCCAAGAACTCGAACGCAGACAGGATTTCTCCCAGCATGCCTCTGCACAGTTGGAACGTCTGCAGGAGCTGTTCGAACGTCTCGCAGCCTGGAAACGGACCACAGAATATATTTGGATGTTTCTTTCACTCACTTTAAAAGCAGAATCGGACGTGAAATCGGATGTTGTCTACACCAACTGCGTAGCGCCGTTAGCATCAGTCAATACGGTGTCAAAACTTAGGCCAAGAACGCAACAAGAGCTGGACCTTCAGACCGCTGGAGACGCCGAATTCTACTCATGTTTCTATTGGTTAATCAGTAAAACTAGGTTTAGGGTTTGCTAATGTCATTGTTTATTGGCCAATTTAACAAACTTGCTCATCCTCTCCCCTTTCTCTACCTTCTTTTTCTTCTCCCTGTCTCCCATTCACTTGCCCTACCCTCATTCCTGTGATCGTCAAAAAAGGGAAGAAGAGAAGGTTCTATTCAGGGTGACACAAACAAACGTTAAATAAACTCACTGGGGTTGCGAATTGGTGGAGATGCTGTCCAGTCCAAACTTTAGTATCCAGACTAAGTATCCAGTCTGGTATTGCTCACATCATTGATTCATTGCCTTTTCTACTCGGTCCATCTTACATCTTACAGACCGACAACTTATGAGCAGTTTGGGTTTGGGTCAGGACCATGACTTCAAGATGTGTAAAGTATTTTAATGTAATCTTGTATAGCCCTGAATCTCAACAGTAGTTATCTCAGAGGACTAAACAAAACCATTGAAATTGCCAACACAGATCAGAGAATCAAACACAAAGCATAGGTATTGGTCCATAGGGGGGAGTTGACCAATGTTCATAAGTGTAGTGTGTTAGCTATGGCTCAGACTGGATGGAAGAGTGTGAAGTATGGAAGTTTCCCCGTACCTAGAAAGACGACATTGACAGACTTGGGTTTGCGTGGGCAGAGCACAGACACGGCGGTGATGACTCCCAGCGTTCCCTCGGAGCCGATGAACAGCTGTTTGAGGTCGTAGCCCGTGTTGTCCTTCCTCAGGGTGCTCAGGCAGTCCAGGACACGCCCGTCGGCCAAGACCTGAAGGCGAAGAAGAGCAGGTTGACTTTTGATCATGAATGAAAACACAACCAGCCTCTTTAGCCGCCGGGACCGTTGGCGTGGGTTATGATAAATTGTTGATAATCTTTTCTATAATACTCAACTATCATACAGCCTCTCTGACTGGGATATGACAGAGTACCGTGTGAGTGAGGGGCGGTCTCATTGTGGTCTCCTACAGAGGTCCACAGTCTTCCATACTCTCTGCCTCTCTGCCTCTCTCCACATGTGCTTCACAGCTTCTCCTGTTCCCTCCCCTTCCCGAGAATGCAGACAAAGTGCAAGGTCACCCAAAGCGCTTTACAATGTTGTTGAGTTCAGATATTTTTACATTCTCTCAAAAAACACAGCGATGTAGTAGAATCAAATGTATGAGTCCATCAAAAAAAGTTACTGAACCATAAATCTTAGTAATTGTGGTGACAAGCCTTTTCAGACATGTACATCTGAAGCATATGTCGGCCTTGGATGGCAGAGTTCTTTGCTGGGATCCTGTTCCTGCCAGCCTTCAGCCATGTGACCTCACCGCCTCCAGCCCCAGCACGGTGCCCCTCAGAGAGCCGTAGCGCAGCAGCCGGAGCCCCCCTGCGTTCGTGGCCACGTTGCCTCCGATGTGGCAGCTGCCCTTGGCCCCCAGGTCCAGGGGCATGATGTAGTCCCTCTGCTCCAGGTACAGAGACAGGCTCTCCAGCACGCAGCCCGCCTGGCACGTCAAGATACCTGCACGCCACACATTATTGCCCGTTATTTGTGGCGTTTACGTTTCTCATCTTAAAGAAACATTATTAAACCTTCTTTTGTGTGCATTAAAAGTAGAGGGTAATATTTGCCTATAACTGCCAGAGGGGAAATGTGTTTTTTCTAATTCAACAATTTAATGACTCAAATTCAAATATTGCCAAAACAAGAATGAGACAAAGTGGACGGGGTAGGGTTACACGTATGTGCCAGAACTTCTTGATATAATTGTGGATGGATCTGAGGAAACACTGTTTGAACGTGGTTAAAAGGACTAAAAAAATCAATTTGTCATTATACTGTATGTCTCCTTTAAAGCTAGGGTACCGAGCTTTAAAGGAGATTGGCAGTTCTTTAGTTCATGCATTTCTGGTCTTCGGTAGGTATGGATTTCCTTTTGAGTTGACTCCTTAAAGGGCACAATCAGTTTGACATATTCCGACATAGATTTGGATTAAGATTTGGATTAAGATTAGGAGATCCTTTATTCGTCCCACAGTCTGGAAATTTCAGTGTTGCAACACAAGTTACAGAACAGTAGGGATGAGGAGCACGATAAAGATAAATCAAGATAAATACTAAAATGATATTAAATAAAATAAAACACTAGCATGAAAAGAAGCAGTATACAAATCTCTAACTGAACTAATGCACAAAATAATTTCCATATATTATCATTTATTATGGCCCGACACACACACGCACGCTTGCATGCACAAAACTTGGGTACCACAGCTTTAACTTGCTGTGGTATTACAGACACAGTGAGGGTGGGGGACACAGAGAAAAGCAGGTGAACAACAGGTTTCTCACCGGACACGTGGTCGAAGCTCAGCACGTTGTTCATGAGCGCGGTGGACAGGATGACCTCATCGTACACCGGGACACTGCCCCCCACCAGCCCCGTGTTGCCCCCCTGAGGGTTCACGGCCAGGTTACGGCTGTTGCAGTACCTAGGATCACAACAACACTTATGATGTGTGAGAGGAATATATTTAAGGAGAGAAGGACTCAGAGGTTAATCGGGCATTAGTAAATTAATAGTACAGAAGTAAAAATAGAACCGTGATCAATTTAGAAAAAATACGTGCATCAAACATTCAACCAATCACAAAAATGCGCCACTTTGAAACACTATGATTGCTTGGTTCATTCCTAAACTGGTGATTTACAGTCATATCTGTTAGTGTTGACTAAAAAACGATTTACTCATGCCTAAGAAGTAGCAAATCTTGAGTAAAAAAGAAAAGAAAAAATGCTTCTTTCATGACCAAAATAGACTTAGAGGTCATACTAACCGAAGAATTTGAGAAACTTCAGATGTGGTTTGGGGTCGCAGCAGCACTTCGCTAGAACCTACAGACAAATAGACAAGTCAATCTAATAGTTATTAAGTTATGAATGAAAAATGTAAAAAACAAATATGGATAAATGAATATGAAGGTGTTGGATTCAGTGCTACAGCCAATGAAGACTTTCCAATACAAAATATGCATTAATTTGGGTTCTGTTGGGGGTCTTGAGCTATTCATGGGCCATATTTTACTACGCTGCAAAAAACACATTGAGAAAGAAGTAAAATTTTCCTGAAAAAAAAAATTGGCCTTTATTTTGATGCCCATGATATAAAAGTCATACATTTAGTTCATAATTGTATCTTTGTAGAATCATTGCACTAGAAGACTCCTTTACCTCTGACAGACTTAAGCCAGTCCACATTATTAGACTCCAGCAGGTCCGGGTCTGTGACGGTTCTGCCTGGGAGGATGCTCTGGAACCAGGCCAGATCTTCTTGAGTCACCCTGGAGAAGGGCCGTCTCTCTGGGGCCGAAGATTTGGACTTTTCTGCATTTTCTGTTGTGAATGTTCGAAAGCTGTTTCTGGACTGGTCAGAACGGCGTGTTGCTAAAGGGCAGGGCGAGTGCGAAGAGGCCAGTCCCAGAGCTGAAGACACTTTAGCATTTATTACACTTGACCGGAGTCCAAAGGCCCTCTGGAAAACCCTGGCCATTCCTGGTTTGAAGAATACGCTGGAATAAAGAATACAAATATTAAGAAAATCCTCCCTAAACTATGGTTCCCAATGTTTGCTTAGTGAATAGAGGAAGTACATATTTAAATCCATCTGTCCTCTTTGAGACAGATACGTCATTAGTATTCAGTGGTGGTCAGTCACAAGTTCAACCATAAAGCAGAAAGAATGCAGTAGGTCAAAAGCAAAGTGTTTGCATGAAGAGAATTTGATGCAGAATAATTTTGGTCACGTTATAATTTTCAACAAAATCTACGAATTCCAGCCGATATTTACGTCAATAAAAAAGCACACATACGACTTCAGAGTGCTATGAATGCTATTCCTTAAAAAGACTACAGGATTACTTTAATGTTTTGTTGACAAGAATAAGGTGCATGTGTAGTATTTTTTTACGCTTTCAAGACTTTGATTCATGAATTAAAGCTGGGTAACCAGACTTTCACACCACACAAACTTAACCATGTAAGCACTGGCCCTAAAACAGTTTGGTCTCAGTCACAAGTTATATTTTTTATTTTTAACCTCCATCATATCCTTGTTACTTTTCTGTCTGCTCAACTCAAAGCACAAAACTCTTTCTTACAAGTCTGCAAACTAACACATTATTGATGGAACAAAAAGTTAGGTACCCCAACTTTATTACATAATGTTGGGGTTATCCACATTTATGATCTAAACACGGAATGCCAGTGGAATTCAATATTTCTTACACAACAAAAAGGTTGGGTACCCCGGCTTTAATAACTCATGAATGATCTATACACAAAATGCTAATGAAAGAATGCTCTTAAATGCTAAATAAGTTCATTTCTTACCGCTGTGCGTCACTCTAACAGGTGCATATTTCCATTGGCGCATATGTCGCTGGAGTTGGACTGAGTTTGAGAAAGTGACAATAGATAATTCTCACATTATCGAAGCTCCAAGAGGAAAAGTCAGGCCACTGTTTACAAGCTGCAAGCTAACTCTGATCCCGGAAGAGGTCTATGTCCAGCGTCCAATCACAGCCGCTTTCCCTGTTCAGTGACCAATCAGGTGGGTTTTCTTTTAATACGTTACAAACTAGTAAATGTTTTTCTTTTATGATTTTCTTTTGGGTTTGAAGTTATTTTTAATTTTTTTAATCTACATATTAACAAACTTGTTTTATTGAAAAGCCGTGCTCCCCAATTTTGAGAATAGTGACTCACAGGGCTCTTTCTTATAACTATGTAAAAGATTATAAAAAGATTTATGGTCTAATTTGTTCAAAAGACAGAAAGTATTACTTCAGATTTCATAATAGGTGCATTGCAAAAGTTTTCTGTTTGACAGATGGACACTGTTTTCTCTATTTGTTAGCAGGCTTTAATCCCACACCTCTACCAGTAGACGGGTGTGTTTCACTCCATTCCATTAAAGGAGACATGTATTGTCAAATTGACCAAGGATTTCACATTCTAATAGATTAAATATTAAAGGTATTGAAAGGTGTTTAAGGCCAAATGAACAGAAATAATGCATACAAAAAATTAGGAAAAGCCAGTCAGTCAGTGTGACTCTGACTCACTGAAAATGGGGCCGAATCGTCTCAACAAGACAACAAAAGCTCTGTCAGATAATATGTAGAGTGTTTTCAGGTCTTTCCACAGATGTGGAAAAAAAAACAAAAACATTGGGTTTAGAGCTGGACTTGGACTGGGTCATTCTAACACAGGTACTGTATATGCTTTTGCTATATAAACATATTTTTTCTGTCAAGTTGTTTGTGCACAATCCTGGATAAAGCCAAATGAAACACACATTTGAAAACTAGACACTTAAATAGAATACAAGTTTTATTTTGCAGTACATCGCAGCATGCAACATTGACAACTTGGTCCCAGCAGGTTTCTTACTGCTGGCTTTTTTAACACTAACAAAAGATGGCAACTCAACTCAACACTTTTTTGAATTGTTTTTACGGTTTCATCTCAGGCACTGGCGTAACATTAAAAACCGGATCTGAAACTTGCCTAAAACAAACACTGACATATCGTATACTGAAGTCACTTACATAAATCGTTACAATACAAAATTAAATTGAACCAAAATGGAATTTCTCTTGGGAAAGTTGAGTATCTCATGCTTCCATCTCAACGCTGCAACACTGACAGTCAAAACAAGCAAAAACATCACATTTGATGATGTGGCAGTGGTTGCAGACCTGATCCTCCTCGCTTAGTCTCAATGAGGCGCTCTGGACATTCTTTAAAACTGAACACACAGAACTTAAAGCGAAAGAAATGAAGTAGACATTTTTCAACATGTACTTTTGATGATTTTAACCAGTGTTCCTTCATCATTCCCCTTAAGAAAAACGCTTTCCTTTTGGTTCTTGCATGTTTGAGTCGACTAGTAATGTCTTGCACAGTTCTAGCAGTGTACCCTCCATCTCTGTGCATTTAAAGCTGGGGTACCTAACTTTCAAACCACAACAAAATAACTAACGTAATAAAATCCATCTGTCTAGTTCCTTGCTCTCAAAACAGTCTGGATCCATCACATGCATATGTTTTGGGCTTTGACACATGTTAAGATTTTTCAGGAATTCAGCCAATCAGTTCTCAGCCCAAAGGGTCAAATAGTGACTCACAGGGCTCATTCTCACAAGTATGCAAAAGTAAACATAGGTGTGGTCTGATTCGTTCACAGCATTATACTTTTCATAAGACTCTTTCTGTTGGCACAAACAACATATAGGATTAATAATGAAGAGACAGAGAAAGTTAGGTACCCGAGCTTTAGGAGTGAGAATACACAACAAACCAATCTGCTGCCTGCTGCTCAATAAATATTTCAGTTCTGCAGTGGAAGTAGTGGATTGTTTCACGAGTTCGACATTTAAGATCAATGTTGTACTTTTAGTAATGAAAACCGTTTGTAAATCTGCCAAGGTGCGACATGTTTCTTCTGCTTTAGAGAGAATCTATAAATAAATATGAGGTTGGGACTAAAACATTTGTTGTGGATAAAATGTGAATGGCTTTGAGTCCAGCTGGGTCATGAGGACGAGTGACATTTGAAAAGACATTGGATTTTTAATGTTTTGGTTCCAGCGATTACAGCAGTATCTCCCGATGTGTTCAGGACAATCTCATGTGTTTGAGCAGGAGAAAGGAAATTCTACTTCCTGGTTAGGGCTGCACGACTAATCTTAATATTCATGGTCTTAATCAACAAATCATAAAGACTGCTTTTATTTAGGTTTTTGGAATTTGAATGTTTTTATTTATTATTATTTTATTTCAGGTAAACACAGGAGCATTGCAGTTGCTAGTATCATGATAAAAACTTACCTATAACAATGTGAGAAAAAAAAAACATTTCTTTGTATTTTCTTTTTTTATTATTATTATTATTTGACCCTTTTTTCCAAACGCTGTTCTTTTAAATAAGCTGACATTTTGGATGTGGAGTGGGGATTCTGGGATTTCTTAATGACAATCTATGAAATATGAATGTATGAGGTTCAGCAAATCATATTTTTATAGATTGTTGTAATAATGTATTTGTTGTTAGTTGTAACTAATAAATGAATAAAACATAAAAATAAAAACAAGCTTTGTCAATGGAACTAGCAAAAATCTGTTGGGTAGAAGCATTTTTTTCTCATTCCAGAGCAATATTTTAATAATTTTATAAGCCTAACAATCAAAACGTGTTGCACAACTTTCCAGGTTGATTTGAAATATTTTGTGAGAAAAGATAAAAACGTTTTTTTTGTTACTACAAGAGAAAAACCCCTTGGATTGTACAATAGGTTAGGACTCTGAAATGAGTGGGAAATGTATTAGACCAAAAATCATATGTTAGTCAGAAATGTTAGATCGTTGGTCAAAATCGTGCAGCCCTTGTCCTGCACTGCAAAAAATACTGTATGAGGAAATAAATGATTTAATTGAGAGTTTTTTCATCTTAATTTACGTATATTTTGATTCTATTCTTAAAACTAGATTTTCCAAAGGGACAAGCCGTTTAGTCTCATCATTCCAAAGTCCCGACATTTCTTGTATCTTTTAAAAACAAGATAGTTATGCTTGTCTCTTTGGCAAATTGTCTTTTAACGCAGACATTTTAAAATTATTTTTCATCACCTTTTTGCAGTGTGCATGTGGTGATCAGTTTGGAATGTTTACAATGTCATGCCCATCATCACCAGACACTATTTTTTTCATAGTAGCTGTAGCTGCCATTTCAGAACCACCAGACGTGAAAGAGCCAGAGGAGAGACCCCCCCCCCCCCAACACCGGCTCTCAGGTCCCGCCTTAACAAGTCCTCTCCTGTGGCTCAGCGCTGGTGCTGGTCGTAGTCCCAGATCAGCTTCTTGATATGTGCCAGTTTGCTGTGCAGGTACTCGCAGCGGATTTTGTCCTGGCTGTAATTCGGGTTGGACTAGAGAGGGAAAGAAAGAGAAAACGTTCAAAATTGATTAAAGCTGGGGTACGTAACTTTCAAACAGCAAACTTGAAATGATGTAATAAAATCTAAATGAGGTTAGATGGATTTGCGCCAGACCACAGTGTCCCCCAGCGGTCTGGCGCACACTGGGGGACTTTAGCGCATGTATTCCAATGTGGTTTTACTGCAAATGGCAAACATAGTGAATCTGAATCTGTAGTTCCTTGCTCTCATAATAGTTCGGTTTTATCTCTAGTTTTCAAATGCATGTATTTTTGGCAGTTTTTTTCAGACAGAAAAGTGAAAAAAGAGAGGACCACAACACGTCTAACTTTTACCAGATTTTCTTTTGAGACAGACAAAATGTATTATGTATGAAGAAAGAAGTTTGGTGTCCCAGTTTTAGTGTCTATCCTCAAAAGATTTAAAATATCAAAATTAAATTAAAAAGAATGTTGTCTTTTCAAGTTGGTACGAGAGCCCCAGAAATATTATTTGTGCATGATTAAAGGGGACATACGAAAGATACATTTTAATGGGTAAGTAAGGATATTTTTTTTAACTGAATTTGGATGCAGCCAATATGTATTTGTTAATAATATATTTAAATATTTTTTTACCAGATTATATTTCAAGCTGACGGACTTATCAAACAGCAATAGAAACCCTAAACCGGATCAAAAGCGCCCAGTCCTCTCACTCACACAGAATATCTTACCTTCTTAATCTCGCGATACTCTTGGACGATTTGGTTGTGAACAGTCTGCAAAAGGACGCACATGGTGAGTTGTGTTTCCATGGTAACGGATGCCTTTGTGCCTCACCTTGTACTTCTGCGAGTCGCTCTGCAGCTGCTTGAGTTGTGTGTCCAGCTCCATGAACTGTCTGGTCACGCTGTCGATGCGAGCGTGAAGCTCCCTGTACTCGCTGTACTCTCTGTTGAAGTCCAGCTTGTAGCTCTGCCTCTGCTGCGCCGAGCCGATCGCACAGTACTTCCTGTTACCACACACATGAGGACACACACACACACACACACACACAAACACACACACACAGACAGACAGACACAGGCACAGACGCAAAGACACAGTGACACATACAGATAGAGACACAGACACAGACAGAAAGACAGACACACAGACACAAAAAGACACACAGACAGACGCACAAACACAGAGAGGCACGGACGCACACATGCAGACGCACAGACACAGTGACATATACAGACAGAGACACACACACACACACACACACACACAAACACACACAGAGGCACAGACACATACATACAGTGACACATACAGAGACACAGACACACACACAGTGACACATACAGAGACACAGACACACACACAGTGACACATACAGAGACACAGACACACACACAGTGACACATACAGACAGAGACACACACACACACACACACACACAAAGACCCACAGTGACATATACAGACAGACAGACAGACAAACAGACAGACACACACACACACACACACACAGACACACAAAGACACACCCAGAGTTAATAACTTTTCATTTTAAACTTTTATACTAACACATTTGGAGGGTATTTTTTCAGTCAGAAATATTTCCAAGAGGAGATTGTGTCGTTTTGTGTTACTAAAGTTCCTGTTTATGTGAGAAAGAACAATCCTGGAGAAATGGACCAAAGCTAAAGGAAATTTCCAGCACAGATGTTCACTGCAAAAAGTGATGAAAAATTCGGCAAAATGTATCGTAATTTGAGCTAATTTTAAATGCCTTAAAACAAGATTCACCAATGGGACAACGCAACATTACCTTGTTTTCAAAAGATACAAGAAACGTCTGCCTTGGAATGAGAAAATAAAGCAACAGTCCTTAAAAAAAGACTAAATGGCTTTGTCCCATTGGCAAATCTTGTTTTGAGACAGAATGTTCTTAGATGAAGATACCGTACAAACCACTCCATTGAAGCTATTATTTGATCACCTCATAGATTATCATTTTTTGCAGTGTAAATATTTCCCACAGAAGCTTGTCGTTGTTAAAATAAAAAGTTCCTGTTTACATGAGAAAAGTTTCCGCTTTTATGAGGAAGAAAAACCCTGTAGAAATGGACAAAGCTAAGGGACAAGTTGAGGACAGATTTTCTAAAAACTGAGTGAGCGGGTTTTCTCTTTTTTCCACTGTTAAAAAAGCTGATTTTAAAAAGACAAACATACTGTACATGTAAAACATAACTATTTTGAGAGTGGGAGTTACATTTGTACAGTTTGAAAGTTGAGTAACCAGAACTATACTCTAGTCGTAAAGTTGCAACCAACGCCGCTTGAAAACAGCGGCGTCCACAGTATAGAACCATATAGAACGGTTTTTTAAGTTGTAAATCTTAAAAACCGCAGACACCAAAATGAAAACGGTGTCAATGCCTTTACCGTGTTGTGACGCAGCGGTTTGTCTCATAATCCTACTTTTGCTTCATAATACAATCACACATTTGCATCATGTTTTTCTGACTTACAATAAATAGTCCATTGTGTCATAGGCTTGAAGAATGTTGGAGTCTATCAGCTTTTCACAAGAATCTAGAAGGGAAAAGGAAAGACATTATTTCATGGACATTCAACAACGGCACGTCACGGTTCAGAGGTGGCAAAAGTACTAGTCGTCATTACTTAGAAAAAAGTAAAAAGTTGCCTCCAGAGTATGACAATCATTCCATAACTTACATACAGATACAAATATAACCTTGTACTTTTCTATTTTGACTCAGGGATAGGAGGATTTTCTACTTCTGGGTGGATCATCAAGACGATCAAAAGTCTTGATGATCCACCCGGAAGTAGAAAATCCTCCTAATAGTCAATCATTTTGGTGATACGTGCTCGTCAATTAAGACCAAAGAGTTTTGTTCTAAAAGTGGAGAGGGCGGTTCTTTCCTAAAATTTGGGAAAATCAGTCAAAAAGTAATTTTTTTTTCAATTGTCAGTATAGAAGAGGATATTCTTTTGAGATCATTTAAGCATTGCCTTTGAAACCCTTAAAAGGTGATATCAGAAACTTAAATTTAATTTTTACTTAAGACATCTTTCTGATCATGGGGTTCTATACCATCATGTACAGTAAGATATTTTCAACCATAATATATTAGAAACAGTCCCTTCCTTTCGCATCACTACGACCTGTAAGACTTACTGGAGGAGAATAGTTTAAACAATGACGAGGGGCCTCAAGGACTTGAATAAATTTTGACCAATCCTGAGTGGGCGGGACTAACCAGAGCTTGTTTCCAAAAGGTTTCACTCTCTCCACAGTTTCACCTTAAAAGGGACCTAATCTTATTTTGTTCGTATATTGTGGTATTTTTTTGTCCATCCATCCATCCATTTTCTACCCTTTAATCCATTTCTGGGTCAGGGGGGTGGCAATCAGAGATGCCACCCAAGTCTCATAGCACCAGCCCCTCACTGACCCTCTGCAGGTGGTGAGTCCACAGGAGGACGGCTGCTCTCTGAGTGTGAACATAGCCTTGATCTTTCAGTGGGGGCTTTGGGCAAAGTGGGGTTAAGTGTCTTGCCCAAGGACACAACGACAGCAGTCATCAGTGGGAGTCGGTGGAGAAGGTGTAGAGGTGGGAATTGAACCCACAACCTTCAGGCCTAAAGGCCAATGCTCTACCAACTGAGCTACTGCCGCCTCGGTATTTTTTTGTGTTAAATAAAACTCATTTTGACAGACAGAAACTGCTAAGGGTGAAACTATCAATAATAAACATGCAAAAAGACATTCGCGGAAAAATTGCCAAGACCGGAAGTGACGTACACATAGGTGTCATTGGGCTTTGTTGATATGCATTTGTAAGCCATAACGTTGTTTAAACAGATATTTGTCATTCAGTAATGGACAATACAAGTCAGGGGCTTTTATTTATGAGCCCTTGTATACTTGTTATGACAGTAATTCTGATTTTGAGGACTCTGACTCGGTTCAGATGAGGAGCAATCTGCAAGAAATGGACATTTGCGGACATTAGGGCCGTTTCCACGGGCTGGAGTATGGATCTATGGTCCGACCGGGTCCGACCCGTCTCGACCCAGTTTGCGGATGCGGTCAGTTTGAGCTCGATGGTGCACCCGAGTGAGTGTAAATAGATTAAGTGTTAGCGAAGGTAGCGCTAGGGACGAAGGAGTACATCAGGGACATCGTAGTGCAAAGAAAAGTTAAGAAGCGTAAAAGTGACTACCATGAAATGAAAGATCCCAGCCGTAAAAGCGACAGAACTGAAAAGTCTGGAGGTGGTTTGACAAGATGGATTGACGCTTTTTTTACGGACATCAGCTAACAAGCTAACACCAGCTAACACGTCAATACCCGCAACTCAGAAGCCTCAACTCTGTGTCCCAGCTCCAGATGTGGAGTTTGAGAGAAATGGTGAGTGCAAACATGTAAGCGTTATGGTCTTATTCTGAACATGTGTCTGTGGTTCTAAAGTCTTATTCTGAACATGTGTCTGTGGTTCTAAAGTCTTATTCTGAACATGTGTCTGTGGTTCTAAAGTCTTATTCTGAACATGTGTCTGTGGTTCTAAAGTCTTATACTGAACGTGTGTCTGTGGTTCTAAAGTCTTATTCTGAACATGTGTCTGTGGTTCTAAAGTCTAAAACATGATGGTATGTGTCATATCTATATCTTTTACTAAACATAGTTAGAGTGAAACATGGATTCATAGTTCAATGACAGTTGTTGTGTTTTCTGCTGAATACTGGGTTTAAACTCGTAAAATTGGTTTTAGTTGGAGCTTGATAGAACTAATTTCATGGAACTGGCGCTGGTGTCTTCTCTCAGTTTGTTTGGACCGTGGCCTTCTCTGAATAAGTCAAAGATCGTAGGGACTGCTGTTTACACTCTTATTTTTGTTACTTTCATTGCTGCATCCCTTGAGTAGTAGAAGTAACTATGAAGGTTAACACATTAGGAAGATATTTCAGTGTGAAATAAAGGAGTAAAAGCAAAAAGTTGTAAGAAAAATGATGTTAAGTGAAGTAAAGTACTGGCACCGGAGACAAAAAAAGTATCAACATTTAGGAGGAAAAAGAGGAGGAAACTTGTACCTGTGTAATCTTGAGAAATTTGGTTGGAATCGTCCTCTCTGTCATTGCTCCTCTCTTTCTCCTGGACAACAGAAGCGGTCAGAACTTTCTTTTACCACTATCCTATCACCCCACATACTATATATATACATGCAGTACTATTTTACACTGCAAAAAGCGATGAAAAATACTGTAAGTAAAAACAATTGCTAAAAGGCGATATAATATGAGGTAATTATTGCTTAAATCGAGTGGTTTGTATCTATTTTCAAGCACATTTTGACTGCCTTGAATTCAGATTGAATTCAAGCAAAATGATCTTGTTTTAAAAAGATACAAGAAATGTCTCCCTTGGAATGAGAAAATCAGTTCTTCCAATAAGGCTAAATGGCTTTGTCCCATTGACAAATCTGGTTTTAAGACGTTCAGAATCTACTCAAATGTAGTTAATAACCTCCATAATTGATCACTTTTTGCAGTGTATATACATATGACCCTGTACCTTTTCTTTGCGTTTGTGTCGGCTCTTCTTGCGCGTGACTTTGGCTTTGGTCAGATCTGGGACGGGGACGGGCGAAGGCGGGGAGTCGCAGCTGTTTTGTTGATTTTCCGGTGCTTCCTGCTTCTTTTCTTCACACGTCTCGCTCTCTAGTCTCTTGTCCACCTCGGATAAGGACTGGAACAGTTTCCTGGGGTCTAAGTGGTTCTTGTTCTCCGACAGCCTGGGTGGGTCCGGCCTGGTCAGGGGGGTTTTGGTGGAGAGGTGGGAGATCCTGGGCCGTTTGCTCAGCGGGGGCTCGGCGTGCTCCTCCTGCAGTAGGAGCTTGGGGCGGTGGGCGGGGGAGGAGTTAGGGGTGTCTCTTAAAGGGCTGACCTGAGCCTCCGGGACGGACAGGAGGTTCTGCTGAGGCTGGAATAGTCTCCTATGGGAAACAAAGAAGTCATCGGGTTGAACGTTAGAATTCAAGTTGGTCCAATCAAATGATAAAACAAAATAAAAATGTCTAAAATAGAATCCGTTACTATTTAGAAAGTAGAATACACAGGAACAGGAACAAAATCTCTGCTTTCATGCGACAGGACACAAGAGTATCTGTTACAGGCAGTGTTTTCCCCTGTGTGCTGTTCCTCTCTCTCTGGTGTCTCTCTCTCTGGTCTCTCTCTCTCTCTGGTCTCTCTCTCTGGTCTCTCTCTCTGGTCTCTCTCTCTGGTCTCTCTCTCTGGTCTCTCTCTCTGGTCTCTCTCTCTGGTCTCCTGGTCTCTGGTCTCCTGGTCTCTGGTCTCCTGGTCTCTGGTCTCCTGGTCTCTGGTCTCCTGGTCTCTGGTCTCCTGGTCTCTGGTCTCTGGTCTCCTGGTCTCCTGGTCTGGTCTCCTGGTCTCTCTCTCTGGTCTCTCTCTCTGGTCTCTCTCTCTGGTCTCCTGGTCTCTCTCTCTGGTCTCTCTCTCTGGTCTCCTGGTCTCTCACTCTGGTCTCCTGGTCTCTCTCTCTCTGGTCTCTCTCTCTGGTCTCTCTCTCTGGTCTCTCTCTCTGGTCTCTCTCTCTGGTCTCTCTCTCTGGTCTCTCTCTCTGGTCTCTCTCTCTGGTCTCCTGGTCTCTGGTCTCCTGGTCTCTGGTCTCCTGGTCTCTGGTCTCCTGGTCTCTGGTCTCCTGGTCTCTGGTCTCCTGGTCTCTGGTCTCCTGGTCTCTGGTCTCCTGGTCTCTGGTCTCCTGGTCTCTGGTCTCCTGGTCTCTGGTCTCTGGTCTCCTGGTCTCTGGTCTCCTGGTCTCTCTCTCTGGTCTCTCTCTCTGGTCTCTCTCTCTGGTCTCCTGGTCTCTCTCTCTGGTCTCTCTCTCTGGTCTCCTGGTCTCTCACTCTGGTCTCTCTCTGGTCTCTCTCTCTGGTCTCCTGGTCTCTCTCTCTGGTCTCTCTCTCTGGTCTCCTGGTCTCTCTCTCTGGTCTTTCTCTCTGGTCTCCTGGTCTCTCTCTCTGGTCTCTCTCTCTGGTCTCCTGGTCTCTCTCTCTGGTCTCTCTCTGGTCTCTCTGACTCTCTGGGTGCCAGTAAAGCTACCATATGGGGTAGCTTTCTAAGCGTTTGGTTGAGAGGTTCTGGATTAGTGAGTACCCTAACATTCATTATACACCACTTAGTTTTATTTGTTTGAACAGTTGTTGCCAACCCTGTATTTTATTTGCTCCTTTTGTTAAATTATTTTATATAGACTAGGCCAGTGGTCTTCAACCTGTCGCTCGCAAGCTACCAGTAGCTTGCCACCCCCTTTCAGGTATCTCCCTAAAAGGGTTTAGAAATAAACAAATCAAATAATGTGCTGAATATTTTAGAATGTATTATTCGCTTGCTCACAACTATTGTAAATGTAAACTTACTTTGTGCAGTAGTAACAAATATGTGATGATAAATAATGACTGTTGATAGTGACAGTACTTGGAGACTACAGGCATCTGGTCAATTCCATTACTATTTGAAAACACATAATAACTTCAATACATTTAGGGTTTAGGGACGTTTTCCCAAAATATATAAAAAAAAATATGCGTCTGGAAAAAATCCCTGACTGCATCTTTAAGGAAGCAGCTTTCTGCCATTTTTGTTGCAAGAAAGTCCCTCTCCAGGCGAGAAAGGTTGGTAAACCCTGAACTAGGCCATTTTGTGTCATTCCTTTTGTAGACCATAACTTGAGTTCGGCCCAGTTTTGTAACTGGTCACGCCTTCTTCCATTTTGTTATTCCTTGCACATTTGCCTTTGAATAATAAACATGGCCAAACCTTCTTGACTTGTTTTCTTACCGGTCATAACAGTATCTATAAAACATCCAAGTATTAAGCCGGCTCTGCACTAATGAGCTTTTGTCATGTGATAAGAGCAGGCTTTGTTCAGACAGTCCTGCACCGTTCACAAAGTGCTGCTTTGTTTGAGAAACCAAATTGTGAACTTGTACAAAGCTTTTATTTGGTTATGTGTTATTTTGATTTCAATGTAATTACGGTACAACCTCATTGAAGCTATTGCTATTGAATGTTAAGAGTGTAATGTGTTAAAACAGATACATTATATAACATGACAGGACTGTGGGTGAAATAAAGCTTGGACCATCTCAAACCACCTCAACATTACAACATTAGTACATATTCATCTGATGTTTTTGTCATTTACTAGTCACTTTACCTGCTGCTATTATGACTATTGTTTACGCCAGTAATTCTCTGCTGTAAAAGTACAATAGTAACATCTGTACATACCTCTTGCTGACCACAGTGTACACACCACTAGTCTATCTGTATCCAGTCTATCACTATAGACTATCCTTGAACCAAGTGGAATTATAGCTCCAGAGTTTAATTTTATTATGTTATTATTTTATGTATTATCTATAATCTTAAATAATAGATCCTGTTTCCTATTTCCTCGTTTTATTCTGCTGCAATTTGCACAAAGATGACATTGAAATTTCCCCACTGAGGAACGAATAAAGGATTATTAAAGCTCTACTGAGGCTTGGAATGCATCAAATCCAGTCTGTGGAGCCTGGGCCATGTGTACTGTAGTGAGTGAGGCACATTAGTGATTATTGTAGTATCTGATTGTCTTGGTGTAGTTTCTGTGCTTGTCTTTGAGTGTGGGCCTGTGGCGTTTTCAGTTACCTGACGAGGATGCGTTTGAGGAGCTGCTGGTCTCCTGGCGTGTATCCAGGCCAGTCCTTCTGCAGCTCTTTGAACAAACTGTCCTTCAGCACAAAAGCATTGTCCTTACTGCTCTGCTGACCCACCTGCAGTGAAACACAGCTTTACACAAGGCACATGTGCTGCACTGATGACAGAACATCTCATTTACATTATGTGCATTTACATTAACATTTACAATCAGAGAAAACAGAGCTACACTCGAAACAAACACAAACTAAAAACATGGTGGCAATAGAAACATCTGAATTAAATATTATGACCATCTCTGGAATAATAGTTTCTAGACCGACAAAATATTATATACCAACTCATTTTGAACCATCTTCCAGTGAGATAATGCATATGGTGAGACATGTACTAGTTGTTGCATTGGTCCGTTCTTTGATCACTACTGTGGGAGAGTCCCTGTGCTCTGACCTGGTGCAGCAGTGCGTCCAGCTCGTGCTTGTCCTCCGGCCGCAGCCCGTCTCTCTGCAGCCGCAGCAGGAGCTCCGCTTTTCTGTAGGGTTTGAGGGCCAGGATGTGGGCCACTCGCTCCTTCAGAGGCCTGTGCTGCACCTCCACGCCGTTGTTCCGCTGAGTCAGCAGAGGAGACGTGGTCTGTTTGGCCTTAGGTCTACTGTTGGCCAGCTTCTTCAGGCCGAGGAGGGAGGCCTTGGCCTTGGTCTGGGGGGGGTTGGAGGGGGCTGAGGAGCGGACTGTTAATTTGCGACCTGAGGGAGAAAACAGTGGTATGGAGCTGAGGAGAGTGAACTGTATATGACAGGACATGTATGTTGTTCTGAACAACCGGGGCTAAAGTTTGAACCCTTGAATCAAATGTTCTATTGATGTGATGAAAGACAACGATTAAATGATCTCAAAATCTTTAACTTGATAGACTTACAAAGTCTTAGAATAGAACAGAAACAAACCCCTTAAACATATTGTAGTCTAACCTGTCATCTAATCTACAGCTTTAGGACCGGCTCATTGTAGTGCATGAAACGAAAATAAACACACCTATTTTCATTACTCAGGCACAATAAGCTTAGTCCTAAGCCCAAATAAACACAGTGTTGCATTAGACAGGACATTCCACATCACAACCAGATGACTCACTCATGCCCCGTCACAGAACCAGGACAGGAGCTAATGTCGTTTTAGATCTACAGAAGAACCACTTGAACTCTGATTACAACAGCCTTTGACTGACTTTTTCAAGAGCCACATCTACAGAGGTTCTTATTGACAGAAAGCTGCTGTCTCATGTATTTTGATGCTAACCTCTTGTTCACCTCACTCATCTGCTGTTGTGCCCTGCAAACTAACCTTTCTGTGTTTCTAGTGCAGCTGGTATTCATAGCCTCTCATCTGTTTAGGGATGTGGTTTAGTGGTGTCCCAATGTAAACAGCGTTACTCTTAGCTCCTGTGTATGAGCCTTACACACGCAGCACAACAGCACATTTCACTCAAACAGAATTCAACTTCATTACAGACTCTCGGTTCAAAAATACAGACAAGTACAATATTATACTACGAATATTAATACATACTTATGGCTGGGGAACTTTTTTACTTTTTTGTCCCAACAAATCAGACCACAACACAAAGTCTGTATCTTATTAGAAAACATTGTGTATTTAGCATGAATCCCTTTGAGTCACTACTTGACCCTTTGAGCTGAGAGCTTATTTACTGAACGAGCTTTTCCACTTTTCCGTCTGAAAAAGCTAAAAATGCGACAGAAGCCAAAATAACTATAACTAGAACCGAAACTTTTGAAAGATAGTAACATGGAATCTTATTACAGTTAAAAATGGTTTTGTCTTCTGCGATCCAAGCTGCGGGATGTCAAAGAAAATCACCGACAGACTACAGATTGCCATGGCGACCGATGCAAGATGGCTGAAGCTATAAATTGCACAGAACAAACTTGTCTTGAGGCCAGTGTTGCTGTTGTTGTGTAAGCGCTTGTCTCAATCAATCCACCGACGGGAGAACACACGCCACAATATCTTATCTCACTAAATTACATTCAGAGGTGTATATATTTAATCATGGAGAAATGTGGAATATGAAAATGATCAGAATTATTCATACTTTTTGGACGTTTGGATAAGATAAATAATAAATCATAATAAATGCAGCTGTTGATTATAAATGGAACTAATGTATATAGTAAAATCCATCTAGTTCTTCAATTTGGTTACATTGCTAGTTTTAGATTAACTTATTGAGACAGAAAAGTAAATAAAAAGAGAGGACTACCCTCACTCGGCCAATCAGCTCTCACTCCAAAGCGTCTAAATCTGTGTTTTAAAAAGGAGATTGTTTTATGGGTATGAGACTACACTGCAAAACGTGCCAAAAAAGGTGTGAGAAATTGACATAATGTGGCTTAATAACGATAACACATTTTGACAGTCTTAAAAGTCTTATAAGAAATACAATTGCTATACTGCTAATACTCTTTGTTCCGTTTGAAAATCTGGTTTTAAGAACGTGAAATGCATTGTAGAACACCATTATGTCGCCATGGTTACTGGTTTAGGTTAAAGATTCAGTTTATTTTCCATTTGCAGTAAAACCACATTGGAGTAGATGTGCAAAAAGTACCGCAGTGTGGGCTCGGCCGTGTCAGTCCTGTTTCAGCTCTAATTTCCACTTTGTTGGGTTCTGTAACACATGAAATCAGACCGTCACAGAAACGAGACAGGAGCTTTTAGACAGAAGGGGCGGAGCTACATGATTGTGCCAGAAGTTCTTGATATCAGCGTGGATCCGTGGAACGCCAGGTAAGTTTTTGATGAGTGAATGATCTTGAAATATGGCTCAAAGCTCAAGAAAAGTCGGTTTTGCATAATATGTGTCTTTAATTCCTTTTTATACTTTTAACCTTGTTTTATCTATGTACTTGTCTAGTGCAAATGTATTCCAATGTGGTTTTACTGCAAATGACAAATAAAATGAATCGGAAATCATTGTTTTTAGTGAATCTCTTTGAGTACAGATGCATGTTGACTGAGAAAGTGGTGGGAGGTCGTAGACGTGTGGCGTACTGACCCTGGAAGCGGCCCCCGTGCTTGATGACGATGGCCCCCCTGCTGCGGGTGTCCTCCTCGGCCTGGGCCATGCTCTGTTTGGCTTTGTCGTAGGAGTCGTCCGTGGCGTTGACCGTCATCTTCTTGTGGATGATGCCCAGGCAGGACAGCTCCTCTGCGGCCCTGAAGAAGGAGCACAGACACCTGGTCTCTGGACGTGGACCACACAAGAGGAGCCTTGTACTTCAAAAACACGAAATAAACTTGATCTTTCTGTCGTGATTAGGGGTGTGACGATATATCAATTTTTCGATATATCGCGATACTTTCTCCCGCGATTTGATTATCGATGCATTTGCCAAGTATCGATATCAATTTTGATTTTATTTATTTTTTTACTTTTTTTTTTTTTTGAATTGGTATCAATACTTAATATATGGCTACATTACGCATCTCCATTCTATTTATCATGAAATAAAGTGTATTTTTTCTTTTATTTATGCCATAAATTGGCATATTGTATATTTCTGACCAATATATCAATAATCGTCATATCGTGATAAAATCGTTATCGTAATATCGTTATCGTGATATTATCGTTATCGTGAGCTTTGTATCGTGTATCGTATCGTATCGTGAGGTACCCTTAGGTTCCCACCCCTAGTCGTGATTCATGCATGTTTGATGAATCTACAGATGTGCTTGACGTTTATGAACCCAGTCATGTCAATGTTTGGGTCATTTTGTGGAGATTATGAATGTATTATATCTTACTCATTGTTAGTGCTTGTGTGAAACTACATACCGGTAGCTTAATTTTTGCTTCTATATTTTCAAATTATGTCATCGAGCCAAAAAGAATAGACAGCGTGACCATCAGAGGAAAAAAGAACCTCATCCACAAAACGTCACACCTCATAGCTATCGAGAACTGGGGGATGGAGACTTCTGATCAGGGACAGAGGACATTATTTGACAATAAATAGCTTCACACAACCTCTAACAATGAAAGAACCAAATCAAACCATTCATCTCCCAAAAAAAAACAGAATTGCAATTTTTAATTTGTACATTTTCAAGCAGAACTGTAACATATTTTAGCCGCGGCACGGTTACTTCCCATGGTTATGCAGATGATGTCATTACTGTTATTATTGTTGTTATTAATGTTATTAATGTTGTTATTAATATTGTTTTTATGACTGATTAATGTTATGATTAATATTATTCTGATTAATGTTATTAATATTGTTTTTATGACTGATTAATGTTATGATTAATATTATTCTGATTAATGTTATTCTAATGTTGTTATTGATTATACTAATTGTAGTTATTATTGTTGCTATTATTATAATTATTGATGTTATCATTCATTGCTGTGTGCTTATTATATCATTATCATTATTAGTACTGGTTAGGGCTGGGCGATAAAACGATAACGATATACATCGCGATAGACACGTGTTCGATATCAGTAGAATACGGGGTCGATAGAATGTTCGATAGTTTCACTTCACTCCGTAATGGTGCGTTCAGACCAAACGCGATTTCTGCGGCCAAAGCGGCGGGTCTACATTGACACAACATGGGGGACGCGCGCCAAGGAGCGGCGAGAGATCACGCGGCGCGAATTCGAGCGTTTCGCGCAATTCGCGCCGCGTGTTTTGAGATGTCAAGCGTTTTGACGCGCGATTCGTGCCTCCAACGCGGCCGCCGCTAGAGTTGAACAATGTTGAACTTTTTGGGAGAATTCGCGTGTGCCGACCAATCAGGAGCTTTCTCCTCCAGTGACGTAGTGACGCATTTCACTACCGGAAAAACACTGGTAGATGACAGCTATGGAGGACACGTCAATTGCTCAGGTCGGTGCTCATTCTGAGCTATATAACACTGCGGACATCAGCTACCGGGACCGAAATAAAAAGGAGCTTGCTTGGAGGAGGGTTAGCGAGGTGGTTGGTGTCTCGGGTAAGTTATTTTAACTTTTCAATGTTGTAAATATTTCCCCGCGAAAAAAACTACTACTTTCCTGCTTACGAGTTGATGTGTTTATTCAGTGGAAGTTTGCAAAAAGCGGTGGAAGAATCTGAGGGACACATATGCTAAGGAGAGCAGGAAGAAGGAGAAGGTGAAGAAGAGTGTAGCAGAAGCAGGGAAAGGCCAGACGTGGAAGTACCTTGTGGTCATGTCCTTCCTCGAGCCCTACATCACTCCCCGTGACAGCTCCGGGAACATGCCAAGGCGAAGGGCCGAGGAGGAGCAGACCACAGGGTACAACCACCCAGAAGAAGAGCCAGAGGAAGCAGCAGCAGCAGGGCTGTCAGGTGCTGAAGGTCGGTGTCATGCAGCAAACAGAGACCTCCAACAGTTGGAAAAAATACATTTCTTTCCTTTCTATTACCCACATTTTGCTGACTTTTACATTTATATTGCTTTCTGTGTATGCATTTCTTTTAATGATTTCTTAACATCATGGCCAGGTGAAAATAGGCATTGGCTATTTTCAAACCAGGATAGATCTTGATCATGTGTTGTGTTAAATTTCACTTTTCCCTTTTATATGAACAAATCATTTAAATGTACATAATAATGTACATTATTATGTACATATAAATGTCATAAGCGCAATGTACACATGATATGAAATAATTGTATTTCTTGTTTTCTTCTGGCACAGACACTGCCACCACCACACAAGGGGAGACATCTTGGCCTGAGCTGCCTGAGCTGCTGCTGCTGCTGCTGCTGCTGCTTCCTCAGCCGGTTCTTCTTCTGTGAGGGCTGGACCTTCCCCTGCTTCTGCACCTACAGGTGTGGCTTTTTTTTAATCATTGTTTTATTTTTATTCTTTTTACAGGACTGTTCATATAAACAAAATGTTACTGCATAATATGCCAAAATTACCCAAGGGCTGTTACATCAGTGTAGACGACAAATTTACAGAGAAACACCAAGATGTCAAGGCACTACAGGTGGAAAGAAGCTTTGGTCTGATACAACACATCTTCCCTCTTTCTTCGATAAAAACATACTACTGAAATACCTTATGCTATAAAAGTACTGAACAAATACATGCAATGGTTGCCACAAGATGGCAGCTATCCTGTTTAATGCAGACAATAGAGTATTACTTTTTTACAGCCAATTTCAAATTTCATTGCGAAATACACTTCAGAGATATTAGTTTGTAACTGTCGAAATTTGTGCTTGTGTGAGTAATTTCATTGATAACTGCAATGTTCAAGTTAATTGTAACAAACACACAACTTAAAAGTGTTTTACATGTGTTTAACTATGTCTACACACTCTGGCTTTAATACAGATATTATTTGCTCTCTTCATTTTGCTTTTTTGAAATACATGTTCCACTTTTTAACACTGTGATTGCCCTGTGTTCTTTGTTGGCGGCTCTACGGACGTGGGCCTCTTCCGAGCCCTCTTCCTTGGTGGGCCTTCAGAGTGGGAGCGGGAGCTGCTGGAGACTCTACGGACCAAAGCAGCCGGACCGCCCGACTACTCAGAAGAACATCAGTTCCTGCTCTCTCTCTTTCCTCTCCTGCAAAGGGTGGCACCAGAGTCAAAAGAATTTGTGAAATTCAAAATGTACCAACTTTTATATGAAAGCAGCACCGTTCTTCTTAATTTGGAACCATTGGCCAGAACAGACAGTTTTTTGACCTAAGGTGACACCTTTTGCAGGGGAGGAAACAGACATGTGTCCCTTTCCTCTTCCACCGCACCTCCTCCAAGCAAGCTCCTTTTCATTTGTTTATATGTACATTTCATTTATTTTTCATTGTTTGTTCCTTTTTTTATAAAGAAAATATTTTTCAAACCTCATGTGTTCTACTTCAAGCCAACCATTACTACCTTTCATATAATATTGACAGAAAATGCTATTCTATATTTGTACATTTACTTTTATAAGAGCTGACTGGGTTTTATAGAAGATGGAATAACGAACACTTAAAGAGCGATACAGTAGTTGACAGTATTTTTTATTCATTTCACCTTTTACTGTTTTAACAACCTTGTAATTATGGAAAAGCTTGAATGTGCATATGATTAACCTGAAGTTGGAGTGGAGTCGCAGTGGAGTCTGGCAGTCATTACCTAGAAACAGAAGGTATACAGGTGAATAGAATAGTGCAAATCAATATGGGTTTGGACTATGGCCAGATGTGGGTCAGTCTTGTGGTGGACATGACTACTCTGTGGGCTGCCACGGCAGTGCTCCCTCCTCACTGAAGTGGGCCATGAACACTTTCCTTATGTCCACTGCTGGCTTCCAGGCGGCCATCCGCTGCACGCCTGGAAGTGGTTCTTCACCGACAGCAGCTCCCCTCGGTGCAGGAACCTGCCCATCTCCAGCCATCCTCATGGCTGGAGATGGGCAGGGCGCATTAAATTGCAGCGCAGTGAAAAGGCCTCATCTGCCACGAACACATGGGGCTGGGGTCCTCTGTGGTCAGCTCCAGTTATGCACTGGTCAGGAGGCAGGTCGAGTGTGCCCTCGCGCAGAGCCTCACCAAAGGCAGAGTTGGACACGATGCCTCCATCGCTGGATCTGCCGTACCCTCCCACATCAATCACCCTGAACCTGTACTGGGCATCCACTACAGCCAGGAGCACAAGGGAATGGTGCCCCTTGTAATTAAAAAAACATGGACCCAGAGTTGGGGGGTGCCTTCACAGCCACATGCTTCCCATCAATGGCCCCACAGCACAGAGGGAAGTTCCATCGGACCTCCACTCCTCTGCTCCAGGCACAGCCATGAACTCCTCCGCGAGGCAGTCCCAGATGGCTGCCACCACATCTGGGATGAGCATGGAGACGGTGGATATGCCCACTCTGAAGCTCCCCGCAATGGTCCTGTAGGAGTCCCCAGTGGCAAGAAACCTGCAATTACAAAATGATATGAACATATTTATCACAATTACATTCATAACAATCACGTGACAAAACTTGTGTAGCATAAAATACGTTAAACTAGTAGACAGTAAACATCATAGACAGTAATCATAGACACCATATTGTTGCATAATACTGTTTTCTGAGCTATTACATTGTGGATTGTGATTGAAAAATGACAAACTTTGTAAGTATTTAGGAATTCCGAATGGGGTAAAAAACACTAACCGCAGACAGATGGACAGGCGCTCTTCAGCTGGAATAGAGCGCCTGTAGTTGGTGTCCTGGTAGGTGATCCTTGCGCCAATGCGGGTCAGTAGGTCGTCAAACTGGGCCAGGGAGAGACGAAAGTACCGCTGAAAGCGACCCTCATCCGAGCGCAGCTCCCGGAGCAAATGGTGAAACTCACCAAACTCCAACCGTCTACGGACTATCTGGTGAATCCAGACACGTCGTCGATTCGCCCTTTGACGACGCTGTCTGGCTTTATTTATTAGATAGAGCCAAGCAACTCCTTCGCTGACATCCATTTTGGGAAGCTACAGGCAAAAGAGACAAGCCCCGCCCCTAAACGCTCTCAACGCTCTGTGACAGCGGCTGCCCTCTAGTGTCCTGGCCGCGCGGCCAAGTTTCTCTGTGACAGCGGCTGCCACAATTTGTCACAAGCGGCTCAAGCCGCGCGATATACGCGATTTGGCCGCAGAAATCGCGTTTGGTCTGAACGCACCATAAGAAAAAACAGGATGAAAACACAAGAAGTAAAGCAGAGTCAGAAGCGCACGGCATTCTGGGGGATGTAGGCAGAGACTTCTCTACCTATCACAGCCGATCATAGGTAAACCAGGACTAACAATGGGGGACACTGTGCTTGTGAACATATTCTTCTAGCCTCATTCCCCCGTGACTGTAAACAAGACTGCTAACGTATTTATTTAGGTTTAAAAAACAAAACTAAAAAACAATCAATATATATTGTTATCGACCAATATGAATGACTTATATTGTGATATAGTTTTCAGCCATATCGCCCAGCCCTAGTATTGTTATTATTGTTGCTTTTATGAATCGTATTATGATTATAGATTATTATTATCATTATTATGATATATATATATATCTGTATATAGAGGACCCCCACGAAAACGAGATGATGCATCTCATGGGGTTATTCCTCTTTAAATAAATGTCTAAATAAATAAATAAATAAATTATGTCGTAGGCCTGACCTGCCGCTGGCCTGCTGCACGCACTCGAAGCGCCCGTGCGGGTTGTGGCTCGACACATTGCTGACACTGAAGGTGAAGACCCGCGCTTGGTCCTGGGCGTCCGCACACGGGAGCCTGATCCTCTGCAACAGACACGTTTATTGTTAGCAGTGAGAAACGACAAAACAAACTGTCTGCAGAAGAATCAAAGTTACCCCTTTGTTGTCGCTGAAGCAGATGGTAGGAGACGAGGCCCAGCCCTGAAACACAATATCATTATTCAAGAGGTCGGAGCGTTCAAGGACAAGCTGCGTTTTCAGCTCTGGCAGCTCTGGTTCAGTCCAGACTCTAAGGATGGTTCAACTTGTGTTTCCGGGGGTCTCCAACCTGCAGTTCAGGAGCTCGCCACCCCCTTCAAAGTACCTCCCCCCCAAAGGATCATTTGAGGAGTCACAATGCAGACAACTATTGTAAATGCCTACATGGTTTTGGTTCCAGTTTATTTATTATTTTTGTAGTTAACAAGGTCTTGAAATTTCTTAAGATTCGTGTTTTTTGTGTGTGTGTTTTTTTTATTTTTTAAATAATGTATTTGTATGATCATAATATCCTACTTTATTTATTAGGCGATAGATAAATAGATAGATAGATATAGATAGAGATAGAGATAGGTACAGTAGATCTATCCTTCAAGTGTCCAGTAGCAGCAGAAACACACAAAACAAAACAAAATAAATACAAATATCACTCTAAAAATAGCCAAAAATAGTATTAAAATGGATTTTAAAGTATTGAATAGTATTAAAATGGAAATTAGAGTGGAACGTTTTTGTATTAACACTATAGAATAAATTACAGTTTTAAAAGTAGCTCCCATGTAAGGAAAAATCAAGGTACAGTAGATATTATAAAGTGCATCAGAGGTGAGTAAATCTTTAGTATTTTGCACATTGCACAGTCAACGTGTTGTTTCCACATTAATCAGTCTTACTCTAGCTTTGTGCACGTTTACGTTATGGCGGATTGTTTTATGGGTATAACACTACACTGCAAAACATGCCAAGAAAAAGGTGTAAGAAATTGACAAAATGTTGCTTAATTATGATTGCACATTTTGACAGTCTTATAAATGAATATAATTTTCCTCTTTTAAATCACTTCTTACTTTTATGCAACAGACTTTAACTGCTAATTTTGAACTTCGCAGGTTGTATTTAACCCTTTGACTTTGTTTTTGTTTTGTCTTTCCTCTTGGGTGGCCTCCGTCTGTATCTACTGCTCTGTTTTCCCGTAATTATTTTGATACTGTATTATCATGACTGTTTTATTGGCTGTTTTTATTGATTATGCCGACTGTGCATAGTGCTATACATAGACATATCTATTGTTCATTGTAAAACACAATTATGTCAACTTTTCTTTCACTCTTTCTTTCTTGAAATGAAAATTTAGCTCTCCAGGCGAAAAGGAGATTCAGAAATATATACTTGAAGGAATAAGTCGTTAGCTCTGACTAATTAGACCATAATCGGTCTCATGGCTTGGACGTGCCGAGTACATTCTGTGACTGCATTTTGACCAGCCAGCGATCTTGTGCCTATGTTTCAGAGTATTTCATCATAGTAAGGAGGTTGGACTTTCCCAGAACGCATCACTGCGCTCAGGACAGGAAGTGTGCGTAGTGTGGCTGATTCATAAAGGAGAAGACCAAACAAGCGGTTAGATTTACCTCATCAAGCTACTACTAGAGTCCTTTTTTTTTTTACATTTTTTTTTCTATCCATCTATCTATCTATTCATTCATTCAATTATGTTTTTATTGAATGCCGCTTTAATGCATCAACGTGAGGCATATACATTTTTGGTTCAACAGATATGAATTGTGTGTGCATTTTCTTAGCTTGTTGTTGTTTGTGTTTATTTCTTTGGAGAAAACACTATTTGAGAAATAAATGGGGCTTTTTTAGTTTGCTCTTTCTGTTTTTCACTTAACAATATTACACACGATTATTTATCATTATGAATGTGTGGTACCGTATAATGTTGAATAATTGTTATCCCCTTTACGCTAATATTTACAAATGATACATATTCCTAGTTCCTATCGTTCTGATGAGAACCAGGAAGTACCATCACATCAGTCCAGTCCTCAGGTCTCAATGGCTTCCTGTGGCTCAGAGAATAGATTTTAAAGCTGCTTTGCTTGTGTTCAAGTCTCTCCATGGCCTCGCACATAGGTACATCGGTGACATATTAGTGCTATATGAACCGGCTCGGACTCTGAGGAGCACAGGGACTGGCCTCCTGCTGACATTTCAGATTTAACTAAAATCTGGACCGGTCTTATTCAAATCCAGGTTAAAAACAGTTCTGTTTAGCTGTGCACACAACTGAAGGACTCTTTTAAGATTTAATAATAATAATAATACATCAAACTTGTATAGCGCTTTTTGGACACTCAAAGACGCTTCACGTTGGGAATAAAATACAATAATAAATACAATAAAAGTAAAAAAGGGGGTTTAGCGAAAAGCTTGTTTGAAAAGATGGGTACTGATTTAAAGTTTGCTAGTGAGTCAGAATGTCTAATGGGCAGTGGGAGCGAGTTCCAGAGGGTTGGGGCGGCAATGGCAAAGGCTCTGTCCCCCCAAAGTCCGGCAGTTAGTGCGGGTGACCCCTGCCTTGTATGATTTTAATGTTTCTTTTGTTTTGTTCAGCACTTTGAGTTGCCCTGCCTTGTGTGTATTAACTGTTCTATACAAATAAACATTCCTTGCCTATTGAAGTCGAACCCACATACATCCTATATCGCGTATTGTCCCCCAGAAAGCGTCTAATTATTATTTTAGCATTCCTTCCACTTGGCAGCAGCTTGTAAGAACTTAGCTGGGACTGGCTGATCATTACGATCAGCCATACACAAGCCATGTTTCCGCGTTGTCGCCTGTTATGCAACATTTAAAAGCATTTCAGAAGGCCAATTAGAGCCGTCGCGTTGGTTTACTCACATATAAACAAAAGAGAAAGTGAAAGTAAATGTGTATGTTTTTATTATCGGGGTTAAAAGCAGCCTACCTTTCCGCTCTGGAAACCCTCGATCGCTCTGGCCGCGCTGTCAGTGAGTTTTACGTGGAACACGGAGAGGTTGGAGGCGCACTGGGCGCTGGAGAGACCGTAGCTGTGGTTCTCCTGGAGGGCAGACATCCCCGGGTGATGTCGCGGTGGGATCAGGGGGAAGGAGGACGGGGCCGCGCGGCAGATGAGCGCGCGAACATCGGGGAGGCGCCACGGCTCTGTCCGCTGCAGGAGCTGGAGGTCTCTGTCTTGACGCGCGGAAATCTGGAGAAGAGCGCATTAGCGGGGGTGCCAGGTCTGCGGAGAGAAAGGGCGTTTTTCAGCGTTATGAGCGATTGTGTTTTTCTTCGGTAATTGGTCATCAACAAAAAAAGAGCTCATAATTAAACTTATTTAAAAGGATTTTCAACTTCCGGGTGGATGATCAAGACTCGTCCTAATTGTCAAATAGACCAGAGAGTTTTGTTCAAAAAGTGGAGAGGGCGGTTCTTTCCCAAAATTTTAGAAAATACTCCTACATACCTTCAAGTTTTAAGACTGTAAATGTTTGAGGCAAAAGGAAACTACTTTTTTTCTGCTTAACCCAGACATGTCAGGTGGCCCTCACTGTCGTATTATGTGGCCCTCTACCTTACTCACTCAAAGTAGTCTTTGAGATCATAAACACTAGTTCACTGTGTCATCTAGCATACTTCAGCTCTGGAAATATAAGTGTAATACAGATTATTTCGTGTTTTAAAGGGAATGGGTGTGTGAAGAGCCACACAGAGGGCCAGCTCCTCAGGATGGTACTTCTTTTAAACTTCTCAGCTCACCCTGGGAACGCCTTAAATAAGTTTTATTTTGCGTACGTGACCTCATCACTGTCATATCCATACACACACAAAATAGGTTCCAGCCAGTTGTTCCAGCCAACACATGCAAAAAACAATGAAATAATCCCCTTACATAATCCTGTTTTTCCTTGTTTCAAAGCTCAAAACCTCTACATTTTTTGTTATGTAGAACGCGCTAATGAAGCTGGCATGGGCCTCCTGTGGTGACCCCGCTCTCATCTTTGTGTCTCTGTGTGGAGTGAGAGACAAATGCCCACAACAATTTTAAAGCGCTTTGTGACTCTGGTCTGTGAAAGGTGCTATATAAGTAAAGATGACTTACTTACTCACCAGTTCTAAGAACTTAAAACTGGGTTACCAACTTTTTATTTCAGAAATACAAGTAAGACTGTCTTCTTCTTATTAGAATTTTTTTTTTTACTATTTTGTCTGAGAAGATGGTGTAAAGATGTAACTTGCCATACTGGCCATAAAATACATGAAAACCAGTGATAAAACCAAACTGAGAGTGAGGAACCATATATACCTTGTTTCATTTATTGTGGTTTGAAAGTTAGGCACTCCAGCTTTGGGGGAAAAGAGAGAGATGCACAGTGGTAACATGTCTGACATGACGACACCACTTCGACAAACCCAAATTCGAGTTGAATCTGTGGACCTGGCAACTTGGGGTAAACCGCATTATGTCATGATGACTGGAGCCAGAGCTGATCTGATTGGCTGAGAGACGTAAATAAACCCATACGTACGCTTTACGTAAGTACCTCTACTTTTTATTTTTTTCTTCTCATTTTTTCAAAGCCAGTGTTTGATCTGTGCGGACTGAGGGCAGCTCTGCTGCTCAGTGCCCTGTGCTTTTCATCTGAAATATGTATTTTTAAAGTTCATTTAAATAGAGTGTAAAATGTTACATCTGGTTGTCAATATTTTTCTTTATTCATTTATTAATATATTTCAGGCAATGGCACAGATTAGCACAAGGTATGTGGATAAATACAGTCAAGTCATAAAGTGCAAATAGATAAAAGATAAAGACAATAAGTGAATGTACAATTATTAATCAGAGATTCATGTCTTAAGCTTCAATATTCTGTCTATTTTGATTATGATGAACACAAAAACCTACCCCCCACTCATCAAGGCAGCCCAGGAATTTACAGCAACTGGAGACTTTTTGCTAAGAAGAACGGGCAGCTTTACCATCACCGGGCAGCTGAGTGGATAGAACTCTCGCTTCTCAGCAATAAAGTCCTGGGTTCGAATCCCGGTCGGAGCAGGGCCTTTCTGAGTGGAGCTTGCATGTTCTGCCTGTGTCTTTGGAAACTTTTATGCTCCAATGTGTTCGGCGGAATATCTGAACTCTGAACATTGTAAAGCGCTTTGGGTGACCTTGATTTGTAAAATGCGCCATAAACATTACTTACTTACAGAAGATAAAGATCCTCTTCCACAACAACCTCAAAAGTTGTCACAATTTCAATTCAATTCCACTTTATTACAGACTCTAGGTCCAATTTAAAACATACAAACAGACAAGACAAAAGAAAATATCAAACAAACACATCAGAATCATTATCAGATTGATCTTGTTGCCTGCCAGTCTCACACTCAGAATTTGCTTTGGCTTTTGGTGCGGAAACATGTAATGAAATAGACATAAAGACATGCACACAAATCTGCCCCAGAATCTCAGGACGGGTCCCCTGGTGCCGCTCCTGACAGAGAGAGGCCCCTGTGGCTTTGGAGGGATGGGTCAAATGCAGAGGACACATTTTCCTTCGGGGACAGTAGAGTATGGCTTTATCTAACTTAGTCCTTCGAAGGCGGTTACAGTTACAGCCTCCTAACTCTGTGCACTCAATCTTTGAATCAGCCACAATGAATGCAGTGACACAAAACCCCCATTTTAATCATTCATTGTGGACTCAAACACATACAAATACAGCAAACGATTCAATAATTTGTAATGTTTCTTCATATGCTCTGTTTACTTTGCTCTATTTCAGACTGTATCCCCCTCCCACTATTTGTTTATTCGTCTCTCTTGCATAACAACCCTCTCTTTTGCTTCAATAGTGTGTGATGTATACAAGAAAACTGAATATGATTTCCATTTGATGTTTAGTTATGAATGGGATTTCTGCATTTCAGCTGCAAAAAGTATAGCACAACACCATGAGCACAAGTGTTAGTTACAGAATGTTCAATGGATAATTACTGTCTGCAAAGGGGATTAGATTTCCATTATGTTCCTTACTGTAGCAAACCTGTCCTTCCTCATTCCAGCTGTTATTGTCGCAATCTATTAAACAACAAATGGGAATAACCTGAACGGCCAATAGACTTGCTTTGTGCTAAAATAAGAAGACAAAAAAAAACCGTCTGATTTGTAAATGGTACAGATTACACATAAGAGACTAAACAATGGGAATATTATGAACAACATGAAATAGTTTATTATTATTATTTTTTATTGATTGAATACTTTCTTTTTAGCAAACAAAATGATACCATTCTGCACAATACAGAAATCACTGTACCCACATATGGGCAACAAATGAAGGACAAAACTAAACAAAGAGGAACAGGGAGGATCTGTATAACATTTATATTTTGGCTCAAAAAGGAGAGGGAAAACGACTTATGTGATCCCACCCCTTGTTCCTACATTTCATTACTTAGCTTAGTTCCTGGTGTCTTTCTACATAAAATAGATATATACATACTTACATATATACACACATATATATACTGTATATACACACACACACAACCAACATATTATTATTATCATTTGTTTCATTGTCTTGTTTATTTCTATGTATGTGTTTTATGTGGTCAATATATTGTTTACATTAATCTGAATGTAAATAAAATATAAAAATAAAAAACTGGGTTCTCCATGTGAAACTCTATAATCCATAAACTGTAAAACTCTAAAATAATAAAGTCATAGATTCTGTGGAACAACAATCTTTATTCTGCAGTCCCATGATGTGACACCAACCCCCGACTGGACTTTTTGAAACTAAATGAGTCATATGTTCTTACTTACTGGTAGATTAGAAAAAACAAGTAACAAAACCTCAAACTTTTCTCCGTATGAAAACACACTGAAATATCTACAAAAGTAAACACAAATTGCAGGTCTTCTCAAAAATCTGCTGAAATGTTATCAAAAAATTTGGTAAAAACCCATTTTGAACAGACTCCTATGGTCCCTACAGAGTCTTAAAAGTGTTGAAACCAAATCAGTCCACAACATGCTGTCTTCCTGTAAGTCACAATTTGACGTTTTGGGCTGAGATCTGATTGGCTGAATGAGGGAGGTCCTCTCTTTTTCACCTTCCTGTCTAAAAGAGACTGATCTAAAGATGTGAAAGAAATGAAAATACATGAAAACCAGTGTTAGAACCAAACAGGAGCCAGGGACAAATTATGTTATAAAAATCCATCTACTTCTTTTGAAAACAGGTAAGGCAAGTTTATTTGTATAGCACAATTCATACACACAGCAACTCAAAGTGCTGAACAAAACCAGATAGAGACAGTCACACAAGGCATTCAAAACATAATCACAGTACATTAAAAAGAATGAAGATAAAATCCCTCAGTTGTAATTTTAACCCTATAGTGTCATGGTGTGTATTTTATTTCTGTATTTGGTTTTATTTTGACATTAGTTCTGTGGTTTTCATTTCAGTTTTGCTTCCTGCCCCGCCCCGATGTGTTTCACCTGTGTCTCTGTCTATGTGTACCTGTGCTCCTCCCCCCTTGTTGCTGGTTCATTGTGTTGTCTTGTCAAGTTATGTCCTGTCCTGTTCCTGGTTACTTTGGATTTAGAGTTTTGTTTTAAACTTGGGCTTCATTTTATTAAATCATTCTTTTGGCATTCCTGCGTTTGGGTCCTCATTTATCTCACCCCATGACACCTAGTGCTGTCTTCGAGGCAAAATGACTAACCATAGTGATTAAAAGTTGAAGAAAAATGCCCTAAATTATGATATAAAATGGTCCGACACATGGCAGGTCAAGTCAGAAAAAAGCAGGAAAATTCAGCTTGAAAAAATAAATATTTAGAGTATTTTTTAATTACTGTGGTGGGTCAATTTGACTCGAAGACAGCACAAGGGTTAAAAACACTTCTGTTTAGTATACAACTTTTTTTAAATCTATTTTTATCTTCACTATTTTTAATGTACTGTGATTATTCATGATTTTAATGCCTTGTGTGACTGTCTCTCTTTCGTTCAGCACTTTGAGTACCCTCATCCTCAGATAATTTCAAAATATAATACTGATCTATGCCTGTCAAAAGATTACATTACATATAAATTGCAAATAGATTCCAAACTCGGTAGAATTTGTTCGCAGACTGCAGTGTGCTGGTTCAAAAGCAATAACATCCCAACCGGCCGTCTCTGTGCAGAAGACCACCTGCAGAGAGTGGCCTTTGGGGTCTCCACGTGACTTTGCAGGACGCGAGTGGACACTGGTCATTCCAGGCCAACGAGTGAGACGCCACAACAGTTCAGCTGGGTGTTTTTTTCCAGTCTAGAGTCAGCGCTGGCGAAAGGCGAGGTTGTGATCAAGAATAAGATTAAGACGTCCTTTATTCGTCCCACAGTAGGACAATTTCAGTGTTGCATCAACCGGTTACGGTAGGGAATGAGGAGCACACAACACAAGATGATTGAACAAAAACTCTACGCTAAAATAACATAAAATAAAATCTCAGAACTATGTCTATGGCCAAGAAAACACCATCAAAACAAGTGAGTGGCTTTGAAATTTTTTTTTTTTTAGTTAAGTAGTTTTTTATTATTTACATATAATTTCAAGAAACAGACCCCAAAAGGAGAAGGTAGGAGCAAAAGGCTTATGTGCCTTCCCCATTATCAATACTACTTTTAAGATACTGCAAACAGATTAGGATTTTCAAATTAAAGCCGGGGTATCTAACTTTCTAACCAATATCAATGATCTATGCAATACAGTTCATCGTTCGTTTCTCTCAAAGCACGCTAGAGTTCACACGGTGTTTTTTTTGTTGTCAATGTCACATTTCTTTCAGACAGAAAAGTGAAAAAGTGACTACGCCTCTCAATCAGCTGTGTGAAATAACGACATACTGTATCAAGGTTTTTTGTTTATATTGATTTAAAGAATATTTTATAAATAATCTAATAAAGAAAAATAAGGGACACATATTACAAATACATTTGCTTATATTCAGATAAACCTGATTCAAAAGTATTTTTTAAATCTATGAAAAATATCCAAAAACGTCTCAAAAGTATCTTTGAAAATTGTATCTACAATTTTCAGTTTATAGCAAAAAAAATTACAGCAAAAACCTATCAACTTTTAACTTTGTCGCAACATTCTCTAATCCAAAACAGACCTGCACGAAACAGGCAAATAGTGACTCAAAATGGCTCTTTTTCACACTGGACTAACGACATTTCTGTCAATTGCCAAATGGCTATATATCCTAATATATGATTTTAGTATTCATTATAGTTTTGTATTTAAAAACATTTTTGCAATCTTATGTTGGCAAACCACTGATACAAAAAAAACATACATTCAAATTGTATCGCTGTAACATATTGAAATACTAATTACGCAGTTGTTATTGGAAGAGGCATATTTAAGGTATATAGAATTTTAGGAAAGAACCACCCTTTCCACTTTTTGAACAAAACTGTGGTCTTTTTGGACGAGCATGTATCACCAGAATGATTGACACTTGGGAGGACCAATAGCATTGAATAAGTAGAGAATCCTGCTATATACCTTTAAGTTTGAATGAATGCTAAAATCACATAACGTGAAGCCATTTGACAATTGCGTAAAAAATATTGAGAAGAGGCATTGAACAGGAAGCGGACTCAGACGTGTACTGACATTGTTTTGAGTCAGACGGTCCATTTTTAGAGCACTTTATTTGGTCTGAATAAAGTATGACTCACACAGGAAATCGTCAGAACAAAACAGACTCGATGATTCTCCCAATTAGGCGAATCAGGCCACGATATCAAGCTGCTGCTAATAACCACAACTTGAAATGAGGCTGTATCATTAGGTTAATTAGGAGTCAAGGGGTAAATGTTAATTGCTTTTAGGGTAATTGTTCAAGTCTGTAATCTAGCTGTATAAAAACATAAACAAAGGCAAGACTCTAGAGAGACAAGAGAAGACACGAAGTCATGGCAAAAGGAGTGAATTCATTTTATTTGTTTTAATATGTATCTACAACAAGGGGGACACAGGCAAAAACGACTGACAACTTGATCAACTTAAAAACAAAACAAAAAGAAAATGAACAGAAAAAATACATTTATCATTGATGCAGTTTCCCCACCTTTTCTGATAACAGTTTTGCCTAAAGAAACTTTACAATATAAAGAAACAAATACGAAGAAGGAACCTCTTTTTTTTCTTTGAGTTTTTTTACTACACGAGACATTTAGGATCTACCCTAACATGATACAAATCAGCTCCCCTCAATACTGCTCTCCCCGGGAGGAAATTTGCCAAAAATATTGGTTCCTCCGGCTTTTCTCTCTCCTGAATGATACAGTCATTTACATCAGCACGATAGAAATACAGAAGTGACCCAAAGTAATTATACAGGACAAAAGGACTGCGTTTGTTTGTACATCTGTTCCCGAGGGCAGGGGAGGAATGGCTGTAATGCTTTCTTAACTGAGAAATATCGACCCATAAAAGAAAAAAAAATAAGTTGATTTTCAAAAAGTATCAAAAGAAACCAAGAGAAATCCAGGTTGAAATGTCCAAAATTGCACTTGATTTTCAAACTATGATACACTACGCACAGTGGCGGAGTAATAAAAACGAGGGCCTGAGGTGAATTTCAGTTTGGGGCCCCTTCTATCGTAATCTTTTAAGACGTGGCCTTTCTGAATACAACTTTGTAGATCAATACAATATTTGTGACACCAGATCAAGATTAAATTACTTTGGCAATCAGATAGAATTGTTTTTGTTTAAAAGTTACAACTTACATTGTTGCATAAGTCTGATTTGTGAAGAAATTGTTGCAGAGAAAATGATTCTATCCAATGCCCACACATGTAACTTCAACACACTTTCCCATTATAAGAGCACCAATTACTGCTGAGCGTGAGGCTAGTGTCATAATTCATATATAAATTGTCTCGATAGGGTTTTGGTCATGGATGTGTTGAGAGCTTGTGTATTGCTATACTTTTCCTATAGTTGTTACCTCTTTGTTGTTTACTGAAATGTCTTCAAATCATACTTGCATGCAATAATAAAAGCATTTATCAACAGGAAAATGTTAGTATATCTCAAATAAGCAGCACAATTGGCCTACAGTGTACCCAATAAGAACGTTTTTGATTTCTGCAATCCAAGAAGTTTAAGAACGATTGCCTGGCCAAAGCACTGTAAAATTCAAAAATCTAAATTATTAGCGCACATGGTCACCTTCTAAATCGTTCCTCCTCTGCCCTGCTTAATCTGAGAAAGTGAAATAGCATATTATTGACCCGCTCCACTCCCCCATTCATATTAGAGCCCTCCCTCCCAGATCTGACAAATACAGCTGTCCCCGAATCAGCGACTGTTAGCTTGTGTTTATCAAAACATGTTAATGATATCAAAATGCATTTTACAGTATTTACAAAATCAACAGATGGAAAAGTTGTACAAAAATAAGCAAGGAGAAGGGTATGCACAGAGAAAAACTGGGGAAAAAAAACGTGGAGGCCGATCACCAGCGAGACAACGACGTGAAACTAGCCAAATTGCAGAGCGGAGAAAGTCTTTGCCCTTCAAGATGGCCGACTGCTTGGATATAGGAAAGACATACATCACAGTGTGTAGAGTAACAAACTAGTGGTCAGCAGACACGAGAGTCCGACACAGATGCAGCGTGAACGGGAAAAAAAACTGGAAAAAAATAAAAATATGTATTGAAATGGGAGCACCTCAGGGATCAGTGATGGGACCTTTGATAATGGCAGTATTGACAAGAGAAATCAGGACAGATGTGCATATATTTACACAATTGCTACTAGTTCTGCGGTTAACAAATAAAACAGATGAACACTTTTAAGATGAAAAAACAATCATAAAAAAAGAAAAAACAAAAACAAAGTAATAAATAGCTGTGCATTTTTTACTGCGTGAAAGCTACCGAGAGGGTGGGCAGCAGTCTTTTCTGTGTGGTTAAAACGTCTGTAGTTGAAAATATAGAGTAGAAAAGAGAAAGGGGGGAGTAGGGAAATGTTGGAATATCGTGGCGTGAAATGATGCGTGTGCTAGCCTGGTCAGCGAGGGATTGACAGAAAATTTGGAATGTGCAAAAAGGCCTGGTTCATGTAACGGCAATGCACCATTGTCTTAAAGGAGTTTAAATAAACAGTCCTGCCAACTCAGAAATGGATAATTAATATGAACGATGTAACCTTTTTGTTAGTAGAGGGCTAAGAATGTATTTCAACAATTAACAATTATATGGCTTTTAATTTCTAAGAGTTATAGTTTTAATCCAGACATATTTCAGACGACGGGCGGCTGGCCAGGCTAGGACAGTGCGGTTATTCTTGCGAGTGATGTGCCTTTAGAAAAAATAAAACTAATTAAAACCTAAAATGATCATATCAATATCATTATTAATAACAATAATAAAAATAGCAATGATACATTTACATACACAAAATGAAAAAACAAACAAAAGTTCACGGATTATCACAACACCTCTGCTAAAATGTACATAGAACGCAATAATAAGCTCTTTCCGTCCTGACCCGAAAATCCGCCGGGAACCGAAATGTGGAAAAGTCTTGAAGGTTCCATAGGGCTGCTTTATCCAGTCCGCCCCGCCTCCCCTCTTCTCTCACTGCCCCAAGAGGAGGTCAGCTAACCCAGGGCTACAGTTCAGCGGGTTTTTCCTACCGCCGCCCCGGGAAGGCTTCTCAACCGAGCCCGTGGTCATTATGAGAGTCCAATCTGACCGCGGGGCTGGGTTCTGTCGGTCCGTGAAAAGGTCCCGAATGAGGGGAGGAGGACGGCGGACCGGCGTTGGGGCCAAATCCCAGCCGAGCAACGCGTGTGTGGGTGAGGAGGAGGAGGAGGGTGTGACGTCCGATTCCGGGGAGGGAAAAAAAACAGGTGCCAAGGTAAAAAAAAAAAAAAAAAAATGTAAATAAAAAAAATAAAAAAACAAAAAGTAGGGGAAAATTAAATCACACACTCATCGTCATGTTGGGTGAATACTGTGAAGACAGGAGGGGAGGGAGAGGGGAGACATGTCAGTGATGTGGTACTGGCAACATTTGGACACCAGAGGGAGCTCCGACACTGCTCCAGAAATACATGGGATTGACAAGTGAAACTAGCTCAATTCAAAAGGAGAAAATTAACAAAAAATGAAGTGTAACCCAATTGTTGTAACAATGATTTTAAGCAGTGTTAATCTTGTCTTTTTCCTGCTTTTAGATGTTTGCCAAATGTATCTGCATTTTACGTTTTAGTTAATTAATTGTTTGCTTGAGATGAATAATAATAGTGAATAGAGAGATTTTAGTCCTGTACAGCAGCGTTTTCCAGCCAGGGGTGCTGGGATCACTGTTCATACATGAGTTCTTTGAAGGGTACTTGTAGTAATTCCATAATCCAAAAGATGGTGACACTGAGTAGCTTTTAAAAATGTAGGTTTTCATTGTTATTGAAAAGGCTTAAGGGGGTACTCCAGACAAAAACGTTGGGAGCATCTGCTGTATAACACCAGCGTAATTGGGAATGATAAATGCAAGGTTTGCCCCAATTTATAACAGGTAATTATTTTTACCTTGTTTTTTAGTGCATGTGCATAACAGATTAATGAAATGCCATATTTGGCAACCTCTGTAGACCAAATTGTTTTATGACATGTAATGCCAATGAGAACTGTGATATGACTGTACAGGGATGTAAGCACATCAGTAATACTAAGTGAGACGTCTGCACTTACACTTTCACTTTGGAATGGGTTCAAGAAGTTGCCGCCCATCTCGCCGTCGTCCCGTGGCGTCCCTGGAGGGTTGTTCATGCCCCCCATGTTGTTTGGAGAACTCTACAAATGAAAAAACACAAGAAGGTATTAGATGTTAAATGTGCCAGTGGGAAGAGGGTTCCACTGTCTATTTGAGGAAAAAGTTTACAAAATAAAAACCAAAACAACAAATACTTTACTCACCTTTGGCAACCCGTCCATGTCCCCAGACCCTGTGGAGAACGGGGTCACAAAGTCACAAAGCGTCGACAAGACTTAATCATAATATAAATGGTTTATCCAGGCAGACATCTACGATCTGTCCCAGTATTCACACCATATTTTTGAAAGTCAAAATACCATCAAATTTAAGATTAACTCAAGCAGTAAGTTTTGATTGTATTCTAAAATATTTCCGTAAGCCAAATTCTAGATAAATGTATTCACGCAAGAATAATCAACAACATTTATACATTTTCTAGAGGATCTTAAAGACAATCGCCAATGGACATATTTGCTGTTAATTTAAGATCCTCTTGATTTAGCAAAGTGAGAGTCCAAAACTGAAGTGACATAATTCTCCAAAAGCCTTGACGTGTACCTAGTGATCCGTTCATATGGTGCGGCTCCATGGATCCCATAGCCCCCATCGGCCCGTCAGGTCCCGGCCCCATGGGGAACTGCACACACAAAACAGGCCTCATGAATAGAGAGATTTTAGGCCTGTACTCTGGTCTTTTTTGGTGGAATTTGGAAGACCCTCTTTATTCTTGTAGCAGAATAAGTTTGTGATACAAAAGCATGAACATGAATGTGAATAATCCAATAATGGCTTACGTTCGGTCTGTTGCCTCCAGGACCTATGGGGTTCATCATTGTGTAGATGTTTTCACTGGAGTTTGTAGAGTCTGAGGACATGTCACAACACACTTGAGTTAGAGAAAAGGTGCAGGTGCTGAGGGGCGTCTAAACTTGCCTGGCCTGCCAGACACTCCTCCTTTCTGTTCAAAAGAAGAACCGTCTGGACACCTCTTCCTAGCCTATCATTTCACGATTTTACCCACATCGGTCCAATCACGCACCGAGAGGCGGGACTTCCTTTCACCTTTGAGTTGCTAATAACTCCTCGTATCTTTAAGTTTTTGTTACAAAATCGACAGCAGTCGTTTACATTTGCACTAGCTGACATGCCGCCATCCCTTGTTTTGTGTTTACTGAAACGGCTTGGGTGCCGCTAGTTGCTGCGTCATATCCTGTGTGCATCTAATTGGTTGATGCAGTCTGTCAACCACGCCCACCGGGAATTCGCTGAGATCAAGCTCGTTCCCAGACTATATTTCTTTGAAAAAGCATATCGTTTGGCAGGCCAGGCAACGTCTAAACAAGTGTAATATGAAAGTAAATATGTGGAAAAGTGAGTATCAAATACATTGTTAAAAGATTCCAGTTTAATTGAATTCTGTTATGATTCATTTCACAATAAGTGATATTTCTGCAATTTTTTCCCATTTTTCATTTCACCATGGAGGTTGAATATCACTTGTTGAAGGATATAGGAGGATTTTCTACTTCATCAAGACTATTGATCCTCCTAATTGTCACTCATTCTGGTAACACGTGCTTGTCAAATAAGACCAAGGAGTTTTGTTCAAAAAGTGGAGAGGGCAGTTCTTTCCTCAAATTTGGGAAAAATCCTCATTTAAAGTTCAAAACATTCTTCATTGAGGAAGAAATGGTCATTATAGGCAAATGAACTTCTTATAATCTGACTGAAGGGGACGAGTTATGCTAAATGTAGTGTGGATAGAATAGGTGACGCACCACCTGGGCTGGGCATGATGGGGGTTCCTGGCGGGCCACCGCCCCCTGGAGGACCCTGAGGAGAGGACACAACACATGAGAACCTGCAGTGGACTAAGGAGCATCAGAGAGCTGCACACGCAGACACTCACCACATAGTTCCCTGGAGAGGAGGACGAGTATGCTATCTACAAGAGAGAAGACAGAAGCATTTAAACATCAGCCACATGTGAAGGAGACACTTTGACAAGCCGCCGCAGAAATGCACTTACAGAGTTAGCATTGGGTCCTGGACCAGGCCATGGCCCTCTGCCTCCGGGGCCCCTAAAGTAATAAAGGAACAAGAAATAAGCAAAAGCTGTGTGTAAAAGTCCACACAACAAGGAAAGACAATAATGAAATATTTGCACCTACATGTTCATCCCAGGCATTGGACCCCCCATGGAGTTTGGAGGTGGCCTCATGCCTCCATAATTCTGAAATGACACAACTCTAATTATTCACAGTCTAATTACGGATATGTAAGTGTATTACATGCCCATTTAAATAAGTGCTTGTGTGCACAGTGTGCTGTGGTACCTGAGGGCCCATGGCCATGCCTCGGGGAGGGTTCATCCTCATGGGGCCCCCCATGTTGGGGTGTCCTGTGGGAGCACAGCACACACTGAAAACAGGCTCACATTTACACAGCAATATTCCTGTTTATTGAGCCACTCAGAAGATGTGATTTCAGAGTGACTTTGGACTGATCCCTCATGTTTGAGTTCTTTTTCAGATGATCCACAGCTACACAACCATGGAACATTTTTAAGTAAGCAACAAAGATTGTTCCATTGCTCCGTGCATCAGACTTCGGTCATTTTGGAACACTTCCTGCAGCTGAAGCAGAGTTAGACTGGACTCCAACAGAAAGATGGATCACCTTCAGCGCTTGCTCCAACTATTTCCATTGTTCTACTCCTGAAACTTTGATGACTTGATTTATTTGATGGAACATGTGCAGCGACATACAGTGCATGGTGCACTCTGGTATTTTGTATAATATTGAACTTGATAATAAACACACCTGTTGTCATACATTATAACTCCAGCACAGATAAAAGCACAATATGGCTTCTTTAATGAATTGAGGAGTTAAGAGCAGGGCAGACAAAGCTGGATTGTAATTCCATTAGTCCCATAACCCTGTGGCTTCCAAAGCTGTAATCTGCATTAATCTCCATGGAGCACCTTTTTGCGTGGCCCATGTAGTTTGGGGTTTTCACATTTACTCACTGCTGTGGCGTCTGGAGTGAGTTTTAGTGCTGTATCCGGTATCACAGAATGTCTAACAGTAACCGATCCCCCACACATTCGGCACCAGAGGAGCGCGCACATGCCCATTACCTTGTGGTCTTGTCGGGTCCAAACTGTTTGGCAGGAGAGGCTGAGATCCCGGGATTCCCCCAGGAGGCTGCCAACACATACACATATGCAGTCACTATACTGTGCACAGCCTATAGCAACGAGCACAGGCAGAACCAAGCGAGAAGCTATATGGCTGCGAGATACAGCAAAGACCAATCACATGTCAACAGTAATTAGAAAAGAGCAAAAACTAGCAACAAAATGTAGTCTTATACTTAAGGGGGTGCTGTATAAGTATAACAGTTTATGTTTAAGCGTGTGACTAGTATATTTTTGTAGCTTGGTCACACAAGAAATTGAATATCCAACAACAACCATATTTATAGTACAATAATGTGGGTCCAATAAGTAAATAAACAAAATTATAATCTTGAATGATGGACAAACAGAGAGATAGGATTACATGTTTGCACTTAAAGCTGAGGAACCCAACCTTCAACCACGAGAAATAATGAAAGAAATTTAAATAGAGAGGACCACCCTAACTCAGCCAATCAGCTCTCAGCCCAAAGAGAGAGAAAGAGCGACTCACAGGGCTCTTTCTGACAAGAATGCAATGGATGATGAGTTTCAAAAACATAAATAAAAACAGCATATTGTGGTTTCATTTGTTCACATTTCTCTTTTACTAAGACTCTTTCTGTTGGACAAACTGCACGCATTTCATGAACAAAAATAAGTTAGGTACGCCAGCTTTAATTTGAATATAATCCAAAAATGTGAATGTTCATCGCAAAACCTCACCCAAAATTTCAGTAAGTTTTGTCTTGGCCGTAATTGCTTTGCCGTAGGGGGAGAAAAAGTGAAAAAGCACACATACCTGATTTGGCATTCGGAGTGAGGGGCGTGGTCCACCCGGATACCGCGGCGACATGAACGGCTGTAACAGAGACACGGGAGGTTGAGAAGGAGGCGGCAGGAGAAAACTGCACAGCGTTCATTATTCAGGAGGCCAGAGCACTCAGCGGTTATAGGACACATGGATGAAGACGCAGGCTGAGGATGGGACATGAAAACCATATCTGAGCCAAGTCCGAGCGCACGCTTCTCAAACACGCGTTACAATGTCGACTTGTCATCGTAGACATAGAGCAACCTCAGGGCCCTGCCTCACTGCACGCAGCAGTGTTTATCAATGGAGAAGCCGCTCAGACATTTACTGTGTGGGCTGATCGGGGAAGACATTAAGTGGACATGGTCTGCTGGAATCAAAAAGAAATTTGTGCATGGGAGAATTTTGGTCATACATTTTGGTGACATAAATCCTGGTTATAATGCAAAATCAAATATGTTGCTCTCAGTCCACGCTGCTCTCAGAGTCACCATTCAGGGCTTCACAATTGTAGGTTTTAGTGATAGTGATAGTCACAATAAAAACCGGAGTCAGCGCATGAACAAAAATAACAGATCAATCTGGCTAACAGACAGGAGGCATTAGACTTGTATACACTGAAAACTGTGGGGAAAGGAGGAGAGAAAACAAAACATACTTCCAACTTTCATTCAGTCTTTAAAAGTCCCAGCGGAGTGCACACAGAATTCAGGGATTCACATTATAATGGATTATGGAATGATCGACCTGGAGCAATATATAAAATCTAAAACTATATATAAAAGTATTTTCTTACAAGGACAACTTCATAAAGGAAAGAGCTTCACTCTTGTTAGGCTGTCATTGTGAAAGTATTGCTTCTTCTTCACCTGAACCACATGTAAGCAATGGGCGATAAAACTGGTTTTGGTTTTATTGCCGTCAGTATAAACTAAACACACCTCTTTCGTCTCTGACAAAGACAACAAGGTTTTTGGTTAAAATCTGTGTTTTTGTTTTCTCAGTTGAAATATCCCTTAACTAAATACACTACTGTCTAAAGTCTGTCTAACCCTAACCCAAACACAAGGTCTTGAAAAGTCCTTTTATTGAATTGCTGCAAGGAATTTTTTTAAAGTTTGATAAAAAAGGAAAATCTTAAGACATTGTAAATAAAACATTATTTATTTCTGTCATTTCCTCCATTGTAGTTTAATTAAGTCTTTATAAGAAAAAACCCAGAATCATTGCGTTTTTTTCTTAAAAATTACTGTGACATCCCCACTTGACGCGTGCACCTGCTCTAAAGCGTGGTGTAAGCCGACTCTGCCTGCGGTCTGCCGTATGTAAAGACACCTCGGGCCAAAACCCAAAAACCCTTTCACAAAATAAAAGCTCACACACACAAGACTGTAACGAGAAACCGGCAGAATGGGAGAGTCGTGCCGGACCGCAGTTAATGGGCGAAAGAGGACTTGGCTTTACCCCCGCCTGCCTGTGGTGACTTCTTTAGCTGCTGTTGTTGCGGACAAGCGGCAAGTTGTTGTGGAAAAGGCCTGGAAATGTGACATGTGTTTGAAGAGCAAGCAGAGTAACCCAAAACTACAGCCTGCCACGTGCGGACAGCCACAGCCACAATGGGAGAGTGACAGGCCCAATCCCACCCAATCCAGCGCCAGCAAGGAACATAGAGACCTGCAGTCAAGGTTTATCATCCACATGGAGAAATTTTAGCAATGTTTTCAAACCAATTTTACAAGGACAAATATTGTTACATGGCTTGTTTTGTTGTCATTAAGGATCGGCCGTTTTTTTCTGCCTTTTATTTTAGTCGTAAATTATTAGCCTAGCCACGTTGGCCTGGGAACACCTCGGGATTCCCCTGGATGAGATGGGGAAGACTGATAGTTGGGTGGATGGATGATCTAGACCAGCCATTCCCAAACTCAGTAACACCGAGGCCCCCTTAAAAATCTGACGGGTCTGCGTGGCCCCCCAAAATAATAACCAAGAAGACAACATTAAGAATAGGCTCTTCTGGTTATTTTATTTTGGGGAAATAGCCTCTGCTACAAACATTGTAATACAAAAATGATTACAGTGGATTATTCAAGTCAAATAATGAACACAAATATTTTAATATTACAAACAAAACATTATTAATTTAACATTAAATAATTATATTATTGTTTTATTTTTTTTATGACCTCCCGCGGCCCCCCTGCAGTACCCTCGCGGCCCACCAGGGGGCCGCGGACCCCACTTTGGGAGACGCTGATCTAGACTAACCACACTTTGGAAGTTGTATGTACTTTACAACAAGTTTGTGCAGGCTCTCAGTCGTACAGGGATTAGTCAAAGCAAGATGGGTGAGAGACCTTCCTTTGCTTTTTACTTTACAACAGTTTGGTTTGATTGCTGTCTAAACTACCGCTATATTTATATATATAACGCCTTGGCCAAAAATCTGGTTAAATGCAGGGTCATTCTGAAACACCAGCTCGTGTGGGTCAATGGGAATGAGTACTACAAGTAAATAAGTAAGAAACCGTTGCGTACAACAACTTGACAACGCCAATAACAGCAAACGTTTGTCTAATTTCAGGCTTTGTTCTCTTCCTGACACTTCCAAACAAGATTGCCATAGAGCATTGTTGACTACTTCACCCAGAGTTTCTCAAACAGTGGTATGTGTGCACCTCTACAGCGCTACAGTTCAAGTCATTTGTTAGATGTAGACACTTTATTTCATACTTCTGTCCTCCCTTTTGGGCTGATCTAGTCACCGCAGTTTAAGGCCGAGCCTGGATCTGACGATGTTCAGAGGGCCAAATATTATCTTTGGTGGAACATTGTGTCAATAGTTGGCAAACAGCACAACTAAGTAATAGATGTAATAGAGCAAAGTATAGATTTCCATGACAACCGTCCACATTTGATCTCACAAACAGAACATTTCCAATTCCTTCATCGCGGTGCCATGTTCTTGGGGCCAGGGTCGGTCACTTTGTTTTATTTAGCAGCAGCGGGAACGTGGAAGCGGAGAGGCGGGTGGGAAAGCTGTTTGTGCGTGCGTCTATCCCCCACAAACTGAATTATTCATCATCTAAAGGAGAGAGACCGCCGGTCTGGATGGGATGCAGGGCCAGAGGAAAAGGGGGCTACAGCTGTGGAAGGGGCCCCGGGGTTGAACCGGGAGTGTGGGGGGTTTGGATGGAAGCAAAGGGGAGGGAGAGGGGGAGAACGGGTACACTGCGGAAAAAAGCTACAGGAGATAAAACGGTTGAATTTAGAGAATTTGAGTCTTTTCGTACGTTCTGATGGGTGTGTCAATTCCAAATAGTGCGCAATGTCCTTTGGAACTTAATGAAAGAAATCTCTAAAGTTACAATTTAAGCATGTTGAGCCTTCTCATGATTAACCAGCAACAATAAAGTCTTTCAATTTAGACAATGTCATCAGTTTATGAAGCCTTTGTAGAGGATCATTTTGATTTTATATTTTATGACTGAGAAGATGTTTGACTTTGTGTGTTGGCCCAGTAGATATGAACCAAACGCCAATACCTAGTTCTTATTTGAATTTAATCATTCAGAATGTTCAATTATTATTGGGTTTCCCATCGTTGTACAGGACATTGTTTCCCCGGTTTGATTGCCAGTTTATTTAGGTTTTTAGCTACATGTACACAATGGAGCTAAGGCTATTGTCTATTTTTAGTAGTTTATCTACATACTCTTATCTCTTAAAACAGCATTTTCCAGTGGAGCATGCATAAATGTTTTTTCTGATGTATTTCATGTCTCAGTAAAACTAGTTTCAACTCAAAATAAGCCGTTCCATTGTTAAATCCTGTCAAAAGATACGTCTAGATAAATACAAGCTAATGTATTTTATGTTTAGCACTGAAGTTGAATTACTAGTTTCCCTTGAATGCCTCTAAACATCCTGATAGCATCAATCTGACTAAATTATGAATGAAGTTTCAAAAACGTTCATGTTGGAATAAAAACCGCCTTGCTAATTCAAGTGTTTTTTCCGCAGCATACCGGTGGGTAGAGGAGTTTGTGTGGCGCTTACCTGGCCGTGGGGTCCCATCATGGGGTTGCTGGGGTTGTGAGGGGGGGGCTGTGCGTGGGGTGACTGCTGAGAGCCGGGCGGTCCCTTTAAGAAAGAAGAGCCATATGAGAGAGGAGAGGGGCCAGAGGGGAACCAGGCTGCACAGCACTCACAAGTTGTGTTAGTAGGTGTTTTTTAATAGCAAATGGGGAAAGATGGAGGGTTTGGGGAGGTTAGACGTAGAGAAATGGGGTGCAAGAATCAGTGTTGCCAGATACTTATTGTATTTGAAAGAGAATTTTGACCTGAATTTACATTTGCAATGATTTGAAAGTGAGTGTGCGAGTTGCCAAAGTTGGACATGTTTTCTACTTCTTGCATTCATAGAAGAAATTATGGCGTCAGGCTGCTACTCTGGGTATATAGTAAATATCTCTGGTGCAGCATGTCTGAATATTTGTGTCATAGTTACAATCTGAGTAGAGTTCTGAAATTCATATTCCTTAAGATAAAAAAATAAATAAAAATCAATCTCTAAAATATAAAAGTTTCTGAACTTCTGGGAGCACAGGGACTGGCCTTCTCTTATCTTCTCTGGTGCCCAGAGTCAGGACTAAACATGCAGAATTTCAGATTTATACAGCAAAAATCTGGAAGTCACTCTTAAAATGTGAGACACGCTTCTGTTATCAACGTTGTCGGTTTTGTTTAATTATAGAATACTGTTTTTATCAGTTATATTTTATTACTCCTTTAGTAAAACACTTTATGACAATACAATGATTCAGCTCATGTGCACTTCTGTCAAAAACTGTATTTGTGGTTGTGTTTACCATAGTTTAAAAAATTAATCTTGGAAATCTTGATTTCCGATTAGATTGTTTTTGTCTTTTTTCTTTTTTGACAGACCTTCACAGCGGGAGAACAGACTTAAGTCTGAGATGAGGGAGTTCAGCCCCTTCTGCTGAACCACATTATGTGCTTCTTTCGATTTGAATTCAGGCAATCTACCAACATGATGTTTTGATGTATGGCACAGCCAGAGTGTTTAGGACTTTCTTTAGACATCACTAATATTATCGTCTTATAGATGGACAATATGGGCCCAGTGGTAAGAAGGGACGATAAAGGCATACGTCAGAGGGAAACTCAACTCAACAGTGACAAGGATTGGAGACGGCTGTCATGTCCCGTCTGACCACATGGAGGTGGTGTTGTCATTAGAACTAGCTGGACTGACTGGCACTAACCAAAATCAGTAAAGTCAGGCTTGTGTCTCCTCCACATTATGGAAACACTGATGGAGCGTGTGACAGGGCCCCCACATCTCACACGCGCGCACATACTCCTCGTGTCTCCTGAAATGAGAGGCTAACCGCCGCTAATAAATAAGTCATTAGCGCATTCTGCCTTTTGTCTGCTCGCACTTTTCTTGCTCTTATCTGCTGAATGCCAATGCCATGGGATTAACGGACAATGTATGCTGATGTTTGGAATTTGCTTCAACGTTAAGTCAAATTGGAATGCAAAACACGACCCATATACAAAAATAATCAATATTTTGTCCCCATTTTAAAAAGTTACATCATTGATATGCATTATTATTTTGATGTTTTTGTGATCTGGTCTTCTGTCTGCTACGATAGCAACAGATGCAACCCAAACATAGAAAATGTTTTCTCAATAAATTAAAGGCCTGAATATAAAATTACTAAAGTCAATCTCAGCAATTGACAAAAAGACAAGTTTGAGAGACTGCTTAGTATAAGACTTTCAAACTACAAAAATTCCAGTTCTTTTTTCTCAAAACAATCACTAGTTTTCATGTACATGTATTGTTTGTCACGGACACGTCCTAAGATCTAAAAAAGAAAAACACTCTCACTCAGACAATCAGCTCTTAGACCAAAGCATCAAATAGTGAGTCACAGGGCTGTTTCTGGCTGTATGCAAAATATAACACACTTGATGCTCTGATTTGTTTACAAGACTTTCTGTTGGGAGTCAAAATGTGATATGTTTAGGAGCGATACAACTTTTGAAACTTACTCCATCCAACACATGCGACCAACTGCAGGAGCGTACGCTACACTATGCAAAAGCTCCGGTGTAAAATGCCAAAATACGCAAACTTTAACTTTTGCTCGTCTGCCTGGAGAGGATGAAATCAATACATCCAACATTTATTTAATTATATGCATGTTACTGCTCATACTTGCTGTAATGCGAGTAGTGGTCGCTAAAAGTAAATCCTTTGAAACCACAGTAGAAATGAAAAGTATGGCATGAGTTTTCTCAAGTTTTGGATAATAATATTATAATGGAGCAGTTTTATATACCACTTTTTTGGACACGCTTCGAGTGGCATTATTCATTAACTCCATATACAGTGATGGTGAGCAAGTTGAATATTTTCTACAAATAAATACATGAACTGCTTCCTAGACCTTTGAACATGAATCTAAGGACATAAAACAAGTTGCTTCTTACTCATTCTGTAGAGTTTGACGATTCCATGCTTTCAGATAGCTATATAGGCCCCTGCAGTGCTCACTAAGTTCAACCTTATAGATGTCAACTGCCCCAGTACATACAGAGATATGAACCATAAACCTGTTCAACAAATCTTTTAGTATAGCAAATCCACCATAGAATTCTCAATTTCCTCACTTCTAACAGGGCAAGTCCAGGTTTGGTCAAGTCAAAAATAGGACGTTTTAAACTGCATTATTTTGAAGGAAAATCTCCATGCAGAAGTTCATTGTGTGGTTTCTTAAATAGATAGTTATTATTATAGTACCAAGTCAATTTCAAATACAAAGAGGGGATATTTATTTTCCAAGACTTTCCAGGTTTTCCATCAGTACAAACCTATTGTATCAACACTGAAGTTGACACAAATAGTCCACTGCGATGGGAATACCTTTTCTTTTCACCTCCTTGAAGTAAAAATATGGACTTTTTTTTTTTACTTAAGCATCTTCATTTATATTTCTACGTGACATTTGATTTTTTCCCCATTTACAGACTGTCTCTTTAATGAATGCCCTTCGCGTTTAAAGCTAGGCCTTGAATTTTGCTCAATCAAACCTTTTTAAATGACTTAAAAATGCCGGGACTGCCCTGTTAAAACTATAGAACATGTTATGGTATCTTACAAATGCACTCATTTTCCTTGAGTTAGAATCTCCACACCATTCTTTCATAGCCAGAACAACACGCGCACAAAAAACACAAACTGTCGCCCAATCGCACTCCCCCCGCGCTGGTTATAAATAGCACGTCCACCCCCCCCACACACACACACATACACAAACACACTCTCTCCTCCACCCCTCTTGTCCCTCATATTCTGAAAACATACTGTCACTGGTAAGAAAGCTCCATAGCCCTCCTCTCACTGCGCATTGCACCCTGGCTCTGCGCGCCCATCAGCGCTTTAGCAAACGGTCATGCGTGTGTTGCATGTTTACAGGCGTCTGCACATGTGGGATGGCACGGGCACTAATGTAAGATGGATGAGGCAGCGGCGGCGGAGGATGTAAACGAGGAAAATGAGAAGGGGGGGAACCAAAAATTCAGAAGCGCAGGAACTGGATTGCGCGGTGTCCAATGAAAAGGTCTCATCTTGAAGCAGGCATGTCCAAACCATGGCTCCCGGGAAAATTCTGGACCGTTGCTTGGCCCTCAAGCAACCGGCCCATATTGACAAACAGTGATAATTAGTGCATTTAGTGCATAGTGCAAAATAATAACAATTGTAAACCGCTTTGTGACTCTGGTCTGTGAAAGGCGGTATATAAATAAAGCTTACTTACTACTTACATTTTATTACCTTGTTTGACCGTCATCAAGCAAAATGTTTAGTCTCTTTTTTTCAGTCTGTTGTGAATCAGTTTGCTTTGGCTGTGCAAGTTTCTGTATGGCCGGTCTATTGGTCTGCTTTAAACAAGTGACCCCAGGTGGAACCAGTTTGGACACCCCTGTCTAAAGCAAACATGGCCCTTATCTGTCCAAATGGCCTCATATTTTAGAATAATTCCTTATTGAACGTCAAACAGTCCATACCTTGGGACAGCATAAGGTGACAAACCACAAAAAAGAGGTGCTCCTCATTTTCCTCAACTTCACCAATTGATTTCCTTGAGTACTCGTTTGTTTGCCAACTTTGATGCAACAAGCTAATATTTTCCCAGCTTCACTATTCACTGTTGCAGCGCTCTCTGACATGATCCTGTAACGTTCTCAAGCAAAATATCAGACCTGCCTCTTGACCGAACGTTGAAAAGCAAAGACGGTGAAATTCTCAATAGTTAAATTCACAGAAGCTTTACCAGGGACATACGTCGACTCAAGCCTTTGGTGCGGGTTAAGATCGAGAGGGTTTAGGAGCTCATAGGTTGACGTTGCACTGATCGGACTCCATAGCGGTCTGCTCTGGTTTAAATAGAAGTCTTTGGGCAAACTCACACCGCAACATTTGACCCAAGTGTAACAATTCCACACCAAAGTCTGAGTCAATGTAAGGCAGGTGTGGCACGGGTGATGCAGGATGGGTGCGCACAGGTCAAGCGATGGGCCGTGAGTAATGACACAGGATTGGTGATCAGGAGGAAGGTCAGTACCTGGAAGAAGCCTGGGGGCATGGGTCCACCGGGCATGCCATCGTTAGGAGGCATGTTGCCCATGACGGGGCTGGGGGCCGCCGCTGCGCTCTGCAACACACATAAGGACGCGTTAAAGACAATTTATATGTTGATCCCAAAATACACCATATGACAATGTCTTGAATATGTATGAGGCAAATCCATGTACGAGTTCAATAATAAATTAGTCCCTTTCCCCTCGTAGAATTTTTGGGGAGACAACTTTTACACATACATTTTTAGGTTTTGAATGTGGCACGGAGATCTGAGATGGGTCTCACTCAAAACATTATTGCGACTCGAGTTTCGTTTTGGGTTGAATAAGAGTGACCCGTTTTACCAAGAAACTGGCAAAAGTGGGCCCCCTTTGGATCAAGATTGGAAAACATTTTAAAGGCTGATTTGTAAAAATAAATATCCATTATACAAAAAAAAAATCTATATGTATTTGGACAATAGAAGCTCCAAAGGCAACTTTATATGAGACAGCCAAAAAATTGTAAAACAGACCTTCACAAGGCATCAGAATCTAAAAACCTCAGTGATGAAATTGTAAAATAAAACTGATACAGCCACTTAAAATCAGTAGGGGACGAAATTGTAGTGATTTGGGCGAAAATGGTTTCCTCTGAGGGCAAACCTCTGACTGCGGTCCTGGGAACGCAGCTCCATTTTTGCAAATGTATAGCAGCCATTGCCTAGGCCCAAGTGGATCATAAAATATTGGTTTTCGTCCATGGGTGTTCCCAATGGGGCTTCCATGGACCAAATAATTGTGAAATATCTTCTGAAGTTGTGATCAATGGATTAGATGTTAGCAATTGGTGAGAGATTTGTCGATATGTGTCAATATATCACATGAATTACAAAACGGGTGATTGCTGAAAAACTGTCTTCGGGTTAGACACGATCCCAGACTTTTGACTCTAAGACTTAAAACCTGATGATGAATGTCATTTCACACACGTTTTCAATGGAATCATGAGTGAGCAAATCAGCCACTGCTTAAAAATAAATGTATCCTTGTCAACACATAATCGGGAAGCGTGTGCAGAGTAGACCTAAGCTTATATAAGGCTCCAGAACAAACAGTGACGCACACACAGACACACACATGCGCACACATGCGCGCACATGCACACAGGAAGTGCAAACATGAGCTCCAGCGTCCAGTCTCTTTTAACACAAGACTAGAGCTGTGACCAGGAAAAGGCCTTAACCTAACATTTATGAATCAATATTTAATGGACTCCAATTACATCTGTTCCCCTTTCATTATATATTTTAAAATTAGACATTTTGCAGAATTCACCATAAACATCTTAAATAAAGCATTTTATTATTATGCATGTTACAAGGAAGAAGAAAATATGTTTTTACCCCCCCATCCGCACCCACATACTGAGATTATTTAACTAAATCTGACTCAAACCATGCATGCCATTTTTCAAAACTAAAAAACAAGAAAATATGCAAAATAACCATTATCAAATAATATCTTTCTAAATGGCCATGTCAGGAACATGTAAATGGAATACACATGCCATATAGAAGCTTAGAAATGATAATTTACGCACTTTATAATAGAGATGTCGAGCTTGAGGGGGTAATCACCAGAGTAGAATCTCAAACTAAAATCAGTTTTAATTCCAAAAAATTTGAAAATTGTAAACAAAAACAATTAGCTCAATTTACCAATGCTAAGCAAAACAGCAGTTACCATAACATTAGCATAATGTTTTCATCTTGTTAGCTTAGCTTGTCAAAACAGAAGTCTCATTTGATGCTTGTGTATTATGGAACAAATGCAGCATAAAAGCGTACAAGTTGTATTTCTTATGTGTGTAATTTGGTCTGTGCCACATCTTTAGATCAGATTTTTTCAGACAGAAAACGGAGAAAGACCACTGCAGTAATCAGTTCTCTGCCAAAAACTTTGCATACTTTTTGTAAACAGCCCTGTGAGTCACTATTCAGACAGCCTCAAAGATAAACCCTGATTTGTTCACAACATGTTACTTTCACAAGACTTTGTTATTATTCATGGGGGGCAAAAAAGTTAGGTACCCCGGCTCTACGTTGTATCAGCTTTGAGAAACATTTACTCTTAACTTAAGAGATTTCTTTGGCTTTGCTTGGATCCTGGTCTCTGTAGTGAGCTTGTTTTTACCATGCCACAGCTCAGAAAAGTCAGAATGTTTAAACGAAGACGTACGGAAACTTCAGTGGGTCAATTCTAACTGAAGGAGTCTTAGAAGTCCAAACAGTCTGCACTGCAATGGCCTTTTAGGGATAAAAGAGCAGGCGGAATACGTACAGTAACCAGAAGATTGTGTTTATTTGAGATTTTCAACTAAATGGGGGCTAATCTATACAAATACAGAGGAAAACACATATTTAAAAGCATCAATCCACTTGAATCCACATGGATACTAATATTGAAGAGCTTGAAAATAATGTAAACCAAATTATAATAATAGACTTACTCTGAAGTTTGTGGTCAGAAAAATGCAATAAATCATAATTTGTAAAGCACTTTTCAAAAACTGTGCATACAAAGAGCTGCACAGTCAGCATAAAGCAATAACAACAGTACATTTAGTATGATCCATTTATTATTATCATTTTAAAGTTACTACTTAGAATTATATTTGTATGCACTTTTGCCTCACTGACTATGCACTTTGACCAAAAGTATAGTACTATTTTAGTAATATACAAATGTCAAATTATAGCATAAAAGATCAGAAACATGACAATAATTTGAAAGTTTAAAATGCAGGCATGTTTCAGCCTCATCGTTTATCCACCACAATATTGACAATAAGAGCTGCAATGATTGTCGTCAAAATTCCATCAATTTTCTTCCCCTTCATCCATTTCTGGGTTGGGGGGTGGCAGTCAGAGCTGCACCCAGTACACAGAGCACCAGCCCCTCACTGATCCTCCTGCAGGTGCTGAGTACACAGGAGCCTTCATCTTTTCACCGGGGGCATCATGCAAAGAGGGGTTAAATGTCTTGCCCAAGGACACAACGACAGCAGTTATCAGTAGGTCTTTTCGTGGGCTTGAACCCACAACCTTCAGGCCCAAAGGCCAATGCTCTACCAACTGAGCCACTGCAATGATTGTCGTCAAAAAAAAAAAAAATCATCATAATTGTCTCATTCTAGTTTTATTTAAAAAATTGCTGAAATAATAAAGAGCACATTATTCCATCATTCTTTATAAACAGATATTTGCTATTATTGTCCATCTAGACCTTTTCAGAGCACAAAATTCATATTTGATGTAACACGGTTTTTAAAATAATCCTAATTATTAAACTATTATTTCCCTCATTCACTAGTTATAATAAATACAGTTGACGCAGAGTCACACTTGCTCTTAGAATAAAAACGTGTTCCTCCTGTGCTTCCTATCAGTTAGCACAGGCGCTGCGCACTGCCACGCTCCCCTCCCCCTCCTGCTTTATGCTAATTCTGATCCGAACATGAGCAGGCCACAATCCCAGGGGAGCAGCGTTAGGTCGGGTCCTCTCCCCTCATGCTGGACCCCTCCTCACAAACTCACGGCTTCCAGAGTGATGACAAATGAAAACTATCCTATGGTTTGTACAGGGAAAGGTCCCAACAGTGGCAAGTAACAGGAGGCTAAAATTAGGAGGTTGTCCCACACATATCCAGCAAATTAGGACCATTTCCATAGAAATTCACTTTTTTAATAGCTCCAGATGCCTCCTATAAACGGGAAGCAGAAATCGGCTTACAAAATGTATCTAATGGGGAAAAAGGCCTTTTCAACAATGAGAAGTTCTCAGTGGCATAGCCAGGGTAGGTTTGGCCTACTGTCTAAAAGCTGTTTGTTGTTAGGATGATTAGGGGATGTTATTTACATATCTTAAAGCAATAAAAGTGTAACAATACACATTTATTGGTAAAACAGAAAAGTTACATTCTCAATACTCATTAAATTAAGTCATTTTTGTAACTTACAATTATTATCATTCTTTAAAAAAAATATATTTTGACCATCTGAACCTATACAAGAATGGATACAAATGATTTATTTCAAACACAGTATAATATTTACTGTAGGACTATGTTAAATATCATACTTGGCGTAAGTACCACCAGTAACATTTTCTGGAGGAGAATAGCTGTCAGTCAATCAGGAAATGGGTTGAACTGATGCTTCGACTTCACAATTTGAAAAGTAACTGACATTCACGTTAAACCATGAATATAAAGCTAAAACATCAAAAAATCATAGCTAATGAAAAACATTTTTTAAATACTTTTGAGGTCTCAAATTTGACACTTGAATGCTTTTAAGTGACCTGGAAAGAAATCATCAAATACATTTTGAGTAGTTAAAAAGTTTTTGAAATTGTGTCCATTACCAAAAGCAAAAGTTAGCCAAAAAGCCAGCTTAAACTCATGCGTTTCAGGGGGAAACATGACAGATTTCAGGGGAATTAATCAAAACAAAATGGGCAACAGTAAAAAGGTCAAGAATTGTGTCTATAACCATACAAAAACCCCTCATAGAACACATTAAACAAACACGATAATATCCTCCCTAGCGCACACAATTCCACACCAAAAAGCACTGTACTTTTCCTCAGTCTCATCACCTCTCCTCCCCCCTCCTCCCTCCCTCCCGCAGTGGGGTGTCAGCGGCGGCTCGCGCAAGAAGCTGTTGCCATGGAGACGGGTCCTATCGGCGCCCCGTCCCCCCGGCATCCCCCTCGACGCGAGCGCGCGGTGCGGCGATGGAGAAGGATATGCAAAACACGGCCAGCTAATAAAGGACGCCTCAAAATGGACCGCGGAAGAAAGGTTTTGTTCGCTGCATTTACACAGCGTTTCCAGTTAATAAAGAAAGACTGTGGTGGCCCTAAATAGGCTAAAAATAACCTGCAAGACGCATTGACATGGGGAAAAATACTCTGCTCATGTCATCTTAAGATTTAAAGGACACATGTAAACCCAACTGAGTTTTTAAGCGTGGTGCATTGTTGTTCCCAAATTAAAAAAAAATACCTGGAGTTGTTTGCAAATAACAAA